AGAGTAAACTAAGGTTCAATTGGCATTTTCACATCTTCAGATGGCGGAGAGAGAGAGGGACTGTGCTTTCTTTGTGGGTGTAATCACCAGAATGAGATTGGTGGACGCCCACACGCACGTCTCGATAATGTCGTGCCGCGACTGTAAAAGCAGGGCTACAAGACTGAAACGCTTGGTCATTTTACTAAAACGTGTGGGGCATGTGTAATTTCTGGTAATGTGTTGCCCATAAATGCAAAAGCAGAGGGTGAAAATAATTAATCACCTCCAATTCTCGAATAATTACCTCTGCAGTTAAAAAAAAATACGATTATATTTTTATGAGTATGGGTAGTGCAGTGGCGCATTGGTTTGCGCACCTCACTGTGAACCCAATTTTTTTCTAGATTTGAAGCTTTCGTGACTGCAAGGATTCATATTCTTAGGTTTTTTCGGTAAAGTCACGTAGGTAAAACATCAAAATTAATAAAAATAAAATAAAACAAAAATCACGACGTTTCGGAGGCAACACAAGTCTCCGTCATCAGGTGGGACCGTCACAGCCGGATTAGCTGCATCAAGTGAGGCAATGATTCAAGATGTAATCCCTTAAAAAGCAAGTTGAGGGGGAGGAGAGGGGGAGCGGAGCTAATCAGAATGTGGTAGCCAATGAATGGAACGTATCGGGAGGGAGGGGGGCGGGGCTCAAAGACGGCACAGAGTGCCAACGTACAACGCATCGGGAAGGGGGGCGGGGCCAAAAGAATGCACGACGGCGTGGATGCGGTTGCTGTTGCACAACGCATCGGGAGGGGGAGGGGGGGCGGGGCCAAAGAATGCACGACGGCGTGGAAGCGGTTGCTGTTGCACAACGCCAACGCATTGGACAGAGAGGGGGAGGGGGAGGCCTGATACACATGATAGAAAAAGAACGAAAATGCCCATGTTTATACCAATGCTGGCTGAACAATGAAGAGAGTACTGTTAAACACTGGGGATGTTAATATTCGGTAAAGTAAAGTAAGATAGTGCCTGTCAGATAAGATGGTCCAAAAAAGTGTAATTAAGTCTTTTTTTTTTTGCGTGGTTGATAACATCTTTCCAATGATTACTAAGTTTGTACCCATCATCACGGTTGAAATTATGTCTGTGTTTGTATATTTGTATGGCTTGGTGTACAAACCTTTGATGGTAGCCGGGAGGTTTGCAGAGAACCTTGGTCTCGGAAAAGACAATTTCATGAGAGCCCACCGAGTTGTAGCAATGATCGGCAACGGCCGAAGAATCAGTTCTGCCGTGTTTCTGATCTGACTTGTGCTCGCGGACACGATCAGAAACATGACGTTTCGTTTCTCCAATGTAGCAATCACCACAAATGCAACTCAATTTGTAGACTCCAGGATACTGTAAGTCAGGAACGACATCCTTCACAGATGGAATCAGATCATGGATTTTATGCACTGTACTGAATCGGACTTGGATCTTATGTTTGTTTAGAATTTTGGAGATCTTTTTGGTCACGCCTGCTATGTATGGTAACGTGATAGTTTTGGTCGGAGTTTCATGTGGCTGTTCCTGTGTGGTGGGAGAGACAGCTTGGCGGATAGTACGGTCAGAGTATCCGTTCATCCTGAGGGTCCGATGTACATGTCTTAATTCACCGGTGAGGTGGTGTTGGTCAGAAATGCCATGGGCTCTATGGTATAGCGTTTTGATGAGAGAATTCTTTTGAGATGGGTGGTGGTGGGAATCCGGTTTCAAGTAGGAATCTGTGTGGGTGGCTTTCCTGTAGACAGAATGTCCCAAGGATCCGTCAGGCCTCCTCTCAAACAGAATATCCAAGAATGGTAGTTTACCGTCTTTCTCCACTTCCATGGTGAATCTGATGGATGGGTGTCTAGAATTGATGTGGTCCAAGAAGTGGTTCAATGCTGGGAGGCTATGTGGCCAGATGACGAAAGTGTCATCCACATACCTCTTCCACAGGGAAGGACGCAGGGTGGATGTCTGGATGGCGCCTGATTCAAACTTTTCCATGAACATGTTGGCTATAACTGGTGATAAGGGGGAGCCCATTGGGGTACCCTCATTCTGTTTGTAGAAGGTGCCATTCCAGGTAAAATAGGTGTTGGTGAGGCAATGCCTAACCAGCGCAGGTGCATCAGAATTCAATCCATGTTGGACTAAGTCCTCAAATGTCCCTCTCTAAAACCATCGGCGGCAAGACCTCCCAGACTCTATGGTCTTCCCAAAATCCATAAGGAAGGCACCCCGCTACGACCCATCGTGTCGACGATAAACTCTCCTACGTACAAACTAGCCCGTTTTCTATCAGATACTCTGCTCCCCTTCACAGGCAAGACCTCTTCGGCAGTACTCAACTCAACCCAATTAGTCTCTATGGTTAAGGACATGGTACTATCCCCTGATGACATCCTCGTCAGCTTTGATGTAGTATATTTGTTTACCAAAGTCCCAGTACCGGACACCCTAACAATAATGGCACCTTCTACAAACAGAATGAGGGTACCCCTATGGGCTCCCCCTTGTCACCAGTTATAGCCAACATGTTCATGGAAAAGTTTGAATCAGACGCCATCCAGACATCCACCCTGCGTCCTTCCCTGTGGAAGAGGTATGTGGATGACACTTTCGTCATCTGGCCACATGGCCTCCCAGCATTGAACCACTTCTTGGACCACATCAATTCTAGACACCCATCCATCAGATTCACCATGGAAGTGGAGAAAGACGGTAAACTACCATTCTTGGATATTCTGTTTGAGAGGAGGCCTGACGGATCCTTGGGGCATTCTGTCTACAGGAAAGCCACCCACACAGATTCCTACTTGAAACCGGATTCCCACCACCACCCATCTCAAAAGAATTCTCTCATCAAAACGCTATACCATAGAGCCCATGACATTTCTGACCAACACCACCTGACCGGTGAATTAAGACATGTACATCGGACCCTCAGGATGAACAGATACTCTGACCGTACTATCCGCCAAGCTGTCTCTCCCACCACACAGGAACAGCCACATGAAACTCCGACCAAAACTATCACGTTACCATACATAGCAGGTGTGACCAAAAAGATCTCCAAAATTCTAAACAAACATAAGATCCAAGTCGGATTCAGTACAGTACATAAAATCCGTGATCTGATTCCATCTGTGAAGGATGTCGTTCCTGACTTACAGTATCCTGGAGTCTACAAATTGAGTTGCATTTGTGGTGATTGCTACATTGGAGAAACGAAACGTCATGTTTCTGATCGTGTCCGCGAGCACAAGTCAGATCTGAAACACGGCAGAACTGATTCTTTGGCCGTTGCCGATCATTGCTACAACTCGGTGGGCTCTCATGAAATTGTCTTTTCCGAGACCAAGGTTCTCTGCAAACCTCCCGGCTACCATCAAAGGTTTGTACACAAAGCCATACAAATATACAAACACAGACATAATTTCAACCGTGATGATGGGTACAAACTTAGTAATCATTGGAAAGATGTTATCAACCACGCAAAAAAAAAAGACTTAATTACACTTTTTTGGACCATCTTATCTGACAGGCACTATCTTACTTTACTTTACCGAATGTTAACATCCCCAGTGTTTAACAGTACTCTCTTCATTGTTCAGCCAGCATTGGTATAAACATGGGCATTTTCGTTCTTTTTCTATCATGTGTATCAGGCCTCCCCCTCCCCCTCTTTGTCCAATGCGTTGGCGTTGTGCAACAGCAACCGCTTCCACGCCGTCGTGCATTATTTGGCCCCGCCCCCCCTCCCCCTCCCGATGCGTTGTGCAACAGCAACCGCATCCACGCCGTCGTGCATTCTTTTGGCCCCGCCCCCCCCTCCCCCTCCCGATGCGTTGTACGTTGGCACTCCGTGCCGTCTTTGAGCCCCGCCCCCCTCCCTCCCGATACGTTCCATTCATTGGCTACCACATTCTGATGAGCTCCCCCCCCTCTCCTCCCCCTCAACTTGCTTTTTAAGGGATTACATCTTGAATCATTGCCTCACTTGATGCAGCTAATCCGGCTGTGACGGTCCCACCTGATGACGGAGACTTGAGTTGCCTCCGAAACGTCGTGATTTTTGTTTTATTTTATTTTTATTAATTTTGATGTTTTACCTACATGACTTTACCGATAAAACCTAAGAATATGAACCCAATTTTTGTTCTTGGCCATGGCTAACATCAGTGGCGAGTGACAACCGAACATGTTTTGGGCACGAACCTACATGGTGAAGTATGGTCAAAAACCCCGTGGCTGAATCATTCAGCAGTGGGTTGACAATAAGCGCTGAATCATATAAAGCAGGAATGCGCTCAGTATTTATCCCTGTCTTTTAAATAATCAAATCAGCTCGACGAGTCAAATACTGTACCAAAAGAGAGGTTCTAGTGAACAAGTGACTTCCTGCAGAGCTCACCAGCCCTACACATGCCATCCAGCCTCATGTGAGAGTATGAGTGCGTTATCATGAAGGGCATGAGTGTTAGTGCGTTATCATGAGTGGTGAGATTTTTTGGTGCGTTATCATGAGTGTTGAGAGTGTTAGTGCGTTATCATGAAGGGCATGAGTGTTAGTGCGTTATCATGAGTGGTGAGATTTTTTGGTGCGTTATCATGAGTGTTGAGAGTGTTAGTGCGTTATCATGAGTGGTGAAAGTGTTAGTGCGTTATCATGAGTGGCGAGAGCGTTAGTGAGCAAACATAAGCGGTGAGAGTGAGTTAACATGTCTGGTGCATTTCACTAGTGACGTGGGGCATTTGAAGTCTGTGAGTCTGGTGACTTGAATTCCAAATGAAACGGAAGCAAGCTGTTATCACAGGAAACCGTGTAACTACACTTGGCATTGTAAATATTTTGCTTAGTTCATTCTCGTTTCACAAGCAAATGGTATTTGCAAAGTGGTTCACCAAAATTTGTCAAAAGCGGCACACGAGAGTTTCAGGAAATTTCCAAAGTCTTAATAAAAAAAAAATCCATTCTTATGTTTCAGGTCCACATGACGGCCGTGGACGGATGCCGGGGCTCTAAACGGTCACGACGGACTGACGGTGCCACGGGCGACGCGCTCGGCCGCATCGCCGATCCCGGCCACCAGCGCCGGCAGTGACCCTCCGCGGACATTGCTCTGGTCCAATTGTCCCTTTGGAGATGGCGCCGCCACCGCCGGTTTCCACCGTGGCTCAGCGAAGCTCCTAACGCCCACCGCCGCCCGGGAGAGGCGGAAGAGCAGCCCAATCGCACCAGGCGGCTCTCGCCCGTCAAGAATAATCCCCACGCGAGCGCTTGATTATAATTAACGCGTCGGCGGAAATTACAATTAACATGTAATTTACAAAAAATAATCCCGCGATAATTCCGATGACATGTCGAGTGGCAGGCAGCCCCAGTGGAGCCTGGGGTGCGACGCGGCGCCGCTTGGGAACTCCGTTCTAGCAGCGAGCGACGCCAAGTGGCAGCCGGGCAGAGCAGCCAGCCTGCTGGACAAGTCCCGGGGGGGCAGCAGTCCGCTGGACGTGCTGCTTCAGGCCGTGGAGCCCGACCTGACCCTGCTGAGGCAGGCAAACGACGACGAGAGCGGCGACGTTGCGGAGCAGCGCTACGGGACGCTGACCGCGGAGCAGCAAACTCAGATGCGGCCCAAGCCGAGAGAGCCGGGCTTGGCCTCGCCGCACGCATACGTCCTCGCGCAGGAGAAGCACGGCGGCGATGACGGCCAATTTAACAAGACGGCATCCGCCGAGCATCGGCACAAGGGGGGAGCGCAGCCGGAGCAGAGTTTGCACTGTGGCGATGACGAAAGCCAGAACCGCATTCAGGTCGCGCCGAGGCCCGGCGAGCAGCGGCCCCAGACTCAGTGGGGGGAGCAGCAGCAGCATCTGCGGCAGCAGCGGTTCGTGGCGCCTCCACACGGCGGTGCGCGCTACAGGGTGAGGGGGGGCGTGGTGCAGTATGTGTACCCCACCCAGTACTCGCGCGCTGGACCGCCCGCTTCGCCATCGCAGCAGCCGCCCCACGTCCCACTCCCAGCGCAGGGAACGCGTCGCGCTGGGCCACTGCCGTCTTCGCAGGAGGGCCCGAGCGAGAGCTCCGGTCTATACGCAGCGCCGTGCTACGTGCCGGCAGAGGCGAAAGGCGGCCAGGTGTATGCACAGTACCGGGGGCAGAGCAGCAGGGGGAGACCGGCGAGAGACAGAGACTCGAGGCCAAAGAAGCCCGGCAAGTATGTGTGTCCCTACTGCGGCCGTGCGTGCGCCAAGCCGAGCGTGCTGAAGAAGCACATCCGTTCGCACACCGGGGAGAGACCGTACCCATGCCTGGCCTGCGGCTTCGCCTTCAAGACCAAGAGCAACCTCTACAAGCATCGCAAGTCCCACGCACATGCAGTCAAGGCTGGCCTTGTGTGCGGAACCGACAACGGCGGCAGTGGGGACTGGACTGAGATTGAGAAATCCTTTTCACTGGAGAGATCAGCTTCCGCCGAGAAGTCGCTCGCGATGGAGGAGCAGCTTGGCGTTGGGAAACTGGAGATCGATCAGGAGGCCCATTCCGAGCTGGACGAGAGCACAGACACGGATGATGAGACCGCGGTGGAGGATGCGAGCTTGGACGTCAAGGACTACTCTGCGAGGCTATTATCGGAATCGTGTTTCGATTATGGACAGCAAAGAGTGAAGACGTCTCCTTGCCAAACAGAGCTCTCAGCCGATACTAAAGGGAAACACGACGGTGATCGACTTCAGGACGATCCTCAGCAATGTTCAGGGCAGGAGAATGCAGAGAGGATGAGTGGGAGTGCCAAAGGGTCCCAGGGCACGGGCGACATGCAGTCGTTTTTGCCGAGAGTTGTCCTCGTCCCTCCTAATCCATCGGCTTCGCCATCAGCACAATTCACAGATTCCTTCAGGAAGCCCTTGACGTCCGATGTGAACGTTTGCATGGAGGAGTCTGAGAAGCAGCGGTCACCGAAACCAAAGCTCAACTGGTCAGCAAAAGTAACCGAGGAGGCGAATTTACAGTTGGCTTCATTTGAAAACCTCCTCAGGCCAAACACCTTTGGAAGCAAAAGTAGCACAGACTCGGGCTACTTTTCACGATCGGAGAGCGCCGACCAGCCGCTCACTAGCCCCACTAACTTCCATCCATTGTCATACAAGGACATCGTGCTCGGACGCAACTTTCCGATTCACTCGAGAGGCAGAGCCATGCCCAATCGTGTGCCAGAACATATAGAAGAGGTTTTCTTAAAAAAGGAACGACTCGTAAGTTCGTGGACACCCTCTGAACATTCCATTTCTCTAAACACAGAGAGAAAACCGTCAAACACTCAGCCCACTGCACAGCAAGCAACTATAGACAGAAGCCACGTAGCTGGCAGCATCGACTCTTCCGGTGCAACTGACACTTACAGGGATGGAGGCGGTACTGGGTCTGATGATAAAATGTCAAAGATGGCCATAGCAGCTGCCATTTACAAACCAGGCCCTGTGAAATCGGAAGCCGGTGGTGAATATTTACTTGTTCCCAGCTTGGAAACGCTGGGTTTTCCCCGCAGCAACTCTATGCCAAGCTACACACGGCTGGACGACACTGAGGTGAAAACGCCCGTCCCGCTCAGGGGCAGCCACTCGTTCGACGAGCCGGCGTCCACATTCCACGGGGACGCGTACTCCTCCTCCTCCAACTTGTACTTCGCCAACCACAGGTCGCTGGTGAGGCAGACAGCCGTCCAAGCCGATGAGTTTCCGGTAGCCAGCGAAAGCAAGGTCCCGACGGCGTCTCAAAGCAGCAGGGTCTCCATGGTGGGCGCGAGCCAGAATCTGCAGGACACAGGCGAGGGGTTAAACGTCGGTCGTCGCACGAGCCCCACGACAGGGGAGCAGCACGTGAGAGCGCGCAGGCCGGCGCGCTACAGCCGAGGTTCGTTTTACGAGTGCCACACATGCAAGGTGACGTACAAGAAAGTGGAAAATTATATCGTTCACAAGAGGCTCTACTGCTCCGAGCTGCACATGTTTCCCTCCAGCAGTAACAGCTCCCTGGAGATGGAATCCCCGGCGGGCGACGTGGCGCACGAGGGGGAGACAGGGGCCGGCAAAGCCTCGGATCGCTCTGTACTCATCAGGAAACGACGTAAGCAAAGGAGCGTTGGAGATGAGGAAGATATGCTCACGGAGTGCGTGTCTGCCAGCATCGCTCAGCCAATGCTCTCTGGTTTCATTGAGGAGCCTTACTTAGATGATCATGATTCGGTGTTCGAAAAACATGATGTGCCTGAAGGGCCTAGGGATGTCGGTGTCACGGCGCCCGTGACCGTGAATAGCCAAGCCCCAAAGTGGCAGCACAGCGACCCTGTGAAACCTCAGCCGCCGCAGCTGCTGGTGGACGGTGGATCCCGGCGTGGGCTCAGCCTCGAAAGCGGTCTCAGTTGTTACAGCAGCTTAGGTGGCCACAATGAGATCTCTGTCATCCAACACACAAAGTCGCTCAGCCAACCAAGCTCCTTCGAGAGAGCTGATAGCTTGGAAACGGCGCGGTCGTTGTCTCCCGATGGGTGTAAAGGGGCACAGTGGTCGCAGCAGCAGCAGTGTTCATTGCCGGCCTTGCAAGCGACAGCGCACAACAAAGAAGACCAAGCTTCATCGGCAGACCCTTTGAGCATTCGTGGAACCAAACTTGTTCGGCAGAACAACATCCAGGTGCCAGAAATTCTGGTCACGGAGGAACCGGATCTCGTGCAGCTAACGGATGCCCCGGAGAAGGAGAGTGAGAAAAAAATGGAAGAGGATTTCTCTTGGCCCAAGAGGAGCGAAACCCTTTCGCAGCTTCCTCCAGAGAAACTTCCTCCCAAGAAGAAGCGGCTTCGTCTTGCCGAGCTGGGGAATTCGTCGTTCGAGTCGAGCACTGATTCCTCCTTCTCCGGGTCACTCTCGCGTAGCCCCAGCCTCGAGAGCAACTTGTCGCGCTGCTCTAGCCTCTCCATCTCGCTGGACCGCGTTGAGCTGGATGACGAGAAACCCAAAGCGGAGCCGGAAGAGAAACCTCGGCAAGAAGAGGTGGCATTTCTAACCGTCCCCACCTCTCACCACCATCGGCAGCACCACCACAGCCGTGAGATGCGACGTTCTGCATCGGAGCAGGCCCGGAGCCCCCAGTACGCCGGCCCGGGTATGGTGGAAATACGCAGCAAGTCCTTCGACTGTGGGAGCATATCCAACTCTCCGCCGCCCCCGCTTGGCCTGGACATGGACTCGTCTCAGCCGTTAACCTCATCCCCTCTCCGCGAGCGAAGGAAGATGTCCCTGGTGCGCCAGACCTCGCTGAGCGGGTACAGTGAGGTGCAGGAATCACTAAAAGAGCATATCGCCTTCACGTCCCAGGCGGGCCTGCACCCGCCTCCCCCTCGTCCCGCCTCCCCTGCATTGTTAAGCCTGCGTTACTGCTCGCCAGAAACGTCTATGAGGCCGCCGTCCCCGCAGTCTGCGACCCAAAACATGGAAGACTTTAAGTGGCAAATGGGGCAGAAAGCGTCCTACTTGCATTTGCTCAAGCCGCAGATGAGCAGCTGTTCACCCGCACGACTCCCCCACTCGCATCATCTACCGCAGAGTGGACACATGCAGCCGCCTCTGCCACCCTTCGTACACCCTTCACAGGCCCACAACTATGAGCTCTCTCTGCAGCACCTGAGTCAGACTCCGCAGCGACTGCCGTATCAGCTCGTACACAACCACATGCTGCAGCTGCAGGCGCAGCAGCTTCTTCTTAGGCTGCCATTACAGCCATTCCCGCAGCCCCCCGGTGTGTTTTATCACCAACAGGGCAGCCCGCCCCGGCCGAGAGAAAGCTACAAGCAGGACACGCAACACGGGCTTCGCGGCCTGGACACGGCGGTGCAGGCGGAGGTCGTGACCTATCCCGCTGTCACGTTCTCTCTGGGCGAGCCTTTGCAGGATGAAGCGGGGAGTGATCGTTTGCCTTCATCCAGAATGCAGAGGAGCAGTGCGGAAGGTGCGTGGTCATCAAACTCTTTGGTGGCACCGCCGCTCCACCACAGCAAGTCGAGCCACAAGCTCGTGGTGCACACCACCCTCGCCGGGCTGCTGTCGACGCAGGACCCCGGCAGCCAGCCGCGAGTTTTTTTCGGTCAGCGGGGCGCAGCATCGCTCTCCGAGAAGCACACCAAGCTGATGAGGACCGACTCGGCCATGCATTCCAGCGTCCTCTACCCGCTGTATGACAACAACAAGGTAGTGGCTGTGTGTGCTTCTCGCCAGGGAATTTCTTCCCAGCTTGACAACCAGGCGCCGAGCAGCAAGAGGATGCTGTCCCCTGCGAGCAGCCTAGAAATTGCCGTGGATATGAGACGGCAGCACTACCAGAAAAGGGTCAAGGAAGGGGAGGAGGAATCGGAGCTTCGAGAGGTTGAGGAGGAAGCGAGTCTGGTCATTGACAAGAGAGATAAATCGCAGCCCCTGATCAAATCCGAAGGTTTTACAAAATCATCATCGTCTTTTAATTCTACCGACTCCTCAAGGTCCAGAAAGCCCACGCTGGTGAGACAGTTCTGCACGATGGAACCCGCGGACCAGGAGGGATCTCCTGCAAATTTAACGGACTCATCTTCTGTTCAGTCAATGTCCTCCCGTTCATGGGATGCAAAAGGAATGGCTGCATCTGAAGACAGCATGGATGAGGGATCGTCAAAGAGCCCGCCGCTTGAACTCGGCAAACGTGACAACTGCTCCGGTCGATCTGCGCCGGAGCATGAAGCAGGTGTATTAAAATCAGCCGCATCAAACGCCAATATTGAAATGAAGGACTCGTTGGGCTCCCCGACCACCATCAAGGTGCTGGTGCCAATCGTCACGACGGATATGGCATCGTCGCGCGCGACTGACTCCAGGGAAGAGATGGCGGGAGGTCTTGGTGGCCCACGGAGGCCGCCCGCTCGCGCCGGGGTGAAGGTGGCGGTACTGCATGTGGTGGCGTCCGGCGTGAGCGTGCCGCCCTCCCTCGTCCTTGTTGCCGACATCGCCGAGGTGCAGCAGTTGCTGTCGCCGAGTCTGCGCACCGTCGTCAGCACGACCTGGTGCTTCCTCAATGGGCGCGCCAGGCCGGCCCACTGCGCTGAGCACCATCCGGGCGGTGCGCCTGGCCCCTCCGCCTACGGCCAGTGGACGCCGCCGGCGCCGGCCGGCGCTTCCGCCGGGGACCCTAACCCCCCCGGTGCGAGCACCGCGGAGGCGCTGGCACTGCTGCGGCGGGCACGGGGCGGGCACGCCGGAGAGGGAGTCTACACGCTGGCCGCCATCGCCCCCCGGGGGGCCTGCTCCACTGTCCACTCCCGCCTGTGGATGCCATGCATGGCCTTGGTGAGTGTGTGCCTGCTGCTGTGCGGCCCTCCACTGTCCGCTTCTCTCATGACCGCGTAGAATGCGTAATACTCACCGGTTTTGTGTCCCGCCTTAGAGAGAGAATGAGATAATTATTCGGAGGCATGGGAAACCACGGACAAGTTTGGATGGCAGCCTAAACCTGTGTCAGCAATTGCCTCAGCTCTGTAGTCCTATTGTAGGATGTTTGCAGTTGGACTTGTACAGCAGAGGTGGGAAAAATGTTCTTACTGAGGGCCGATAAAAACTATTCGCCTCCGGTGCCCGATTAGCGTGGCTGGAGAGATTTTTTTAGTGTCTTGTGTGTATAAAGAAAAATTTGTAAAGTAATTGTAAAAAAAAAAATGGAGAGAATGAGAGAGCGAGCTCTATCAGAGCACGTGGAGGATGGAGGTCTCCAAGTGCACGGGTTCACTTAATTCTATACAGCGGATAGGTATGTAACAACGAGCGCTCCAGTTTTTCCCACATTTACGAATACTCACTAATTATCTGAAAACATCTTAATATATAGATAGTTGCAGAGCAATTGTTGATGCTGGCTCACCACCTGGCAGTCTTCCAGCTTGTCTGTGCTTCCTCAGCGATTGCGAGATGCAATTTGCATGAATGACGCAATATTAAACGGTTCATGAGCATTTTTGAATTTATAGCACACAAATGCAGATGAGTCGTATTTCTTAAAATGCTAGCTGAATGTGTCTCACATTTGTTAATGTTGATAAGTACAAATATTAGCATGGCGCTTAATGGTCGAGTGACTGCAGAGCAGCGTGCACTGCCACGCACGGCTTCCTTAGTGTGCAGTGTCCGAACCCAACAAAACTGCGGACCTCCCCCACCGACGTGGGGGTTGGACACGTGCGCACGCACGCAGTTTTGTTGGGGTCCATGGCGATCCCTCACTCGCTAACAATGTGACCCAGGTAGCGAACTGACTTTTGCAAGAGGTGACATTTCTGCGGCTTAAACTTCAGATTGGCCACCCGCATTTTTACAAACACCTAACGCAGCCGCTGCAGATGTTCTTGGAACGTGCGTCCAAAGACGATCACGTCATCCAAAAAGATCAAACACGAATCCCATTGGAGTCACGATAGTACTAACTCCATAAGTCGCTGGAACGTGACTGGAGCCGAGTGAAGTCCCATCGGAAGACAGTTAAACTGGAACAACCCCTGCAGTGTTTGGAACACAGTTTTTGGTTTGGAACTGTCATCCAGAGGCAACTGCCAAAACCTTGACAACAAATCCAGGGTGGATAAAAACCGCGCACCACGGGAGCAGGTACACATCTGCCACAGAGACTTTATTAAGTACTCTTTGGTTCTTTCGATAAAGTCACGTAGGTATAAAATAAAATACATTAAATCACGACGTTTTGGGCGCAACACAAGCGTCCGTCATCAGGTGGGACAACCACAACAAGAAACAGTTGCTGAAGTGGGCAAAAGGGCTGCTGTAACATGAGGCTATATAGGTAAGAGAGTGGGGAGGAGCAAGGGGGGAGAGATAGAGAGGGGGGTGGGGTAGGGGGAGGGGAGTGCTGAAGTGAGCGGGGCTGGGAGTGGGAAGCTGAAGAAGAAGAGAGGGGGGAGGATCAAGGGGGGAGAGATAGAGAGAGGGGGGGGGGGCAAGACTATCTCAGCAGTACATAACTCAGCTCACTTGGTCTCTCTAATCAAGGGTATTGCACTGTCCCCAGATGATATTCTCGTCAGCTTTGATGTAGTTTCTCTGTTCACCAAGGTTCCTGTGCCTGACACCTTAGCAATAATTGAAGATTTAGTCCAACTGGGACTGAACCCTGATGTTCCTACTCTGGTTAGGCACTGCCTTACCAACACTTCACCTCGAATGGTACTTTCTACAAACAAAATCAAGGTACTCCCATGGGTCCCCCCTTATCACCAGTGATAGCGAATGTTTTTATGGAGAAATTTGAAATAGATGCCATCCAGACATCCACCCTGCGTCCTTCCTTGTGGAAGAGATATGTAGATGACAAATAAAAAAAAATTGCTTGTGTTGCGATCGAAACGTAGTTTTTTTTATATTTTTTTGTTATTTTCTTTGAACCTATCTATGTGACTTTACGGAAAGACCCAAGAATATATATACTCTAACTTTTCCTAATTTTGTATTTATAGTTAAAACTTCTGGCACCAAATTTAGTGAATCATTTCAGAGACACTAATAGTAGGAGGCACTCTCGTTTATTCTAATCATCACAAGTACAGGGGATAACTATACTATGGTCAGGACAGCTAGTACACTGCCTGACCAACAACGCCGAGGAGGTGAAGAGGAGGACGAAGACGGGGACAAAGACTTGGTAGCACGATGGGCTCCATTCCAGACAACAGCTCCGATCCAGCCTCGGGACCTCCCTTTTATGCCCCCCAGTGTGGCCTGGCTCCACCCTTGACCACGCCCCCTTCTGGAACCTACCAGAAGGTTCTGGGCTATACTCCACGTGTCCCCTCTGTCACCTTTTCCATATATCCCTTACCCCGGCCTATTGCGTGCCCTGTTAACCGACCAGGCTGCTACGTCCTCAGATGCCCTCTGCCAGAAACCAGCGGTACGCACCCTAGGTACCCATTCCATGGCATTGCATGCTCTGCTGGCAGATCGGCTGCTACACCCACAATTCCCCTCTCTGTCAGTAACCAGCGCTACGCGCCGTAGTGACCCATTCTATGTCACTACAAATATATAGCTACTAGTGGGAAGTACCCGGCGTTGCCCGGGCGAAAAACACACACACACATCGACTTACACACACGTACATATGGACTCGCACACACAGACATCGATTTTAGACACACACACATGGAGTTACACACACCCATTGACTCTCACACACACACATAGACTTACACACACACATCGATCTACACAGACACATCGACCTACACACACACACATATGGACTAAGACACACACACATGGACTTACACACACACACATGGACTTACACACACACATGGACTCACGCACACACATCGACTTACACACACACATCGACTCACACATACATAGACTCACACACACATCGACGCACACACACATGGAAACACATACACGCATATAGACTGACAAACACATATGGGCTAACACACACACTTATCGACGTACACACACATTGACTGACACACATAGACTCACACACTCACATCGACTCACACCCACACACACACATAGAGCTGCACACACAGAAATATCGACTTACACACAGAAATATCGACTTGCACACACAGCGATTTACACACACACAGACTCACACACACATGGACTTCCACACACATATCGACGTACACACACACATCGACGTACACACACATGAACCCACACACACACATGGACTTACACACACACATCCATTAACGCATAGACACATCTACTTACACACAAAGTGACTTAGACACACACACACGGAGTTGCACACACATACCCATGCACTTACACACATACATATGGACTCACACATGCACATAGAGCCACACACACATCGATTTACATGCAGACATTGATGCAGACACGCACATCGACTCACACATGGACTTAGACACACATTTTTATCTTAAAATGTACTAACTTAATGTTTAAATATTAGCTGTCTACACACGCACACACATTGACTAACACACACACATCGACTGACACACAACAACAACCGCCATTCACTACTAAGTGGCGGTGATGTCACCACGACAGTTGTGCCAGGCCATGGGCACCTTGAGGCCACATGAAGTGTCGAACGCCCGCTGGCAGGAGGTCATGGGGCAGACCCAGGTGCCACGGGTTGACTGACTGAGATGACCGAGATGACTGGCTGATGCACCACCTGTGCCCCCTACTGTGCCAACTTGCTGTGCTTTAGCCACCTGGCGCTCCGCTCGTTGTTGTGAGCATCGCTCCTCCACCCTCTGTTGTTGTTGGAGGACGACTGCCTCCCACTGCACAGTAGCGTCCTCCACGAGCCTCCTCCACAGAGGCCGATATTGACACTGCTGGTACCAGTCATCGGCAAGTCCACTCAGCTCCACATCCTCCTTTACCATGTCACTCCATGTCTTCTCTAGCCCGTGCCGTGCCCGTTTAGCCCCCTCGATCCGGCCGAACAAAAGGTGTTTGGGCATTTAAAATCCGATTTAAAGCTTTCGTGACTGCAGGGATTAATCTTATTGGTTATTTCGGTAAAGTCACGTAGAAGGGAAATAATAAAATAATAAAAATAAAACATAATAAAATACAATTCTCACGACGTTTTGGCCACAACGCAAGCAGCCGTCCTCAGGTGAAGAACAGGGCTGTCGGAAAGACAGCGTTCAGAAGAACAGGGTCTGACGGAAAGACAGCGTTCAGACGCTGTCTTTCCGACAGCCCTATTCTTCACCTGAGGACGGCTGCTTGCGTTGTGGCCGAAACGTCGTGATAGTTGTATTTTATTATGCTTCATTTTTATTATTTTATCATTTCCCTTCTACGTGACTTTACTGTTTGGGCGTGTGTTGATAGGGCATGCGGGCTACATGGCCCAGCCAACGCAGCCTTGCCTGCCGGAGGTGCTCACCGATGAGAATTTGTGAGCTCTTCACACAATCCAGCCTTGTTAAACCCAGGATTCGTAGGCAGGTCAGCCTAAATGTTTCTAACCGGCGAAGATGTTCCATTAGGGGGTCCACGTTTCGCAAGCGTAGAGAAGGGAGGGAATGACTGTGGCCGAGAAGACCTGAAGCTTCGTGCGGAGCGACAGACCAGGTAGCTTCCACACAGCGTTATGCAACCGATGAAGGGATAATGCCGCTCGACTGATTCGGAGTGAGACCTCTGCTGTTAAACCGGAGCCGGTCATGAGCACACTGCCCAGGTATGGAAAACTCTGCACTCTCTCCACAACTGCCCCATCACCGATTGGGAGTTGTGGGGGTGGAGTGCCCGATGGTACAAAATACCCACGTAGGTGCTTTGTTTTGGTGGGGCAGATGGTAAGGCCACCTCTTAGTGGCACACTCCAGTTTCAGCAGCAGCGCCTCAAACTCCTCCTCTGAGTGAGCCACAATTACCAGGTCATCAGCATATATAACGTGGTTGACCAATAGTGAGCCATCCCTTGAACGCACCCGGGCATCGATCAGCCTCCCATTGTATCTGTACCAGATGGAAATCCTACGGTACAGCTATTGAAGGCTTCACGAACTACGTGGTCAAATAGATATTAAATAATGTGGGAGCCAGAGGACATCCCTGTCGCACCCCAAGGTGTACAGGGAATGGCTTCGACTCCCGGCCACATAGTTTTACTCAGGCCCACTCACCATCATGAAGGTCCTTAATGATCGTGAGCAGAGGGTCAGGGACTCCGAAAGCATGAAGGACAACCCAGAGCCCTGGCCTATTGATGGTATCATAGGCCTTGACCAGGTTAATAAAGCAGAGATGTAGGTCTTGTTGGAATTCCCTACACCTCTGCTGTAGCAGACGGACATAAAATATGGCATGTGTGCAGGACCGCCCTTTCCTGAAACCGCATTGGGGCTCCGCAAGCCTCTCCTCAGCGTGCCTAGCAAGGCGATGTTGAATAATCTTTGCCAGGACCTTTCCCGGCACACTGAGGAGTGAGATGCCCCTGCAGTTGTTACAGTCTGTGCGATCTCCCTTCTTAAAGAGGGGGACCACCAGGGCATCCTTCCAGTCCTGCGGAACCCGTCCAGTGGTCCAGACTGTTATTATGATGTCATGTAGGGCAGTCTGTGCACAAACGCCACCCTCTCTCAGCATTTTGCTTCTGAGATCATCTCTGCCCGGTGCCTTTCCTAGTCTCAGACTCTGGATCGCCTTCAGTACTTCCTCAACAGATGGCACCTCAGCCAGCCACTCATAGGGGGTGACTTCGTCCAATATTTGAGGCACTGCAGCCTCGGCTGGGTCATCCCCACTTTGTCCCACGTTGTTATCCAGGCTGAGGGATGTCCCCTCCCCCTGGGCCTCAGAAATGCTCAGCAAATCTGCAAACCTGTTCCTGGGGGTCGGCGATTGGATCACTGTTCTTTCCCCTAATGATGGTAATAGGTGTGGCGCTGCAGGTTACTTTTTTGATGGAATTAAAGATCGATTTGTGATTGCGGGCTATTAAGGCAGACTCCATCTCCTCAGCAACCCGCGACCACCACCCAACCTTGCAGCGCCTCACGGCTCTCAGAAGCTCCGTGCGAAGGCTGCGGTAAGCCTCCTCATTCTCCGATGTGGGATGCTTAAGCTGATGAGAGTGGACCTGTCGCTTTTTATCAGCCAGCTTGAACACCTCGTCTGTCAGCCAGGGTCTCTGGGGAGGTCTGGACCGTGTACCCAAAGCAGCTATTGCAGCTGCATGAGCCACAGTCCTAAACCTCGCCCATTTCCCCTCGACATCCGCTGTTCCGTCACTAAGTAGTCCAGCAGATGTTCTTGCTTGGACCCGGCATGCATCCATGATGTTGTGTGGATGCGCCGAAAACCTGAACAGCGTGTTGGTAATTACAAGCCCATGGGGTGCACAAAAATCGAGCAGCCTCCTGCCGTTGTTATTGAGCTGATCTGGCCCATGCCTCCCAATCACTCCAGACCAGGTGCCAGCATCATGACTAACTCGGGCATTGAAGTCACCCAACAAGATGACTCTATCCCGAGGGGCGACTTTAGCTAGCACCTGTGACAGGAGGCCATAGAAGGCATCTGACTCATCGGCCTTGCCTGCATCCCTCCAGTACTAATGTAATGGACAGAGCACGGCTTTCCCTCAGGCCAGCAGCGGAGAGAGTGCATCTGGCTCCCTCACGGCAGCAGTGGAGACAGCGCGGCTCTCCCTCAGGGCAGCAGTGGACAGAGCACGGCTCTCCCTCAGGGCAGCAGTGGACAGAGCACGGCTCTCCCTCAGGGCAGCAGTGGAGAGAGCGCGTCTGGCTCTCTCACGGCAGCAGTGCAGACAGCGCGGCTCTCCCTCTAAGCCAGCAGTGGAGAGCATGGGGGTCCCTCAGGGCAGCAGTGGACGGAGCACGGCTCTGCCTCACTGTCACTTATCCATCTCCCTCAGGAAAGCAGCGTACCGAGCATGGCTCTGCCTCAGGGCAGCAGTGGAGAGAGCGCGTTTGGCTCTCCCTCAGGGCAGCAGTGGACAGAGCACGGCTCTCTCTCAGGGCAGCAGTGGACAGAGCACGGCTCTGCCTCACTCTCACTCGACCGTCTCCTCCATCTCACTCACCCGGCTGCTTGCTTGTGGTCACGTGACGCACTTCAACCAATCCGGGGGCGTACATGTTTGGGAGGGGCGCAGCTCTGGTTGGCTGCTTGCTCGAAGTCACGTGACGCACTTCAAGCAATCCGTGCTGCGTTACTCCACAATGACAGAGCCACAGATCTGGGCGATTATATTTTATATAAGATATGTGTCATTCGTAAGTGTCCGTTTGTCACACTCAGGATTTCCCAGGCGGTACGTGGGAGGAAAACACGCGCGTACAATTGTGTAAAAAGTCTCCGAATATACATACAAAATAGATGCACAACATTGCTTAATTATTTTAAATGAACTTTCTGCGGAAACAGGCGCAAAACAATGTATCAGTCAATATACTCGCATCCGCTGCCCCCCTTGCTAAGTTGATATGGTCCAAGTTTGGGGGGGGGGGAGGGCCATTTTTGAGTTCCCCCCATGTAATTTCTTACCATATCCAAGTACAGCCAACCCCACTGTGTGCTCACATCTGCTTGTGTAACGGGGAGTCGCGTTGTTTGCTGACATGGCCTTGCAGGGCGCCATGCCGGCGGCGGAGCCCAAGGCTACGGGCGCAGGGCGTGGCCGGGCTGCGGGCCCGGGCAGGGAGCGCGGGGAGCTGGAAGGACGCGGGGCCCAGGACAGCGCCGGCCCTGAGCCGCCTCCTATGAAGGGGGGGCCCCAGCCAAGCCGCATCAAGATATTCGAGGGCGGGTGAGACACCAGCTCGCAGACTCACTCACTTGCTGCCTTGGTCCAGTCATCCACCCACCCACTAACCCACTCGCTCACTAGTTCGCTCAAGTGGTCCAGTCATCCACATTACTCAACCACCACGCTGCACTCACCCACTCACCCACTTACCCATTGACTCACCCACTTTTCCACTCACCGACTCACTCAGTCACCCACTCACCACTGACTCACCACTCACTCACCACTCACTCACCACTCAAATATCCCCCGTATTGCCTTAACAGACTTTTGGGGCAAGTGCTGTTAGCGAGCACCTATCAATGCTGGAACGATACACGAGGGGGTGGATGGCCAGCACTACGCCCGACCACCTTTATCTCCCGGTTGACGATGATTTTATACACAGCACCAGGTACTCATTTTAGGTTGAGTTGACCTAGAGGAGGTTCAGGACCAGTTCAGATAATCGTCACTGGTGTTGGCCACGAGCGGCAATCGAACTCGGATCACCGGGTTCGTAGCGCAGTGCGCTAACCCCTACGCTACAGCTCCACTCACCCACTCACCCACTCACACACTCACACACCCACCCACTCACGCACTTACGCGCTCACGCACTCTCTCACCCACTCACAGACTCACCATACTGCAGGTGACAACACATTGTGCTCAACCACCACACTGCACTCACCCACTCACACACTGACCCACTCACCCACTCACACACTCACCATACTGCAGCTCACAACACAGTCACCCACCCACACTCAGAACACCACACAGGTCACCTCACTTCGCTTTATGCGTATTCCCTCGCACTGCTCCACTTTACCCAATGCAATGCGTCAACCTGGCTTGAAACCGCATTTTATTCCAATAATATTTCCAATAGAAATAAAACAGGTTGTGAGCAACTCTCTTGACATCGGAGTGGTCCATGGAAGTCCGGCGACATTGGGGAAGACCTGAGAGCAGATGGTGGGAGACTGTCAGAGCACATCTTGGAGGTTGCGTGTCTGCCGTTGGGTGGCATTGCAGTGGCCCATTGTGAACACTAATGCATCACAGCAAGAAGGGCCTGGCACCAATTTGTATGATCTCCACCTGTTCTTCAAAGACTACAAAACAACCTAGCACGCACCATTGGAACCGTATTTGCCACTAGAAAAATATGATAAAAAAAAAAATGTGCCCCTTTTATCTGGCAACAAAACTGACACCTTTTCATTGGCCACACTCATCCCCGTCTCGACTCGCTTGCCTGTCTCCGTGCCCTCAACTGGCTACCCATCACCAGTAGGGTCATATACAAGATCGCCTGCCTCTGCCACCATGCCTTCACATCTGCCTGCCCGCCGTACCTTTCTTCATTATTGACAACTTGCAGCTCAGCACATGGCAGATGCCTGCGCAGCGCGACTCACGACCTCCTCTTGATACCAAGATCCAGGATGGTCATGTCTATGCGCCGCTTCTCGGTGGCAGCCGCAACAGTCTGGAACGCAATCCCTCTGCACATTCGCAGCATCACCTCAATCACCCCCTTCAAGAGAGACTTAAAAACTCACCTCTATAACCATGCTTTCGAGCGACTTTGAGCTTAGTTCCGCGCCTCTGAGTTGCGGCCGTTCTGTCCACAAATTTGCGCGCATTATAAATTGAATTATTATTATTCCTTCGGGTTCTCTCTGGTTTCCTTCCATAGCTAAAAAACCCATACAATGTAAATATTGGCCAAAGCATCCCAATTCTTATATATTTCCTCCAAATTACTCAATTAGGATTAAACACACAGAAACATTGCCTCCGTACTGTGAAAACTTGGCAGGACCCTCTTGAATAAGAGTCTTGAGGCTCAGCGAGGCTTTCTTGGGTTAAACCAGCATCGTCATAAAAATAATAAAACACTACTCAGCAGCTGCAGGATCCGGCTGTGAGGGTTGGAAGCGCTAGTGATGAGGTTGTGGTCGGTGGAATCAATGGGTTGGGTCGTGATGACGTCTCGACGTCGATTCTACCCGGCGTGCTTTTGCGGCATAGCGCAGCACCACGCCAGCCTTCCAGCAGCGCCCTGCTGTGCGGCCGCTCGGTCACCGTGACGCTGCGTGCTGGCCAATGAGGCAAGCCGAGTTGCGGAGACCGAGCGAGGCACGAATCAACATGCTCTCTATCGTGCCCGGCTCTGTTCCCGGATTTTTCTCAATATGAGAGTAAATTCAGTACCTGTGATCTTTGTGAGCAATATAAGTATAGCGGCCAGCAACAAGCAGCAATATCGAAGTTTTAATAGGTATGATTGAGCACGTTGGAAAATATATAATGGGAGAAGTGCGAGTGGTGTGGTGAGTGGAGGAGTGGATGAGTTTGTGAGTGAGTGGGTGAGTGAGTGTGATGTTGCGACCTGCAGTGTGAAATCCGAAAGTTACTTAAATTGGGCTGCTTATAATAATGACCAGCAGCGCATTACATTATTTAATTCTGAGTTTAAGAATTGAAAGCTAGGTTGAAGAGATAAGATATTGGAGTTTTAAAAAATATATTAGAATTTTGCGAAAAGATGTTTGAATTTTTCTCAGCACACAGTTTGCTGGGAAAGTGAATTCCGTGTCTTTGGCTTGGCGAAATGAGAAAGCGTGCAGCCCAAACTTTTTTCTTACACGCGGGATGTCGTCGTAAGAGCTGTCTGCAGAGCAAAGACCAGCAGCCCGTGATGTGAGGTTTGTTACGGGAGTGAGGGTTTTGGACAGGTAGACTGGACGTTTGTATATATGGGTCATGCGCCTTGATGCACACTAGCTGTCGGTCTCCATGACTCACACTTTTCACGGTTGACACGAGCCATAGGGATATCGGTTAATTTAGAATGGAGACAGCAAGTTCAGCTGCTGGCAACGAACAAAGTGCCCAATAGCAATGAAATCGAGCGAGATGATAATGTGACAAATGAAGAGACAGATTCCACCACAATTAGTTTGAACGCTAGTGAGTCTTGCGGCTGGCAGTTGTTGGGCCATTTCACTGTATGTGTACCCTGTCAGCCTACAGGCAATAAGATTAGGACAATTTAATGGTTGGTGCCAGGTTTCAGTAATGGAATGCAACTGTCCTTCGAAGATGCGATCGTGAATTTACGCGGACTTATTCTGTTCGTTGAACAGCTGAATCATGGTGGAGACTGCCATAGAGCTGGTTTTACAGAGGAATGCGTCGGGCACCAGACATATTGGCTGATGACCAGCAGGGACCGCTGGCCAGTGATACTGGGAGAGGATCAGCGAGACGACAGAGTGGAGCAACAAATCGATGGTGCGGCTCCGTGGGGTGACAGCGCGACCCGGCAGGGCGATGGTGCAGCTCAATGGGTCAACGCCGTGACCGGCAGGGCGAGTCAGTGGCGCAGCCCAGAGGAGCGATGGCATTGTCCAGTCCCCTGGCGGCAACGATGCAGCTGAGCAGGCCCACAGCGAGACCCAGTAAGCCAGCGAGTGAGTATAGCGAGCCGGGGTCGGGGCTGGAGACACCGGGCACAGAGCAAAAATAACAAAATAAAAAGAGATGAAGAGAGAACAGAGACAAATTGAGAAGAGGAAGAAGAAAAGACACAAGATAAGACATAAAAGAGAAAGGAAAACCAATAAAAAAAAGCAAGACATACGGAGCAGCAAGGCGACCTGTATAGACATACGTGGCGCCATCTTGCTGGGCTCAGTGTGGTAGTGGTGATGGTTGAACACAGTGTGGTGGTAGTGGTGGTTGAACACAGTGGTGGTGGTTGAACACAGTGGTGGTTGAACACAGTGTATTGGATGAGACAAAACAGTCAGTGTCTGGTAGACCAAGTCCTCAACTTGGGCGGAAGAATCACTGAGTGAAGTGGTCAGAGGAAAATGAATCAACGATTCTTAAAATCGGTCTTGTGTCCCTTTCTGAGTATACGAGGTGGGGAGGTGTGGTAAGAAAGCAAATGTGTAGTTTTACTGGAGATAGTCATTGTAGACAACCAAAGAAGCCCTCCAGGGGCGTGTACAGGTACTGCAAAGCAAACGACTGCTGCGTGCACGGAGTCTTTTCACACCCTGCAATACAAACCCGTTTAGCCTTTGGGAGCCAATATAAATCACTTTACAAAATAACATGCACATTAAAGACAATTACATTGTTAAGTTCTTCAGGCCAATTAAGATGAACTAAATCTCATTTTTAAACTTTCCATGACATCCTTATGGATTCCTTGAAGGTAAATTAAAATTGGAATTAGTAACCCTAACTCTAATGTTATGGCAAAGTCAATTTGACAGTGTGAAGAGAATGAAATTGGGAAGAGTTTTAGGCATTACAGATATTCCATTAGAATTTACTGTGAAGAAGGACCATTGCCTGAAATGTCACCTATTATATTTTCCTTTTAAGGCCACACAGAGTTATTGATGAATGTGTCGAGCTGTGTTGTTGTTGTTTGCGCTTGTGCTTTTGCAGCAGCAGGATAGCCAGATATTCTCTCTTTGATTGTTTATCAGCCAGTCAGTGATGGCTATGCACGTGGCTTATAATTTAGCACTAGGCAGCGAGGGTTGGTGGCTCACACATTGGGAAACTCCATGTCCGTGGGTGGTGAGGAGGTGCCATACCCTGGCTTGTCAGAAGTGGTGCAGAAAACTTGGACTCCACCTATTCCATCTACTTTGGGATAGAGTGTTTCCCCCTCGCACGCGTGTGGGTTTTCTTTAGGTGCTCCGGTTTCCTCCCACATGTAAACACTCATTAATTGGCTGAAAACACCTTAATATATAAAGGACTGCAGAGCTTGGGAAATTGTTGGTAACGCCAGTCCACTGCCCATCTGTGACCTTCCCCGCTTGTCTGTGGTTCCTCCGCGCACCTCTGAGTCGTTTTTCTTTCTTGCCAAGTGAGCGAGTAACCGTGCGGCGCGTTACAAGCCAGAAATTAATTTTTTTGCTGTTGGATAAAGGAGATTTTCAACAAATATCTTGAAGTAGGTATGACCTTTTTTATATAAATGCAGTTCGTTGGATGCCCTGCAGCAGCAGGAGCCACCTTGAGCCCCGGTTTACAGAAAACGGCGGCCGCCCCTTGCCGGCGCAGCGAGCCCGACCTCATTACATAATGCCACTCGGATTCCGCCATCGTCTCAATTCGGCTGTAACTTTTCTATTTCTTGTTTTGCGGTCACGCCGTCTTGGCCGTCGCTGACCCATTGCCATTCTGAAACTCAGAGAGAACGCATTCTGAATGCAGTTTACCCAATTCGTGTTTGTAAGAATATTGCCGTTTTGTGGCACGACGCCGAATACAAATTCAGGGGAATAACGTTGCTATTCTGTGTGCAGCTCGGGTCTAAATTGACATTGATTGGTACAATGGCAGCTGAATGAGCACCACCATGGCTGAAATCTTCTCCCAGGCTCCACAGGGGTCGCCACCATTTGCATTGTTGACCAAAAACCAGCCTACTTCTGTCACCACTGCGCAGTAGGCTGCAATGAATTTCAACACAGCAACACCGGTACCAGATCTCGGTCCAAATCAGTTCCTGCCACCCGAACACAGATGCTAATTCGCTTTACATTGATGCCACTTTCTGCATCAAGGTGTCACTTTGGTAGCCAACCTCTAGAAACCATTGCATTGCCTGTCCTACACACATGGCAAAGTCACATGTTCCTGGTTAACAAAACTGTGGTTCATGCTGTGTGCCGCCTTGTATCCGTTGTTGAACCTGTCCTGAAATGAAATTCTTCGAATCTTCCACACAGAGGAACTGGGCGGATAGACTGCCGCTTACCTCTGTGGCCAGCGTGAGTCCCGCGTGCCGTGCTCTGACCCACGTGACCTTGTGTACAGTGCGTCGTGCGGACCGTGTGCGTGTGGGTTATGTTTGGCTGTGCAACGTCGATTCCACTGCCAGTACCCCCCACCCTTTGGAGCAGCTTGCGATGTTTCCGTTGCAAATACCAGGTCTTGATTCACGTGGCGCTGCCAGAATAACCTCCGTGGTCTTGTTAAAGCCCCCAAACTAAGATGGAGAGGCTTGTGGGGGTGGCCGTTCGTTCCATGAGAGCACAAGTGGTGAATATTCCTGGAGCCGTGAGCACATTCTCAGAGACGTGCAGGCTCACGCACGATTGTGCATTTGCACGTACAGATACGTGGTGAAATACAGACAGAGACATGCGTAAAATACATAGGATCTAGGACAGTGCTACCAAACATGTTGTGAGTGCAGATCGAAATCAAAGCACAATTGTGGCCAAAACCGTTGATACCACCGCACCTCATAGCCAACGAGTTCCACCTCTCTGCCAGATCCTGCAACTACTGCACAGGAGACACGCAGCAACCCCCAAGACTCTGCCCTGACAGTCTCCCACCATCCATTCTTCGGTAGTTGCCTTGATCGCCAGGCTCACGGAGACTACTCCATTGCTGGCCGCGCCCTGCCAGTTGCGTATGAAACACGGACGCACGCACGGACGTGGCTTTCTGAGCAACTGAGTGGCATGCTCTCCTATTTGTTACGAGCGAGTTAATTCACGCACTCGATGATGAAAAGCAACGTGCATCAAGAAGAACGTAAATCAGCGTGCCTACTGTGACACTTGGATCTAAAACGCTGAAATTGATGAGGAAAATGGATCAAAATGCTGAAGAGCGCATCAAGAGCCATGGTGGTGACGCACGTTTGGAATTGCAATGAGAGGGCAGAGAGAGGCTCACATGCGTTAGAGAACACAACACAGGTTAACACACATCGCATTGACATGTGAGAAAATCAAGTGCGCTTTGGAGCAGGACACGTCGCTAGAAGGGGACGGTAGCCAGAGGGCGAGACTGGTGAAGGAGTGCCAGCCAGGGAGGGAACGCACCCGAGAGTATCAATTGGCGCTGACCGGAAACACCGTACATTTCAAACGATACGTATGCCTATCGTCTTGGTTCTTTCGGTAAAGTCACGTAGAAGGAAAATAATAAAATAATAAAAATAAAACATAATAAAATAATTCTCACGACGTTTCGGCCACAACGCAAGCAGCCGTCTTCAGGTGGAGAACAGGTCTGTCAAGTAGACAGAGTCTAGTAGACAGAGTCTACTTGACTCTGTCTACTGACTGGCTGATAAACGCGGACAGCCTCCGTAGCGGAGGCTGTCCGCGAGTGACGTCGCCTCCTCCCCTGAGCTCCGCTGGTGAGGGTAAGCGTGTAAATCCGGCGCTGATGGCGGTGTTGGCTCCCGTGCCGCCCCTTGGCCTCTCGCAGGTACAAGTCGAACGAGGAGTACGTGTACGTGCGGGGCCGCGGGCGAGGCAAGTACGTGTGCGAGGAGTGCGGCATCCGCTGCAAGAAGCCCAGCATGCTGCGCAAGCACATCCGCTCGCATTCTGACCTGCGGCCCTACCGCTGCCACATCTGCAGCTTCGCCTTCAAGACCAAAGGTGCGGCCGTCTAACCCCTCGTGCAACAGCTCCTTCCCACTCCATCTCAAATATCCCCCCCCCGTCCCTGCCCCTCCACCCCCCTGCCACCCTCCCACCTCCTGCCACCCTCCCACACGCAACAAATATGCTGCACAACAACGGCATTGTCCACCTTGGGGTTTGTCTTCCCAATCATCTCTCTTCTCCGAAGCTCTTAGCAATAACCCTCTGCTCGATATGACAGTTTTGGTGACTCTTATCTGTTATAACTTTGAGAGTGCTGATTGTTGCTGGCCGCTTGACGTTTTGGGCCTGTGCTCAGCAACTGTAAAAAAAAAATGGAACTGAATTCATATGTTAAATCTACGCAGATATTCTCGTGTGTTTAATGCAGATTTTGCGCCTACAGTATGTGTCAGTGCATGTAATGTGCATTCTATGCTCTGGCGTGTTAAAAGCAGTGCTCAGCACTCCGATGTCCTGGCGTTGTGCACGCCACACTGTCTCTCTCACTCCTGTGTGTGCCGACGCACTCCTCCACGCTTCACCCCCCTGTGCCCCCCCCCCCCCACTGTAACAGACAGCCTGGGGCCTTGAGCTAGTGCTTCCGAGTGGACGTCGATTTTATTTAATTTGTCGGGTGGTGGTGGCTTTGCGCGTGGCATTTAGTCCAGCGCTCTGGAGGCAGGGAGAGTTGGTGGATCGCCACACAGATGTTGCAACATTCCCTTCCTGTGGGCGTCGAGGTGCTATATAACCTGGCCGGTCAAGAGAACGCTGTAACATCGCAAATGTGGCCACCACCTGTTCCCTCTGTATGGGATAACGTGTTTCCCCCTCGCACGCGTGGGTTTTCTCCAGTTGCTCCGGTGTCCTCCCACATGTAAACATAGGGGGATCGCACAGCTTGGGCACTGACTTTCCGCCTGGGTGCCTTCCTGCCTTTCTGTGGCCCGTCGCCTCTCCGAGTCATTCTCTTTATATTCAGGAGTGAGCGAATATCGCTTGGCGTGTCACAAGCTGAAATTATTATAATTATGATTGTTACTAAAAGTAGCGGTTCATCTGAGCAGAGGTTTTCAGCTCCGGCTGCCCAAATCCTCATCCCCCGCTTTTGCCAGGAGCACATTTCAGCGGACCGAATTTGACGGCAGATCAGACTGCCGATGTGCGTTTTGTGAAACTGTTTTAAGTTTTTGTGAACACCTCGCATACCTTTAAAGTCTTCCACACTGGCGTGGTGTTGAAGCGCGCAGTCCTTGACTGAATCTAGCCACCTGTGGCGACCCCGGACCCCGCACTACAAACACGCAGGGGCCGATTTTCCACGTAGTGCCCCAGTACCTCATGTGGCTTACATGGGCGTCCAGACTTTCGCGTCTCTTCTGTGCTCCCTGTGGCCTAGCGGCCACGACGTAACCTCATGGCAGCGCGTTTTGCCGCTTTGTCGCAGAAGCTGTGGTTTTGAGCCCGGTGGTCGCTCTGGTGAATACTGCTGGGGCGTAGCGACCAGAAAGTACAACAAAAACACCGCGCGCCATCTGCCCCGCAGTGGTCGTTAAAGATTCCGTGACGTCATTCGAAAATTTTTGTGGGCCATATGTGCTGGTTTCATGGGCAAAACTTGCCAAGTTACAAAATAACCCACAAAAAAATTACCACGTGGCAACATCGCCCTCTACTGGCAGACTGTAACCGTCTGTACCCTTATCTGAGACGTATCACTTTACGATAGCCTTGTGCTATTAGTATGGCCCAAACGTCAAATGTACTTTTAACTATTGAGTACATCGTACAACGAAGTCTTCTGTAAGGACGCTTAAACTCTCTTTCATATTTAACTTGTCAAGGCGTTTAGTGCATTTGCTCGTTTAAATCTGTACATTTTGTGCAATCTCTCCTAGGAAACCTCACAAAGCACATGAAGTCCAAGACTCACAGTAAGAAATGCCTGGAGATGGGTCTCACCCTGGTTCCGGTGGACGACACGGACCCCGAGGAGGCCGGTAAGACCGCACGTCCAGCACGTCCAAGACGGGGGGGGGGGGGGGGGCGCGCTGGATCGGGGTCATGTGAACCCCCGTGCAGTAACGGTCATAACTAGTTATCGTTGCATAGCAGTGGCGTTGTGCTCCGTACCAAGTGCTTCTTCGAACGGTGGAGAACTTGTAATGCGTACAGTTTTCACGTGGAGATGCGGGAAACCACAGAAAAGCAGGGGGAGGCAGCCAGTGCCTGTGCAGACAATTGCCCAAGCTCTGTGATCCTTCATTGGCATGTTTAGCCAACTCAATTAATATTGAGTGTTTATACAATTGGGGGTAAATCAGAGTACCCAGAGAAAACCCCTGAGTGCGACGGGGCTAACACTCAATACAATATAGATGCCCTTTTGATACTTGGAGTTTCACTAAATTGTGTGATCCACCAACCTTACTTATGCAAGGACAACTTCCATAGAATACGCTTTCCTGCTGTCTTCATGTCGGTTTACTTTTTGAGATTCCTTCTGAAAACCAAGAGGTCAGAGAGCTGGTTTGGCACTGCCAAGATCCTGGGTTTGAATTCAGGTCTCATTTGCCTGTGATTAAACCCAGGTTCTTAAGTATAGTGAGTTGGTGGTCTAAAATCGGTCACCAATGACAACACAAATTTGGTTCTGCACTGAATCTGGGAAAATTTCAGCTCTGAGAAATGTTAATATTGTTTAGACTTTAGTACCACGAATATTACTCTCATGTGCTGCCCTGTACCGTGAGGTACTACAGGTCATTCTAAGGGATCTCAGAGATAGTTCTGTGATATCCACTTCCGTAGGACATTCTCTATCGCGTAGGGTTACACTGCACTGCAAGAGATCTGAAAGGTTGGCCTCATCTCATGACGTGACACCTATGGCACAGTAGGGATGAAATAGTGAGGAAATTACAATCTCTTAAAAAACACACTATCTCATTATCTTTTAGCTAAACGTGTAGTAACCGACTCGAATCTGTAGCCCTGCAGCCTGAGCAATCCCGTCCCCTCTCTCTCGCGCTGCACCAGTTGCCAGGGCGACGGTGCCTGCCTCACGCCCCTCGCTCGTTCTCCTGCTCCACAGCGGTCAGCGTGACGGTGCGCTGGCCGGCACACGCGTGGCTCGCTCTCCTGGGCTTGACCCCGCTGACGCAACATTAATATTCCAGCGGCGTGCTCGCCCGCGGTTAGCGGCGACATGCAGATGCGGGGGAACGGAATTTGTGATTTATCATTAATTGCAATTGGAAATATTTTTCGCTGGAAAAATCCCTGAAGACGAAATGTCGGGGATGTCACGCGGGTGCATCCCTTCATTTGCTGCGCTTTAGGATTTAACGGATTTTAAAGCGTGGCCAAATGATCGTTCCAGTCCAGCGCCTCGTTTATAAAACACCGGCAGCCAACACGACTGACGGACGCATACAAACAAGCAATCAGCATTGGTGCCCATCGCTCGTGGCGATCGTCGTGCGCTATCACCCAGCAATAGAACCCACGTGGTCACCCGGTGGGTCGCTGTAGGGCATCGGGGTGTGGTACCCGCACGGCGTTACGGGAGTTCACGCCGTGCACCTAACGCACCGCTACTGCATTACCAGGTTGGCTGTTTGTTTAGTGACGCGAACCACTGGGAGAGAGTTGGTGTGAGTAGCAGTCGTGCAAATTCGCCCCAAACAAACTCAATATGAATGAGGCCAAAAGAGTTCCATTTTCAAGTACCACCTGATGCAGTACAGCACAGAATTGTTCAGCGCACCCGTACACACACACACACCCGTACACACACACACGTGCGTACAACAACCGCCATTCGCCACTAAGTGGCGGTGACGTCACCACGACGCTTGTGCGTACACACACACCCGCACACACACACGTGCGTACACACAAACATCGCAGAGCTCCAGAAAGGGGTAAAATCGACAGCCGCGCTCCGCTCTTGCGAGAGGTGAACATGCGCACTTGGCTCCTCGTTGCTTGCGCACACACTCTTCAAACTCTCACTTAATTCCCTGCCCACTGTGATCCGCGGAAGCAAGGGAAGAGCGACGCTTTTTGGCTGTGCGGGAGCTGCCATGGGGACGGCCATTGGTTTAGTACAGTGGCGAAGGAACTCCCACGCTTCCATCTCCATGCCAGCTCCGGGGGCGCAGCAGCCTCGCGGGCCGATTACGTTTGACGTCAGAGCCTGCAGGAAGTACAGCATTGGGGGGGGGGGGGCTTGACGAATGAGCGAGCGCGTGGGCGAGCGCGTGGGCAGGATGGATAAGTGGGTGAGTCACAGATAATTACATTCATTTCACGCTTCCGGGCCGTGGCGTCTGCTCCGCACCTCTTCCGCATTTTGATACGACGCGGCCGCACGTGCTGCCATCTTGGTACGGCGACCCGGCAGGCGCGCTGTCACTCGTGTGTCACGCTCGTTTGCAGGGAACCAACCGTACGTTAAGTCAGCCACTCGGCACACTCTCACATATCAACTCATTGCCATTCAATGGTTTCAGCAAAAAATTATTTCCTGCTGAAATGACCATTGTGGTATTGGTGCTCATCGCCTGTTTACAGCCCTGAGTCAGTGGTGGAAATTCCATATTTCTATGGTGAGGATGAGTTTATCCATAGGACAACCACTTTAATTCTCCACAGAGTGATACTGATTTTATAGACCCCCAATTGATGATGGGCTGAGTTAATGAACTTGCTGTAAAAGCGTGCTAAACATTTTTTGTGACGAAAAAAATCGACTTCTCACGTTGATATTCATCCTCCTACATGCCATTCACAAACCAGGCCCCACATTTTTAAGCAACCACGAGTGAATTACAAAAATAATTTTGATACCACTTTCGTGGAACACACAATGACTGGCAGTGAGCTCTCGTGTCGTTCATAGGAATTCAACGATTGCTTGCGAATCGCATTGGAGAAGTGCTTTGCCCAGGAGCGTTCAGGAGCGTGTGTTTTACATAGCACCTCTTCGCATGTGCCCCCCTGAGCCAAAAATAGCGTTACACTGCATTGACTCGCTGCCGTTTCCTGTTCTCTCCCCGCAGCGCTTGAGAACGCTCACAAGAAGTCATCTGGAGACCACCAGTTCTCTGATGCAGACGTCTCCGACGGTGACCGGGAGGAGGAAGAGAACGAGGACGATGACGACGAGGATGACGAGGACGACGAGGTGGACGCGATTGCTGGCCTTGCAAGGCGCCCCGGAGATCACAGAGCAGAAGACTCGACCACCGCAGCTTTGTCCTCCGCAGGGGACGGGTGGGGGCCTCAGGGCCCCCACGTGAAGCTCTACAAGGCCCCAGGCTCCAGCTTTGACGCCGAGGTTGAGAGTCTCACCTCTCAGTTCCGCGCCTTCCCCTACTCCGAGGGTGGCAAGTCGGCACAGCAGGGCAACGCAGGGGACAAGCAGCATCAGCACGGTGCAGGCTTTGGCAGGGCGTGCTGGGACAGCTACTCTCCACACGCAATGAGCATCAACAGCGAGAGTGTGGCTCCCTCCCCCGGCCAGTTGATGAACGCGTCATTGTCGCCCAGCCAGATGAGCGTGAGCCGGGAGGGGTCGCCGTGCACAGGTGAAGGGGAAAGGTCGTCGTCTCCCAACGCCTCTCCCGGCCGTGCGTATTCTCCCGGCCGCGTGTACTCTCCTGCCTGCGCGTACTCTCCGGCCCGAGCGTACTCTCCTGGCAGAGCTGCGTCCGACCCTTGTGACGACTCCACGATCGATCCCTTCGCCGCGCACTACACGGAACAGTTGGCGTCCAATAAGCTTTCGCAGGTTCAACATCAACACCACCCTCCACACCACCACCATCTTATCCACCATCACTTCCAGCAGCAGGCTTCTGTGAGCCGGCTGTCCGTGCCGTTTTGTGAGCGTGCATCACGGCAGCAGGAGTCGGCGACGCAACAGCAAACGCAGCAGAGCCGCGACTCGCTGGTGCCCAGCCGGCCCCGAGGCCACCGCGCGCACTCCCTGTCGCCGTACCGGCGCGGCTCCTCCGGCAGACCCTGCTCGCCGTCGCCGAGCCGAGAAGCGTACAGCGGCGCCGCTGGCGGAGGTGGCAGCAGCAGCATTCTGCGAGCGCAGTCGCTCTCCCCGAGCCGCTGGAGCGCGCTACGCGCAGCCGATGGCCCAAAGAATCCCGACGGGGGCGCAGGGGCGGCACGCTCTCCGCCATGCCGGTCTCCCCCCGTCGACGCCGCCCACCACGGAGTCCGGGACGGCCTTGACTGCCGCCCACGGCCGCCGTGGGGAGACGACGCGGCGACACCGTCGCCCGCCTCCCTCCCGCCTGCCGACGAGGAAGGGAGCGATCCACGGGTCAGCGCCATGCGCTGCGGCCAGCGCAGCCGCGGCACGGGGGGGGGAAGCTTTGAGTCAGCAGCGGCGGACCACGAGATGGAGACGTGCGGTGGCTGGGCGGAGGCGCGCGGAGTGGAGCGGGGCACGGTGAGTGCGTCCGTGAACGCCCATCGCCGCACGCGTTGCCTGTGACCGTGATTGGTAATCAACTCTACTTTCTCCCCGTGTGAGCATCCCCATATCAACGATTCGATGGTAGATAAAGCTAATAATTCAAAATTTTGCTCAGTGAGAGGTTGCATTCTCTTTTTCTCCCACTCCATAGGTTGACTCTCATGTCCCTCAGCTATCCATGCTACCAACTCCATGCTGCTTCCATTTTATTCTGACGGTCAGCAACAAACAGCGCGACCAAATGTGTAATTGACGAGAGTGTTACACGTTTCTTGAATTGAGCAAGGTTACAAGAGCTTGAGAAAGAGAGACAGTGGGAGGGAATTTAAAAGCGTTATCATAAGACGATCGTATTCGCAGTGATGCCAAAATATGTTGAGCCTCTGTTTCCACAGCATCTCTGGTAATGCAATCGCTGAAATTGTGTTTTCGCTTAACAAATGTTTTGTGTGGACAGGCACAGCCACAGGACGGCTACGGACGCTCTCTGGACCCGAAGGCCACTCGTGCCGGCCTACGGACGCAGCCGTCGCTGGCGTCTGCGAGCTGGCACAGGCAAATGTTTAGCCACCTGCCGCTACATTCTCAGCAGCCTGAAGGGACCCCAACTCCAAAGATCCTCGTAGATGGAATGAGGGCCGGCATGGGAGGGTCAGTCTACCCACTACCTCTTGCCCCAGGGGCTGAAGAAGCAATGGCTGCCCTGTCCACGTCTGCTCGGAGCAACTGGACCGCCGTGCGCGACGTCGAGTGGCGGCAACAAGCCTTCGCTCTCCTCTCAGACACGCAGCAGCTGCAGCAGCAGCAGCAGCACCAGCAGCCGGTTGGGCATAGCAGCCGATCAGGCTTCGCATCAACGATGCTACCCCTGTCTGCCATACATTCTGCTTCGAGGTCGTCTCCAGGTTTCTCAAGGAGTGCAAGTCCTGCCTCTGCGATTTCTCAGATGTGTAGGGCGCAGCAGCAGCAGCAGCAACGACCACAGGATGGAAACGTGGGCCTTTCCAAGGATCATAACTCATGAGCACCGTGCATGATTCAGCAAGGCCTCATCGCCCACATCCCTTATCAGGGCCTGCAGGCTCCGTGAGCTCATCTCTGACTAGTTTGTGCTTGTGGCCTGCCCACGTTTATGATTTATTATTATTGTTACAACTTGAAGTTGGCACATGGGGTTAATGTCCCCTAGCTGTGTGTCCCTTTCTTCAGCGAACCCTCTACTGCTGATGGACGTTTTGATTTATCGTCAAATACGTGAACTTGCTCGGCTGGAAAATACCTAACGTGAATTGTTCTTCTTCTCCTGGTGTCTTGGCTTAAATATTAATGTACGTCACCAACCGTGCAGCCATAATGAATGTGTGACAGTCCTGTGCCCCCGAAGTACGAGACTCATGTTTATAATCGTGTGGCCACGTTCGTGTTCATGGTTTTACAAAATGTATAAAGGAAAAAAATGCAGTGTTGAGTGGCGCTAAAGGTTATACAAGAGATCGCATTGAGCGGTGGCGTGGTGGTGAGGGGGATTGAATGTTGTGAGCATGGTGGATGATTGCGGTGGTGAGAATATGGTGAGAATGGCGGCGTGGTGGTGAGAATGTGGTCAGCGGGGTGGTGAGCGTGGCGGCGTCATCGTCGTGAGAATCTGGTGAGCGTGGTGGATTGTGGGAGTGAACTTGGCGGTGGCGTGGTCGTGAGAATGTGGTGAGCGTGGCGGATCATGGTGGTGAGCGTGGCTCCGTCGTTATGGTGAGAATGTGGCGAGCGTGGCGGATCGTGGGCTGCCTGCCCGGGGGTGGCCGTCGACTCTGATGGCACGCGATTGCTGTCGTTCTGCAGTGTCGCTGTCTCTTAATAGCGTGGATTAAAATGATGTGAATATTTGCCATTGTAAAATAAATCGTTGTAATCATTGCATTGAAACGATATAGATGTGATATTAAATGAAGTTTGATGTAACAAAACAACAACACTTAAGAATCAACATCGCAACACATCACCTTGTTCCGCATGTGTGTCTAATTGTGCGGCAGTGAGTTGGCGGCGTTTGTGGGAGGATTGCCAACGTCGTCTCTCTTCGACAGTCGACTTTGTATCCTCTGAGCTGTGACCTCTGATGCAGTTGCAGCGGGAGCTCATCGCACATGATTCGCGGTACGCGGTGCCGTGCAATAGCAATGTCGCACACAGACGGCATCGAGTTAGGCCTGCGCCACATTATTTTGAGGGGTGCCGCGAGAAGGGGATATTACGACGTCTCTTACAGTGTAGGGCCCTCGATTGTCGTATCTCCCGTTTTACAGAATATCGTTGCATTATCATAAAAAATTGACGTTTTTTTCTGACCTTATTTCTGAAATAACACGAAAACAGTGATAATAAATTACGATAACTCATTAAGTAGTGTCTGTAAAATATTTTCCCGGAGTAATGGACTGCATGGTGGTTATATGAAGTCATCGTTTTCCTAGTCCCTGAGAATATTTAATGATCTCTTGTATAACCGGCAGCACGTGCGGAGTACGCGTTAGATTGTATAGTGGAAGTCATTAGAAGACGTTTGTATCGGGATTATATGGAGTGATGTTTATCTGCACCGGAAGTACAAACACAGAAACAATATAGATAAAAATGCAAAATACAATCATAAAGTAACAGGCAACTGATATTGTGATAGTCATCGCACCATGCAAACTGATATTGTATCGTGAAGTCTGATATCGTGGCCGCCCTGGTAAATACACAAGGGTGGTAGAAAACTATCCTTGTCTCAACGATACCGTCACGAACGTGCGATGTTTGAAGTGTGTTGTAAATGTCTTACAAATGAGACGAAACGGGGGCCAAACTTCCTACAGGACAAAAGCAGAGACGGAGAGAGAGAGGGAATCACTCCTCGTTTATGGCAGGGCCGAGATGAGTTTACACAAGGGCTAGCTTCGAAACGTTGTTTAGACTAAATAAAAAAGTACAGTTAACGGAAGCTGAAAATTTACTTGGATTGATATTTGCCACGGAATGTTTTTATTTTTATGAACCAAAGTGTGTTGTTCGAGATCGATGCTCTCGCAGCTCTGTTTATCCTCCGATTGGTATTTTTTTTACATCGGTGGACATTGGGAGACGTTCAGAAACTCCATAAACCCCAACACCAAATGAGATTTAATATAAAACAATCGCGATAGCAACTTAACCCAGGATAACATTTTATGTATTCAACACAGAGGATTAGAGATGGCAATATAGTTTTTAATTATTCATGTCTGGTGGCAAAACACAATGTTGGTGACACCTTTGAACATTCTCATATGAAGGATTGAAACCGGTTGCCCTGTCGTAGGCCCACAGTCAGTGATTGGGTCACCTGAAGGCAGCGTGAAGGCCAGGAGGCACAGCCACTTTGTGCTGCCGTGCAAATTAGCGACCGTGCAGCCATCGCAAGCGAACTGGAAAAAAACAGGGCAGGCGATGAAGGGCAAACGAGAGATATTTGTATTCTAATCGGTCCCACGTCTTCGTGGCAGTCTGACAGAGGAGAAAACGCACAATCGTGCAAAAGTCCGTCACGTATGCATATTTTTCCTAGTATTATTTGGAAGAATGTATGTAAGGACTCAACAGAGACTGCATCGGTTTATTCGAACAGATGCTAATCTCAAGATGCTCATATTTTCCTGCCTCAGCAGTTCTCCTGCTGTATTTTTCACCTGATGACGATTGCTTGTGTTGCGATCGAAAAGTGATGCCTTTTATTATTTGTCTATCTACGTGGCTTTACCGAAAGACCCAAAGAGAAGGGTAGCAGTGGTAACACAAGACGATGAGGCTGTTTGGAAATCCACAAAAGCAGTTATGGTCTTTTAAAACGTATTTGGTGCTTTTTGTTTCTGCCGACACATTGGAATTTTAAAAGCTGTTGAATGTGTAAAAGTAACCTTTTTGATGTTTCAATATTTGCAATATTTGAATAGACGGTAGTGATTCTGTAGATTTCATTGGCTGTGGTGCACGGAGAGCTGAAAGTGCCGTGATAGCCAGGATTTTGAGCGATAGCACTTGTAAGCAGGTACACGATGCGATTATATCATGAACTTGTGGGACGCTTTCAAATAGCTAGGTTATTGTTTACACCCACCTATAATGACTCAACCGGAATCAAACCTTCAATTGCGTGCGTACATTAATATTCCTCTTGTGAAGTGACGTGCACAGTGAGACCTGTGTCCATGTGGGATGTCAAAAGGGCTTCAGGTCATTTGGCAATTAAGGTTGCGTGAAATGGGCATTCTCCTGGCAGGGGAAAGCGAGTGCCGCGTTTCGGAGGCACAAGCGGAAGCGAGTCGCGCCTATCGCCGTGTCTTACGAGTGTGGGACGTGTTGGGTGAGGGAGACGGCGCTGGCAAGTCAGCTGGCTGTCTCTTCTCACGTGCCCTTGCCTGGGTTCTCAACTGCCACAGGGGCTCCCATCTCGTGTGGACGGTCCCAGACACAACGGACCCCTTAACTTGCGTGGAGTGTCGCGGCTACGTTGTTGCGTAGCTGGCATTGCACAATGGTTGCGTGTGTAGGTGTGTGTTGCGGTGGCCCATGTGCTTGTGAGCGCACGTGCGGTGGTTACTCCACGTTATTGGAGACGCAAGTTGATTCTCTGGTCGCCAGGAGGCGTGGGGGGTCCTTTGCGCCTGGACATGACGTGCACGATGGCGGTGATGGTGGTGGTGACACCGCGGACGGGGTGCGAGTGCGTGATGCCGCGAATCTCAAACTCTTATCAACCGTGACCAAGTCAATTTTAGGAAGGAATTATGAGATTTGTTTTACGATAAAGGTTCATATTCAACAACGACCATCGAGTGTTTTAAGTAACTCCTATCGCTCACACGCTGATGGGGAGTGCAGTATGCGACGGTGTATATAGCACTTTGTGGCTAACTGGTGTGCGTGTACAATCTGCGTAGTAACCCTTCATTATAAACTGAAGTATACTTTTTGCCAGAACTGTGGGGAGATGGTGTTAAAGTGGAATCAAAATAAAATATAGATATCTTGGATTCTTTTCTCTACATATCTGTGATATTGCACTGACAAACATATTTTTATAAATGTATATGGCAGGGATGTCCCCTGCTTCTGTGTGCTTAGAATTCGCTATTCTACTATTTGATTGTGTACAGTTTGTTGCTATGAGCACTTTGCTTTTCGCTGTGAAAAAAAATAAAATGTGTTCCGCTACCAAAGCAATCGGGCAGAGTCGGTTCCTTGAGCGCGTTGCGGCGTCGCGGCGTGGACATTTGACCCAGTGAAGTACTCTTCCAGGCCTGGGATAAGCACCTCTCAATCGGTGGAAATTGGACGCAGTCTGCTCTCACAAACCAAAGAGGACAGTAATGTTTGTTGTTGTTGAAAATATGAAATATAAACCATCTACAAGAATAGAACAGCATTGAGATTGCGTCACTGCGAGGGGAGCCGACAAGGAGGTGCGCGACACCGGATTGCGTTGGAAACAACGCATGCGTCAATATGAATGGGATATATTAACAAGCTCACATTTGCTGGGATGACAGTCATAGTCTCAGAGATGAACGCTTCCATCAGCGCATCAACTGCGATGACACGGAATGTAAATTATAGACATTGACAGAGGAGAGGGAGTAAATGCTCAAGAGTTTTCAGAAAAGCGTGGAGACGGTGCTTGAGTGGATTTCCGCTTCGGTGAGAGTTGGACCATCACATGTCTGCATTGACTGCAAGAGACCTGGACGGGACGCGTCGCTCTCGAGAGGTCCCAGAAAAGAGTCCGTCCACCACGGAGATGGAGCGAGATGGATCGTGGTCATCGCAAGACCCGAAGATGGCGACGGCTTGGGAATGCCTTCAGCAGTGGATGCTGCAGGTGTAAGATCACGGCTCTTGTTACTGATATAGTTCCGTGAAAATTATGATTCCATACTGTGTACCTTTGGTTATATTTAGATATTAGATTTGATTTATTTTACAGAAAGGGCCGAGTGAGCTGTTGGACTCTTTCATGGGCGTTCCTGCAACATAAAACATTGGATAAACGTGAGTATTCCGATTTAAAGCTTTCGTGGCTGCAGGGATTCATCTTCTTGGTTCTTTCGGTAAAGTCACGTAGAAGGGAAGTAATAAAATAATAAAAATAAAACATAATAAAATAATTCTCACGACGTTTCGGCCACAACGCAAGCAGCCGTCCTCAGGTGAAACCAGGTCTGTCGAGGCGACAGCGTCTGAATGAAACAGCACACGTGCTTGGAGCATATATATAAGCTGGGTTGGAAGGGGGGGGAAGGGTGCCTTGACAAAATAATTTGTATATCAAGAGGAATTTAGCATATTTATGGGAAATGCAGGTATGTGATTAGTACTACTTATGCCCGTGCATTATGCAGGATTAGCAACATCCAAGGGAGGGGATATGGGAAATGCAGGTATGTGATTAGTACTACTTATGTCCGTGCATTATGCAGGATTAGCAGCATCCAAGGGAGGGGATATGGGAAATGCAGGTATGTGATTAGTGCTACTTTGCCCGTGCATTATGCAGGATTAGCAGTATCCAAGGGAGGGGATATGGGAAATGCAGGTATGTGATTAGTACTACTTATGTCCGTGCATTATGCAGGATTAGCAGCATAACAGGGAGGGGATAGGGGTAGCATTAATAAAGGGAAGAAGTGTTAATAGTATGTAGCTGCAGTAACTAAACCCACCACGTAAACAACTAAAGTATAAACTACATAGTATCATCATTATACTAAATATACTCTACGATAAGCTGAGTTACTAACAGTAAGTAATACATTACAATTCTACGTCGTAAAAAATATAATATGCTTCCATTTAAACTTTATTCTCTTACACCACACGAGTCTACACCGTACTATATACTGCCATAGACAAACCCAACATTAAATTATATACTGTATTGCTATAAACCACCCTTAACCTTATCCATTGTAATATTACACTATGTATTATTCTACCCACCCTAATGTATATCACACTGCTGTATATTCACTATACAATTACGATACTATATATTACTTTGTACATTGTATTAAGCATATACATTTTTATACTATTTGTTATTATACATTGTACCGTTGACCGTCGTGTGAAAGATACTAAGAGGAAGAAACAAAATATGTCAAAGCAGCGGAGCAAAGAATCCATTCCCTGCGGAGAATACAATGCCAGTGAGTGGAACGCGGTCTGAAAGTCACCGTAAACGTGAACACAATCAGTTAAGATCCGAAATGGTTTATTACGTCCTTCCAATGATTGCTAAGCCAGAATCCATCTTCTCGGTTAGTTTCATTCAGACGCTGTCACCTCGACAGACCTGGTTTCACCTGAGGACGGCTGCTTGCGTTGTGGCCGAAACGTCGTGAGAAATATTTTATTATGGTTAAGTCACGTCTAAAGATAAAATAATAAATTAAATAATAGCATATTACGACGTTTCGATTGCAACACAAGCAATCATCATCAGGTATAATGAAATAGCGACATAAAATCTAACCAGAAAACTATAGACAGACATATTAGTAGACAGATATCACCAAGATACATAGAGAGAGCAACACAGGTAACAGAGAGGGGTGATCGTCTCTGTGGGGTGGCCTTAAATAAACAGAGGGGGGCGGAGGCAGAGAGAGGGAGGGGGTTAGAGAAAAAATTAGCATATCAATGAGTGGACAACAAACGTGATGCTGCAAGTGCGATGGCACGGCAAGCAAGCCTGAAAATCAGAAGGACACACTAAAATTAAATAACCTAGTAAAATATCGAAATGTGATGTAATACAACACAGAGGGTCGGTCAACACACAATTAACGCATAGCCTGGTTGATTACGTATCTCAAAGATTGCTAAGTTAGAGTTTAAGTGTGAAACTTCCAAAGAGAGGACACAACGTCGTAATATGCTTTTATTTTAATTTATTATTTTATATTTAGACGTGACTTAACCGAAAGAACCAAAGAATAATTCCTGCAGTCACGAAAGCTCCATAATTAAGATTAAACAATTACACTTCAATCTTGATTTGAAGATTATCTATTACACTTCAATGTGAGAATAGGTTTCCCCCTTTTTTCATGGCAACAAAACAGGTGTTAAGATGTCAAAACACTAAACTGAAACCTTTGACAAGGAATCATGTCTGCATTAACCACAATACTTGTGGTCAGAATGTAAACAAAAAATATACTCTGGATAATATATGCATTGTCTTTGAAACTGATTGGTCCACACCAGAGGACAGTTTTATTTTGAGCCTTTGACCAACTCAATTCATTCGTGTATGTACGTGTATGAAGAGCAAACCCGACTACTAATAGAAAACCCACGCGTGCGAGAAAGTTAACATTCAATCCCTGTACAGTACAGAGGGATATTAACCCGCTTGCTGTACTGCCGTACCCTGGCAAGCCAGGAGATGGCGACACACCCGATTATGCACCCACACAATTAGAAGTTGAAGTGTAATCATCATGGGTCCTCCTTTGCCAGTACCAAAATATGAGAATATGTTTTCCCCTTTTTTCTGGCAACAAAACAGCTGTGTTAAGATTGATTTGAAGCTTTCGTGACTACAGGAATTCATACTCTTAGATTATTTTGGTAAAGTCATGTAGATAGGAAAATAAATAATAGATTACGACGTTTCGACCGTAACAACAAGCAATCGTCTTCAGGTGAGAGAGAAACATGCCGTCGTGACGAGGCATTACATCGATCCGAGAGGGGGTTGGAGGGGAGGCCGTAAGGGGCGAGAACCAAAGAGAATTAATTCCTGCAGTCACGAAAGCTTCAAATCAAGCTCGGGTGTGTAGCCATCTCCTGGCTTTGCAGGGTACGGCAGTACAGCAAGCGGGTTAATATCCCTCTGTACAGGGATTGAATGTTAACTTTCTCGCACTCGTGGGTTTTCTATTAGTAGTCGGGTTTGCTCTTCATACATGTACATACACGAATTAACTGAGTTGGTCAAACATCCCAATATACGACCACAGAGTTTTGGCAACTATTGGCGCCGGTTCTGGCTACCGCTCGGCTTTGTGACGTCGTCCCTGCGGCTCTGCGGTCTGTCAACAACTCCGTGGCGTCATGAAGAGTCAATTCACTTGAATGAGTCTTGATTTGAAAAAAAAACGAACTGTGAAACTATTTTTAACACCGTTATATTTAGTTGCATGTTTTCCATTTCAATCTGCAAGTGGCATTTCTAATGCCTTGCCTGAAATAAAAAGAAACCCTTCCCAATTGACATCGCACTCTTGAGATTGGGATGGGGGTGAAAATGGCCTCCAAGGCACTGGGGTGGCACGCGCACTCGAGCGGAGCCTCGCCCACCGCCAGGGCCAAGCGGAGCGGCACAGCGCGCGCGCCCTGCGGCACCGGGGGCCCCATTCAATGCCCCCCCCCCCGTCCGCTCTCTCGTGTGCCCGTAGACTTGGGCGGTGGTGGGGGCCGTAGCGTGGCAGTGGTCTTGATGGAGTGGGGCCTGCTCTACCCCAACGGTTGAGAAGCATTCGTGCTGTTGCGTAGTGAAACACAAATCCTCATGAAGACATTGCCTTCACGTATCGAGGATTCGAGGGGCTATATGGGAAAATGGATTTGACACCCACGACAGTGAACTGCGGGCATGAGACTCCCGACTCGTGGTGCTGAACGTGGAAATCCAACAGCACCACTGAGTGGACCCAGCCCCCAGCTCTACAGTTTCGTGATTGTGACGAGGAGTATGATCAGCGGACAGCCACAAGGCCGGCAGTTAATGGCAGTTAAGAGAGTTGAAAGGAAATTAAGGTACTAAAGTGAATTGAAGGGCTGATAAAAAAAAGGGATGGAAGGGCAGTTAAAGTCCTAGATTTGAAGCTTTCGTGACTGCAAGGATTCATATTCTTAGGTTTTTTCGGTAAAATCACGTAGGTAAAACATTAAAATTAATAAAAGTAAAATAAAATAAAAAATCACGACGTTTCGGAGGCAACACAAGCTTCCGTCTTCAGGTGGAACCGTCACAGCCACGACAGCTGTATCAAGTAAATGAGAGATAGCAGGAGCTACCACTCCGTTTATATAATGGGTGGAGAGGGGAGGGGAAGCGGCAAGTACAGCACACGTTTTATTCATATGGTAAGGTGAGGAGGCTAGCTTTAAATAAGATCTGTTTAGTGTCCTCACCGAACTCTAAACAGATCTTATTTAAAGCTCGCCTCCTCACCTTACCATATGAATAAAAAGTGTGCTGTACTTGCCGCTTCCCCCCCCCCCCTCTCCAACCATTATATTAACGGAGTGGTAGCTCCTGCAATCTCTCATTTACTTGATACAGCTGTCGTGGCTGTGACGGTTCCACCTGAAGAAGGAAGTTTGTGTTGCCTCCGAAATGTCCGAAATGTCGTGATTTTTATTTTATTTTACTTTTATTAATTTTAATGTTTTACCTACGTGACTTTACCGAAAAAACCTAAGAATAGTTAAAGTCCTGTTAAGCTGAGAGAAGCAGAAAGAGTGGCTGGGTTATGAGAGCTCCACGTGAAGCTGTTCAATAACAATAATAATAGAAGTGTCACAGAGACAGTAGGCACTCTACCAATTGTTCCAAGTGTGGAGCACTATATATTTTAAATTTAAATTGTGTTACCCATTTGGGTTGAAACGTACGCGATCGTCGGAGTCTTTTCTTACCGTTTGTATACGGGAGTCAAAATTGAGGCGAGCTTCCAAGTGGTTGCGCAAGTGGCCGTTGGTGCTTGAGCTGAGCAAGAGGCGGCGCTGTGCCACGTTCTCACCGCGCGCCTCCACGGAGCCGCTGCTGTGATTCGTTCACAAAGTGACGCAGCAGCAGACATTACGCCTCCTGCACATATATGTCCCTCCACATATAAATATATATCAAGTTTTTTTTACACATCCCACCAGCGATGGTATGTATTATAAAATATATATATAATCAGATAATATGGCTAAATCATATATCTGCTCTACCGCGTAAAATACATATATTATAGTATATTTATACATTCCATCAGCTGCCTGGCATTCTGGAATTGCATCATTGTCAAGCATCATAGGTTCAACACAAGTAAAACTCTGGATTGGTTTCGACATTCAGTGTCTGGTGAAAAAGGAATAGAAATCTTAATTTGATACGAGAACAAAACAAATGGAAGATTAAATCTTTATCGAAACTTACAAAAAAATTAACAGAACGCACTCTGTAATTAACATGATGGTACAGAATAGGCTTCATTCTTTGACATAACCTGAACTCTTAATACAAAGATGAGCCACACATGCAGAGGCTAACCCTGCAGCACGAGGCGTGTCCGTGCTTATGCACAATACTGCTGGACACCCACTCCCTCTTGGCCCTTTCTGCTGTAATCGTTCTGCCATTCAATATCCTGCAATGAAGCAGGTTTATCCCCAATACTTACCAGCATTGGTCCAATGGCATTATGGCCTGCGATGAGAGTGCACGATAATGCAGCTTCCCGGTAAAACTACAAAGTTGGGTCAACGTTGGCACGCGGTTTGAATTGTTTTACCAATATTGGCCCAACGTCGCATGTTTAACTGGGTTACTGGCTTGCAACATGTCTCTGTCGCGCAAGTGTCAAACAAGCACGGCGTGTTGATCACCTCAGTCGGGGCCCGTGAGCCGGTGGTGGTAATGAGACAATTACATTCCGGATGTCGGCCTCGTATTCGCACAGCCGCAAGCGACCTCCTGCAGTGGTCGTCACGATATCGACATTTGAACGAACTGCAACATTCAACATTCAACAAGAGCACAAGGCGGGGAGAGATGCGTGTGTGGAATTAGACTACGAGACAAAAGGAGGAAGACGTGGATTGGGGGAGTTGGTGCAAGCTAGAGACACATTGATTGTTATCTGCTATGAAAAAGGGTCATTGCCCACAACATCGCCTTGATTTGCTTTAAGGCCGTTTCCGTGCGAATTTGTCGAGGTTTGTGTTAACTGTGCACCACTGCGAGCACAGCAGCCAGCAGCAGCCAGCAGCAGGTGCGTTTATAGAAGAGATTGCGAGCCTGGCCGGGGCGCGTCGCCAGGCGGGGCGGTGGCGGGTGGATGGAGACGCACGATGGAGTGGCAGCCCACACAGAGAAGGCGATCGATGCCTCTCCACCGCGCTCGTGGAATGGCCTCGTGTGCAGGAGCTACACCCGATTGCTGTACCGGGATGGCGACAGCTGGTGAGGTGTTTATCCAGCGGTGGGATGATGGTGGCTGAAGCTGATAACGGCATTACATGGCAAGTCAACCCCCCGACTGAGATTTGAACCCGCAGCCCTTCTGATTTGAGCAGCATGCCCTGCCATGCACGGGGGCGCAGGCGCGTGCACTGCTGCATTTACTGCCGCCGCACGCCACTCATTAACCATTCGCGTCATTTTAAATGTAACAACATAAGTGAGCAATTCGCCTCAACCATGCATATGTTCACCCACATAAAAAAACAATAGTTGTGTTTTACACACCCCGTTGGTCAGCCGTGGGTATTTATTCGTAAAAATGTCCGTTCAGACCTTTGTTTACCCACTGCTAGATGAAGGACTGCCCACAATGTCAGTCATGGTAGAGGCTGCTTCACCATACTTCACCTCGCCGGTGTGTGTTGGTTTACCGCTATCAGATTTTGCACTTACACATACGGGTTTGTACATGGGTGATGTTAATCTGAATTCCTCCTTTGCAAATAATGAATGCTTCTCAATAACCCATGACAGAAGATTCCACAAGACTGCCAAATAGTTACCGCTTGGCCGGTCGTCATGGCTACTCCGGAATGTGTAAATATTTGTTATTCTGTGAATGCAGCCGACTCAAAAACATCCAAACAGATGCTATTAAAATGTCACGATATTTGGTCTTCACATCGGCGTAACCTCAACTCATGCCATCTTTGACATGAATGCAATTCCTCTATGAGTGCTTTAGTTCATGGCATATGTGTTGTTATGTTTTATAATTTATATCCTCAACTATTAAACTATTTTTTTTATTTTACCAGGCAAGGCCCACTGAGCGATGTCGCTCTTTTTCAGAAGCGACCTCGCCACACATGGAAGCTCAACTAAGTGGCTTGATCACGTGGAGATTTAAAACTCTAAACGCACGTTTCTAATTGTGGAGGGAAAACCCGAAGGACCCGGAGAACAATCCATGCGGCCACAGGGAGAGAAACATGCAAACTGCAAATATACAGGCGTCAGGGTCGGGATCGAACCCACGACCTCCTGCATAACTACCAGGAGGTCGATTTACGACAACATTTAGCATTGCTATTTAATATATCCTCAATTATTTACATGTCCAATAAATAGTTTTCATTAAATTACTTATTTAAGAAATCCTCGAACATAAAAAAGAATCACACATATCAACAAACATCATGCCATTATCCCCCTTTTGATGTTATTAGATGGCGCCAGAGTGGATATGAAGGGCAACGCCCCTTATCCGGCGCCCAAAGTTTGCTTGTTATCGACAATAATTAAATCGGCGGCCTGATGACTTCCAATGATGTGCGATTGCTTTGCCGTTAAATGGAGCTATGCAGCAACTTCTTCCTATTATCCGAGATTTGTGTGAATAATTAGAGAACATTTGCTGATAAACCCACGGAGAGGATTCGCGAATTTGATCCCCCACACCTCTCTTTTGAAACACAACAAAACAACTAAAAAAGGTGAATTACGTACAATTTCAATGTCTAGTGTTTGTGAAGTGGTATTCACCATTCTTCACCTTTCTATGCACTTGCCTCTGCTTGCTACAGCTTGGTTCAGCATATAAACAGCATTCTCCACAACTATGCTGAAGATAATTTAGAGTATGTGTTGTAACATTTTGCTTTGAATTGGGACGCATGTCTGACAGAGAGGGTCCTTACCTTTCAACATCTGGCAGTTCACCAGTATCATTTCGACCAAGCCTGACTCTGCTGACGAGACATTGAATGTTGAAACCAGCCAAGATATGTATTGTGTTGAATCAATACTGTTGAAATGAAGCACTCCTACAGGGCCGTGTGGCTGATGGGACGTGTACACAAACATTCTAATGTTGAGGGACAGGAATGTGAAAGAGGGTTGTTGTCTGTTTATTTAATTTGGTTCTTGTGGAGACGAGTCTGCCGCCAGGATTGGCCACGAGAGTTAACGATCGTGAGAATGCGTGATGGCACCTGCTGTGCGTGACCCGTGCGAAGTTTCCAACTGTTCTCTCTGCGCCTCCGTCTCATTTACGCTCGGGGTCCGTCACCAGCCAAATCTCTGTCCATCGCGTGCGCCAATAAGCCAAAAGCATTCCTGCGAAACGTGCCCTCGAAGAGGTCACGTCGATGTCACCAATTCCTTTCAACCCTAATTGTGCTAAATGTGGCGGCACACCACACCTCGTTCGCCCTCCTCCTCCTTCTCGCTGGCGGGTTCGCCACGCTCGCTCACTGTGACGCGAGGTCTCCGGTGTTGGTGGGGTGCAGCTGGACGCACTGAACGCCTTTCGAGAAACACAAACCGTCAGTGAGGGAAGCCTCTTCTATTACCTGTAGTCTTTGCTTCAAAAGGACCATGGCACATCTGAGGATGAACGCTGATCCGTGGTGAGAGAAATATACCGAGTCACGGGACTTGAGCCTATGGGAGGTGGCCTCGTAGTTTATGGACATTTCGCCATTCGGTATTTGTGTTCAAGAACACATACACGTTATGGGCAGGTGAGAGCTCATTGCGAATCCGAGTCTCGCTTTCACGGGAGACCTGAATTCCAAAGACACAATATGAAACGTCTACCAAACCCAGTTACGATTGCCATACATTTACCCCGAAAAAAACTCAAAGTGTACGTGATATCAAATGTAAAAATGTTTAATTTTTTTGTATGAATACGTTGATAATGTCAACAAGATAACAACTAAAGGAAGTCAGAGGCAATGATGAAAGCATGTGATTCCAATTATCCAGGTGATTCAAGCAGATAATCCACGCAGCGGGAATCGTGAGTGGGACACAGATGCGCGTATTTGCCAGATGTGCATGTGTGTCAACCCTCAATGCGTGCATCGCGAATGAAGGAGCATTCTCGCATTAATTCATTCGGTAGATTCGCATCACAATCTTGCTGTCATTAAGCCGCATCAAGTTGGTGGGAATCACCTAATATATCACTCATTAACAGTGGACTCCTCTTTGGGGATAGTGGAATGCAGCCAGTGTTTGGGTGTAGCAGTCACAATGATGGACAGGGCGGCTTGCATTTAAAACAATAATCACAGTTGGTGTATATTTGAGTTTATTTAGGCTCTGGTTCAATGTGTGCTGTAGTGTCACATCATAGGGTGATCCAGATATCCTGTGACCACCAATTAATTGAGCCCTGACATTTATATTTAAATTTAAAATAAACCTTACTTTAAAATGATTAAGTTTTAGAGAATTAAATGGGGATCACAAGACATCTGGATCACCCTGAAAATGTAGTGATGAGCGAAAGCGTCGTGGTTAGTGCACTACGCTACGAATACGCCGACCTGTGACGATCATCTGAACCTGTCCTGGGCCTCCCCTAGGTCGCCTCAGCCTCGAAATGAGTACCTGGTTCGGTGTGCAAACATCGCCGCGAGCGTTACAAAGGTGGCCGGACGTGGTGTTGGCGTAACCCACCTCTTTGTATGCCGTGCTGGCTTTCGTAGCACTTGCACCCTCAGTCTGTGAAATGCTATACGCCGTGTAACGTGGGGTACAGGCGGGGTACTGGCAAACCCACCCCCTTGTATTCCACAGCGCCGGCCTTCATAGATGCTTGCTACTCGCTACAAACAGCACTTGCCCCTACAACCTGTTGAGGCTATACGGGTGATTTGTGTTTTTGCTGTGTTGACGTGTCCGTGGGACGCGTGATTTCACCGCTAAGCCCCCCCACTTCCCCCTCCTTTCTTTCATGATCGCAGCATTTCTCTTCTTTCCAGGGACACATGTGGGGGACCAGCTCTGAAGTCGACAGTCACGGACTGGGACTACAAATCAGCACCAGACATTTGTAAACGCATCGACTCAAATTCGGGCTATGGAGTAAACAGCTCGACGTTGCAATGTGACGGACAGTCATTGAGTGATTATTGCCGTGCGACCTCTTTGGACGATTTGGAGCTGGGACCAAAAACAGGAATGTGGCCGATGAGGAAGAATATTTGGGGCTCCCGAATGTGGGGACTTAATCGTAAATAATCATCGACGCATACACATGAGAGGTAATAAACTATTTAAATTATTTTTTATTCTGATCACATTTGCAATTTCCCCATACAGACCGGCCCACCGGCCCTCGGAATGGTCCGGCCCACCGGCCATTTTCTCTACGGCCAGTCCGGGCTTGACTGTAGTAAGTTAATTATCCTTGTGAATGTTCAACGTGGCGGTGATGGTGGTCTTCACCTGCCTGCTTACTATAGCATTGAGACGGTGGTGGAGCATTCCACATTGATATGGCATTGGCAAGTCTATCCCGTAGGACGGTCACTGCCGGACCTACCATGAATTTGGGCCACAAATTTTTTCCAACGATTATTGGGAAATTATTCAAAGAGATTCATGATAGAGATGGCTCTGTAAAGGGCATTTGCAATTCAAAGAGTGACACGCGTGCTCGTATCGTGACGCATCCTGATGAGTGACCCCGTTCGTGCCAGGCTGCCATAGGCTGCTGCGGAGCCGTGCAGTATGGTGAAGTATGGTCGAATAGCCCCCAGGGCCCGCACGACGCAGTAGGGTGGCCCTCATCCAACACTGGCTGTCTTTGTACATCCTGACTCATACCGCTAACATTTTAACTTGGCACACACAGTCTCGCGCCATTCGGAGTGCTGTGTACGGTTCCATTATCACGAGATGTCTATCACTGAAGACCACACAAGCCTCCAGCCTCTCTACCGCAGGCAAGGGGAATGTTGCCGCAGTGTCGTGGGTCCAGGGCCTTGCAATCCAGCTTCGCCGGCTCGATCTCCCGACGCGGTAGTTGAAGCAATAGTGCAAGTTTCTTAAGCCGTCTCCGCCTCTGCCCAGCCAGCAGTGGAAATGGGTGTGCCACAGTGAGCCTATTGGAAACCCGCCTGTGGCGGGGGGGGGGGGGGGTAAAGTCTGGGTACTAATGATAGTAATAATGTTGACTTGTAACGTGTTGCCGCACGGTATTTGCTCATTGTCGAAGACAGAGAAGGACTCGGAGGCACAAGGAACCACAGAAAGGCGGGAAGGCAACCAGCTGACGCCAACAATTGCCCAAGCTCTGCGTGCTCTCCATATTAAGGTGTTATCTGCCAATTCATTGGTGTTGCTATGTGGAAGGAAACCGGAGCACCCGAAAAAAAATCATTCGTGCAAGAGGCCAACACTCATACAGATGCAAACAGATGGCGATTAGTGCACTTGTTGTATACATGACGAGCCGGGGTATTGCACCTCCTCGACGCCCACGGGAAGGGAGTTTCACGACATCTGTGCGGTGATCCACTCACCCTTGCTGCTGCCTCCACAGTGCTCGACCACAGGCCACGTGCAGCAGCGTAGCCACCGCCGCCCAGGCACTCACGCCTCCAAAGACATTTCATCGACATGGAACGGTCAGCCAATAGCAGGGGCGTGAGAAACAAGACTCAATAACTAAACAATATTTTATTTTACCAGGTAAGGCTCACTGATCTACATAGCTCTTTTTTCAGAAACGACATGGCCACAAATGATAGCTCAACGAAGTGGCTATTAATATGGAAATGTATAGCAGCCAAATACTCAAAACGCGTGCTGTTTCTGAATGTGGAAAACCCAAAAGGACCAGGAAAAAAAATATACGCGATCATGGAGAGACCAAACGTCAGGGTCGGGATAGAACTCACAACCTCCTGTATATCAGGCGAGGTATTCATAATCAGGCGAGGTATTTAACAGGGCAAGGTGATAAAGCAGGCGTTAAGATGTTAAACACCAATCATATACCTTTTGCAAGGAATCAAGTGTGCATTAACCACACGTACTTGTGATGAACATGCAAACGAACATGCTCTTTTAATATGTGCAGTCTTTGAAACTGACAGGCCAAAACCAGAGACAGCCTTCTTTATGGCATTGTCTCACCAGTGTTAGACTAGATAACGCCAAAAAGCGAAAACTACAAAGACAATGCACGTATCAGAGCATTTATAGCTTGGGTCGAGCAGTTATGTTATTTTTCATTATTTTTTTATACTGCCAAAAAAGTCCCATAGCGAGGTTAACGAGTAGGGCTGCAACTTATCGTTATTACTGCACGGCGTGCCCAGAGAGAGGTGTCTGCTGCTGCTGCTGCTGTGAGTGGCAGCGAAACGTCGACCCCCAGCACCCCCTCCCCACACCCACTCTTCAGGGGCAATAACCGGTAATCGTCTAAACATAATTATCGGTTATCCGATGATTTTTTTAATCACCCTTGTAGATAAATAACAAGACGACTCAACACATTCATTAAAGCAAAACATGTGCCACGAAGAAGGGTCTAAACGTCGCCTCATATATTTGTTTTCTCTTGCAAGGCCGCACAATGTTATGAACAGGGAACTCATTGAGATGTTCGTTGCTTGTGCACCACTGCCAACCCAGCAGCAGCAGCAGGATAGCCGCCTTACATGCGTGTAGCGCGCTGCTCATGTGAAGCAACGTGGCATCAGCACCCGGGAGGGCCTTCGCGTGAACCATCGCGAGTGACAACTCCTCAACCAGCGCTGCCTCACGGCTTGGGGCGATCAGGGCGCGGTATCCAGTCGGGATCACAATATGGGTTCTCCAGATCGGCCAGGACTGCACCTACGAACACCAGTTTCACATTCCGCTCGGCTCAAATTCCCACCGTGTTTTGCCAGTCTGGCTGTCACCGAATAAAGATACCCAACACCAGACCATGCAAGACCACTGAAACAAGAATGATGAGCGTTTGCAGAATTTTAATTGCTTAAATATGTTGCCATTTGCTTGATATCACACGACTATTGCAGAGGGTTGACCATCACTATCATCACCAGCTGAGATCCATCCACTGCTAGATAAGGTCTCCCGAGAGCCATCGCATATCTCAAGGACTTGCGATGCAACGGATCCGTGTTGCAGGTGCGCGCGACTTGATGTCATCGCTTCCATCTTCGCGATGCACGTCCTCTCGGTCCCTTGGCTTCTACTCCGGAGTAAGTCTCAATCACCTTCCGTCGTCCCGTCTGGCGGTGTGAGTGAGCAAGTCGTAACGTAGCACCCTTCCCTGTTTGATAGACACAGCCCAGGCTTCAACATCCCAGTTAAATCGATTTCTGCCATAATCTTATACTACCGGTGAATGCAGTGGCTCTTAACCTTTATTGCAGCCTGCACCCCTTTGGTTCTCAATCCTAAAATAATGTTTTGATAAATACATGGGGGTTTGATGAAACACAGTAGTTGTACTTACATGCCCGTGCTTAATTTGTTTTCAATGATTTACCTTAAAAAAATATCTTCCCATGTCTCGCAACCCCAGAAAGGGCATCTGGCATCCCCAGGGGGTGGGTGCACCCCAGGTTAAGAACCAATGGATTAATGGATATATCCATGAAAGTGCTGTCAAAGAACGCATCTCTATTTTCCACGTGGTCCTGAGAAGCGAGACGGTGTTGATGAACGCACCTGCATCCATAGAGACGATGTGGGCATGTGTGTGCTCCTCAAATAAACACATACATGTGTACTCGTGTCAACAACAACACGCGTGTGCGTGCGTGCCCCACCAGAGCACGCGCGTGCCAAACTCATCCACGCCCCCCGGCACGTTGTGGCGCGAGTCGTGTTCACACGCTCACACGCACAGCTCCCAACAAGTAGTGCACCTGCTCACCTCGATAGGGGCATCGTATCTACAACACAGTCACGTGCCTGCCTCTCCTCCCAAAAACAAGTGGGGAGACGCAGAGATCATGACGCAGGTGGCTACGAGCCCTGCTAGGTCCGACGTGAGCGAGCGTGCAACCCGGCGAGAGCTGGGACACACCGAGACGTCAGGACACATTATTTTCAACTCGTGCAGCTGCCGTCCAAATGCTCCCGCGACTCGAGACACCTCACGAAGCTTTGCTTCAAACTAAACCATTGCGTTGAGAACCTAAATAAAGAAAAACAATTTATTTCTACCTGAATAATATCAACTAACCCAGAATGTTGTGTACGATTTGGAACGGCCGTTATGTTTACCGTATCAAATGCAGAAACAGGAACACAACACACGTTTTTGGCGAGCAATTATCATTACAATGAAAGTCAAATAAATACAAGAGACCCTTGAATATCGCGGATTTGTCGTTCTCTGTTTCGACCTATCATGGGCAACATTTTTTTATACCAATCTAGCTATCGCGGGGGTTAGCTTTGGCCTTTCGCAGGTATACTGTACCTGGCAGTACTGCACCATTGGCTGGTACCGCGCGGTGCGGAGTGGGCGAGGGACCCGAGGCAGTCGAACCTCGCCCCCTTTGCCGTGCAAAAATCTCGCGGACAAAGACAAAGATCACCCATATAGCCTTAACATACGTTTTTGGCAAGTGCTGTTAGTAAGCACCTTTGAAGGCCGGCTGGGCAACACCAAATGTCGCCTAGGTACTCATTTAAGACTGAGTCGACCTAGGGGAGACTGGTGCTGGGCGTGAGTGGGAATCGAACTTGGGTCGCCGAGTTCGTAGCGTGCGAACCGTAGCACTACCGCTCCCCACTCGCTGACAAATAAACACACCAGCTTTAGATCATCATTATCATTGGTAAGTATAGTATTTATTCAGTATTTATACTATTTATTGTCTAATAATGTTTTTTTGTATAGGGTTTTTGCACGTTTCTTTCAATTTTTGCCATACAGTATAGTACTTATTTTAATTTTTGGTTGCTGTGTACCTAACCCTATTATTTAGGTAAGCATTAAGTTTTGAATATCGTAACCCCCGCGAATATTCAAACGTCTTTTGTATTACATTAGACATTGAGACTTTCCAGTAATGTAACTCGGGTCTCACAGCTGTCGGTTGCATACAGATTCAACACAATGGTTCACACGTCTTCAGCAAGTAACACGCAGAGTCTGAATCATAGGCGGGGTAAACAGCTCTGCTCATGTAGAGGCTAAACGTTCACCAGCTAGACTACAACCGTTGTTGAGTGTGTGCGGGTGAAGCGTTAAATGTGGAATGTTTATGCGTTCGGCGATGGGCATTGCATGAGCCTAGAGCACGGGGAGCTGCGTTGAGCTCTGATCTCATTCACCTGCTGGGCCACCACCCTGTGAACCACCGCAGGAGTCCCACCGGCAGCGCGGGAACTCTGTGCAGCGACTCGAGCTGATCAGGATTGTGGCCGGACGTAGCGGTTTAGATACCGAGAGGGTGCGCGCACCACGCCATCACCCCGGCGACCCAAGTTGAAGTTCTGGCCACAGCTAACATCAGTGGTGACGAATTAAATCTGGAATTATCCTGAGCCCCAACACCCCCTTCGCCAAAACCCACACTAGCAGGCACGGCAAACTACGGTCAAATGACCCCCAATGGTCAATTCAGCTGCATGGAGGCTGGGTCGGTGGTGGGGCATGGCGCCCCCCCCATGCCGGCTCGCGGTCTCCTCATGGTGCTACCCCGATCCGCGTGGCTCAGCTCGAGACCTGGGAACCGGGGAAGGGGTGATACTGCCAGTCACCGTCGTGGAACTGGTAGCTTATACAGCGTGTCCTCAAGATAACGACGCAGAATCACAATCACTATCCTGGAGGAATCCGATGAGCTATGTAGCTCTTTTTCACAGGTGTCCAGTAGGGGCGGGTCAGAAAGTTACAACAACAAACTGTACACAAACTGATAGGAGTGCAAATTATAGTAAAGGTAAGCAAGTCACTAAAATGAATGAAAAATAAAGCATTTCACTACAAATTGCAAAAGTAATAAATTCGTGCCGATTTCTCAACAGCAAAAACAAAAACAGTCCCAGACCACACCAAGACAACACACAGTCCCTCAATAAAATCGTACATTAAAATTACCAGAGGGACATCCAAAGACACATTTTAAAAAATCGGAAACAAATTGAAACCTCACTGCCCAATTAGACATCACTCATCCCTTTCTCTGAAGCCAGTTACCCTGTAGGTCTCGGTGTAGCGTACCGCTCTATCGCATGGCACATGCGGGGGCATAGAGCAGGTCCTGAAATAACGTAGGCGCATTTTTGCCCTGTCCTGCACTTAGCGGGGGTTGTTTGGGGGACCCCTAAAAACGCTAAAGAATAGAAACCCGCACTCTCAAAGCCAAAAACCTAGCAAGCGTGTGAGGCAATGTGAGGGGTTTTGCCACACCGCCCTCTACTGCCCAGCACGTCGTCCCACAGGCTCCACAGTCACCTGCCCTGCGCATGGGTCCACGTCCATCCAATCACTATCCATGCTCAACCCTGTTTAGTCTTCAGAAATATGACCAGATCGGGAATATTTCGAGTGATTTGCTCACAAACCCTATATTATGATACTTTCCAAACACCCTGCTGCCTGAAGACCGGGGTTGGAATTTTTTTTCTTATTGAAGGCCCAATAAAACTTTCTTTGCTGGGGAACGACAAATCACTTTTGTCACTACCAGAGGCGCTATCAGCGACAGAAGTGTCTGAGTAGACTAAATTAAAAACACGTTGATGAAAATACTGAAAATATTCCCCTCTAGTACTCGATTAGTGCAGCTAAGATGTTCGCAGTGATAAGTCGTTTGAAATGAAGTTACTGGTCTCCTGCAGTCCTTGAACCATAGATGCCCACCCCTGGTGCAAACAGAGTGACGATTTGGTGGTTGGGCCTCTATGCACAAGGTGGTGAATATTTCTGTCCGAGCCAGAACTAACAGCCAACGGCTGCCACCTTTCCCACTCAACCAAACCCAGACAGATTTCTCAGTTAGCCTAGGTTAAGATCAACACTGCAATCTACCGTGTTAAAGTTCAAAGTGATACCACCACCAGATGTCGGTAAAAAATAATTTATGCCACCCGAAAAACGCCAATTCCTGAACCGTTCATGTAAAACTCAGACAGGTGTGAATCCAATTACAACCTCTCTTCACAAAATTCCCCTCTATGGGTATTTTGGGAAATAATTAGAGTGATGGTTGTGTTGCGTGGTGGCTTGATGGTGGGTCCCCCACCCCTGCAGCCCCGGGCTGTGGCAGTTACCTCAAGGCGGTGTGGTGCCCGGGGTGGCCGTGGGGCTGGGATTTTGCAGTAGGAGGTGCAGGCCCTGTCCTTGCGGAAGAGGCACAGGCAGCGGCTTGGGCTCTGCGACCCCGTGGCAGCCTCTCGCCGTCCGCGAACCCGCGACCCCGTGACCCCGTACGGCACCAATCGTCTGCAAGAGAGGAGAGGTTTGCTCACTCTTCAGAGTGCGTGGTTCAAGTTTCAAGTGTATTTTGTTGAACCAGGTGAGAACTCAAGAGGCTCATTTGCAAGGATGACCTGGGTCACCAAATTGACAAAATCAATCAAAAAGAAAGTGCAATAACAAAGCAAACATAAATCAGACCAAAACTAAACCCCGTTACAGAAAGTGGTGCACAAACATAACCAATATTTAATAACATAAATTTCCAACAAACGACATTTAAAAGTCAGACAGTGATGGTAACAGATCGGGAGTAGCACCAGTGATCTTACAAACGGCCATCGTGTCGGCTGTGCCTATCCAATTTCTGAGAAATATGCACATGTTCTGCTGTTGCCACCCTTTTGTTAATCCACCGCTGAATGAGGGCCTCACCAAGGAGTAGGTCAGCCAAACCGACCAAAGCATTCGCAGTGCCCTCCTCGGCAGAGCCGCTCTCCAAGCCCCGTTGTCTCACCGTGTGACTGTCAAACGCATGGTGGAACACATCACGTAGTCCGTGCGGCGGTGCTCACCGGCGGGGTGCGTGCACCCACACGATGTCCAGGTGGCAGAAGTAGATGCACTCCCGGTCTGCGAGGTTGTGGCATGCGCAGCGCCGGCATCGCCACCGCCACGACGCCGCCGCCACCGCGCCGCCGGGTATGGCCCCCTCGTCTCCCCATCCCTGTGGCACCGTTACACCTGCCTGGGCCACCACAGGCACCCCTGTGTGCGTGACAAAGACAAAGATCCCCCATATAGCCTTAATAGACTGCAAGGGTCAAGTGCTGTTCACCAGCACATATTGAGGCCAGCATGGCACACGAGGGGGTTGATGTGGCTAGCACCATGCCCAGTCACTTTTGTCTCCTGAGTGGCAATGTTTACACATCGCACAAGATACTCATTTCATGCTGGGTCTACCTAGGGGAAGTTTAGGACCAATATTTGCCTCTGTAATTGGTCGTGAGCGAGAGTTGAACCCGGATAGCCGGGTGCGCAGTGCATGCGCTAACCCCATACCGCTCCCGGCAGTGCATGACACACGCGCCGATAGAGAGATGCGTGCTGAGTGCTGGCAGCAACAAATCGCTGAGAGACTGCAGGCGACGTGCTTGTTTTCCACAGTCGTGCCCTGCAGGCTATAGACAAACTATCACAGGCTTACTTGATATTCAGTCACAGTGCTGTGCCTGCTCAAATTAGTATGTGAAGCTGTGGTGCTCATTTCCTGTTTACAGCCCGCCCTGAGCCAGTGGTGGACATTCCACATTCAAGGTAAATGTGGAAATTCCATGATATATTCATGGAACAAGCAATGTTGGCTTCCCCACAAAGTAGTACCTATTTTATCTACCTGCACAGAGATGATAGGTTGAGTCAACCCCCAACCAGGATTTTAACTCGCAACCTTCCGACTGTGAGCCGCTCGCTCTACTGCTGATCAAGCCACCTGGCCGGCCCTTGATAGAGACAGTTTGTTATATTTGTCTGTGTTTGCCTCCACAATGGTGAGATTGAAGTTACCTAATTATTGACGGTCATATGTCAATCAATCGCGTGGCAAGGGCAGCTCGCTCACCGCGGCCGGGCAGCGTGAAGGGCAGCAGGAGAGTTAGCAGCAGCACGTCCATGCAGACCCCTCTCCTCTCTCTTCTCCTCCTCCGCTCCTCGTGTCCTCTTCGTCTCTCCTCCAATCTTGGGACTCGCTTCAGTGACGAGAAGTCGGCTCCTCTGGATTCGCACCGTCACCGCTCTCTTCGCGTCGAGAGGCTGTGATGAGTCCCGCGATTGCCGCCTCCTGCCTCCTCGGCTGCCTCAGCCCTGGCGGCCACGATGGAGAAAAACGTTACGATGGTATACGAGTCAGAAGTGATCGGTGAGATGCGGAGAGAGAGATGCCTGCAACTGGGGTGGTGTCTGTGAGAGATGAGTGTAAGAGAAGATGCCGGTGACTTGGGAGAAGACTGTGAGAGGAGATGGCTGTGATTTGGAGACTAGGATGATAACCGCGTGCCCCCAGGGAGTCTGAGTGCGTGGGGTGCGTGTGCTGGGGTGATGCTGTGTCGGGTTGTGCGGGGCGGTGGGTATTCGTGTGGCACTCTCACAGGGAGTGCAGCCATGGGCCCTCCTCTCAGACACAGGGAAGGAGAGACAGATAGGGAGGAGCCCGGCGGGGAGATTTGAATTTGGTGGCTCCTCCCGAGCGAACAGACACGCATCGATATCATCGCCGCCACCCACCACCGCGCGGTGGGTAGAGTGGGGCGACATTCCGTTCATCGGGGGAAATGAAGCGTTCCGCTAGCGCGGAGCCCCCGGGTTCGATGACCGGGCACCCGCTCAGAAGAAAGCATTGATGTGGCGTGACGGGCTGGATGACCTAAGTTCGGTCACGTATGGCTGCATCTCGCAATGTCTCGAGCGGCGATTAGAGACTTTGCTTCCCCATCGTCGTGTCACAGCAAGCCGCAGCCAGAACATGTGGAGCATTAGCGACACAAACCGACCGACTCACAGGAACAATACCAACAGCGAAGAAATGTGTGCAACTCGGGCGAGTGTAAGGTGGGCTCCCAAACTCGCATCGCTCGTGTCTCGCTCTTCCACCTGTCCATATCAGTCAGATGCACGTCTGTTTGACACCAGGCCACACGACCACCACATCCCTTGCCCTGGACGTGTTCTTCCCTGGCGAGCGTGATTGGTCATGAATTACACCGATAATTTACACCACCTTTGTAAATCAACTGCTGGATGGACTCTGCACGCTGTGCAGGCCGTGTGGATCATGTGACCGTACCTCACCACGCTGCTCAGGTGTACGCAGGGGCCATTGAAGTTCGAATCCACAATGGATGGTGCTGCCCCACTCACTGCTGCCCACAACGTAGCCTCAAAGCAGCCGATGACAACCTGTCATACATGATGGTTGCCCATCCAATCACTCAAGCTGAACCCTGCTTCGTTTGCAGGGTCTTCACGAGATTGTTATAATTCCAGGTGATTTCCTCATGGGGCAATAACTTAATGTATAAATACATATGTATTAAAAAAGTTTCAATAAGAAATTATAGAAAGAAGTCGATTTAAATACTGTATGAAGTATTACAAAATAACCATAAAAATCATAGCACGAGGTGGCTCGGAGGTCAGAGTAATGAACCAGCACTCGTGAGTACCTGGGTTCCCAACCACCCGTGAATCAGCCAGCTTCTCATCAAGTGTAACGAGTCAGTCACTGCACACAATAATCGTATTACATTTTTTTCAATGAATGTGCCTCAATTTTAGCTTTGAGCTTAAGCATCAATATGCAGCAACTGCAAAAACCTATCCAAAAGCACCACCGATGCGTCCTTCGACACAGCAGCAACCTCAGCGTAGGATCGGGCACGCCCTCTGCTGCACAGAGATAATGCGGCTCCTTTGCAAGGCTTTTTCAGGTGCTGCATCGAATCTCCCGCTTGGCGATTCTTGGACACACGTGGTCATACGAATCTGAGAGATTTCCGATTGGGTTCTCTGTCTCGTGACGTGCCACAACACCAAGGGCCTTCCGGGAATAGAATTGATCCTTATGGCGATACCCCGGGGTACCAAATAATACAAAATGGCCGAGGCAATGAAATATTTTATTTCTGGGACACTATTTTTTCCATGGGTGTACTTAACTCCGCGACTGGGGTACCAATCAATCCGAAATCAGTGCTACTCCGCAATGTCGAAACGCCAAACATTAGCATAAAAAATCGTTATCAACTTTGAAGAGTGCATCGTGTACAGCTCGTCAAGATGAGTCGATTGCCGCATCGCCGACCATCGACAGACTAAAAATGCCTGCATCACGGATATTATGCGAGAGCCGGGGGACGATGGTATCCCGGGGTACCGCCATAAGTTACATTGGTAAATGGGAAAAACAGTACGCGAAAAAACGAAACTTCAAGAAAGCAAATGAAGATACGTTTTATTTAAATGACAATGCACAACGTATATAGATATGTACAATCCACCCAAACATGCTCACAGGACCTCACTAATTTGAGCTCTTGTGGCTGCAATTCGGTCCGTGTGTCCACCTGACACAAGCGCAGTCTTCACAACGACAGCTTTGCTCAAAGCAGACATTTTAATGCCTCTGTAAATGTGAGTTTACCGCTGCTCAAGTGTTCTCCTGTGCCACGAATGTCCGAGCGTTTGGCCCGTTACTCGAGAGCACTTTAGAACCACAGCAACTCTTTCATGACCATGAGTCATTGAAAAAGTCATGAGGCATAATTACAGTGTGGAACCAGTTTGCTCCTCAAAATTATAGAAATATTTATGATACACTACGTACACATCCGTGGGACAATCCACAGAGTGCCACATTCGGATTGTTGGTGCCATGAACTCAGTTTTTTTTTCTTTTACCAATTTATATACACTGATGGGGGCTTGGCCAGTCCTTCAGCCAGCAGTGGATGGATCATCGCTGATACATGACAATATTCTGGACACATTAAATCTCAATGGATATGGTGGTCCAGATGTTTTGTGACCCCCATTTAATTATCTAAAACGTAATATTTTTCAAGGTTTACTTAAAACAGCAGTTCTACTGCTGGATGATTTTTTCCGCCTGAGGACGACCGCTTGTGTTGCGATCGAAACGTCGTGATATATTATTTTTTGTTTTATTTTATTTTTCTACCTACGTGACTTTACCGAAAGAACCAAAGAGTATAGAAATGAATATGCAAAGGAAAACAATGTTAGGGGTCAATTAATTGGTGGTCACAAGACATCTGGACCACCCTGTACAGTTCCTCCAGTTGGTAGAATACCACTTCACGAGTTGTGATTGAAGTGAATTACCCACAGCAGACTCTTGGATTAGACAATGTATATGGCCTGCAGATGTTTTTTGTTACAAGCAGGCTATTAAAACAGTTTAATAGTGAATAGCAGCATTCATTTCAATTAGCTTATGCTCATAGGAGCCCAGCTTTTACAAGATGTTACCCACTCAAGTTAACCAAACCAGATGTTGTGTACAAGCAGAACGAGGACACTCCAAACCACGCGGCTCTCGGTGAGGGCAGCAGAGGGACAGTGTGGTAAAATACGCTGAAATGTAGTACACTCCAATGTCTATGCTCCCCATCTTCACCTCACATTGGCCAGCAGGATCAAATTGTAACAGCCATGATGCTCACAAACAGGGAGCCGAACTGGTTGGTTCTTGGGAGCAATGCGGTGCACCAAAAAGCTTTTCAATCGGTTACAGCCCAATTGGTTAAACATGGACTATAAAGGTTTGGCTCCAGTTAACCGTTTGTGAAAACTTCTTTAAAACAATTCAAATTTGAAAAATAAGGATGTCCTGTATAGCTTACGTTGCAGGCTTAATTGCAGGCTACACATTTGAATCACTACAAAACGCATCTCTTTCTCTCTCCGAGCTGCAGCTTGCAAGAAACGGTGAGTGGGAGATGCAAAGACAAAGGGAGATAAAGAAAGACGCAAAAAGGCTGGTACACAGATGCAGAACAACTTGGGGTGAGTGCTGTTTGCGGGAACCCATGCAGGCCTTTTAAATACTAAGTACAATACATACAATTTATATGTACAGTACTTTCCTCAAATGTACTCTCATGACGGTTTTATCAATGAACTTGCAAGATACGAGGCAGTTCACCCTTTGATGTTACATGCCAATGTTAACTATGGATCTCGGAACTACGCAGGTTATTGCCTGCATAGTGCTTGGATGAGAGACCACCAGGCACGCCAGGCGGTCACAGGCTACCTTCACCAATTTACTTATTTATCCAGGAAGCCACACGGAGTCTTAGGACTCTTTTTCAGGAGGGCATTGCTTTGGGTTTTTATTTTAAGATGTTCTCAGCCAATTAATGAGTGTCTATACACTAACCTGCACCGACTCCGTACAGGACGTGTAAATAATGACCTCGAACCCACACGCCATGACGTAGTCCTCCCCAAGTGGCGGATCGACAATAGGGTTCAGGTATGTACGCACGTTTCATTTCGCTTGGGTAGACTTTCAAAATCTAATATAACTGGCCGCTTGGGAGAGTTGTCATCATGTAAAGAAACCGCACAATGTACCAAACTAATAAGTGCTGAAGTTTTGAATCTGTGCAAATACTCTTTGGCGGATTCACAGCTCATCGACGACCGTTTATTTTAACAATCCTAGGCACAATTTTCAGCAGCTATGGCAGCAGGGCCATAATGTGGTGAGGATTCTCAATAATGAGGTGAGACTGGTACAGTTGCTATGCAGCTTTTTTACAACCACAAAACTTAAGAAAAATATCGACTATTCAGTCTTCAAATGCCCTGTTGTGTGCTGAAAGCACTGTGCATATTTTACATAATTCCATGCAACCTAACTGACACATGTTACTTTATTATTGCGGTTGTTCACCCAGAAAACCCTCACCGAGTCAAAATACTTGTTTTTTAGAACAATCCTGGACATTTTTCATAGGTAAGAAATTGAGAAAATTTTAAGTATTTTTTTTAACATTGGGATGTTTATCAAATGGGACAAACACCACACAGAAAGGTGCCCCGAGTCTGAAATCGAACCCCGGCCCTTCTCGTCGTGAGGCACAAGTGTCATCGCTGCGCCACATTGCTGCCCTAACGACAGTGTCCTCAAAATGCCAGTCTATATACACCACCGTGCCCCCAGGCCCTGTGTGTGTCTCTCAGTAGAGCAAGTACTGCAGTTCGGACCACACGAGAGGGACGATGACGCCCAAAGCGCGGAACAGTACCGCCGCGCTGGTAAGGATGGCGCGCGGCTTGGTGTACCAGCGCTCCGAGTGGAACGCCATGTATATCGCGTACAGCGCCACCGCAAAGAAGTGTCCGATCAGCTTCAAGGGGCTGGGATTCAGGCTGGACACAGACCCACAGACACACACACCAAATCAACATATCATTCAAGTATCTTTCATAAGGATTAATCGGCACGTACCAGGTACCTTGATTCAATGTCTCAGCAACCCAATGCGCGTTGCTTCATATCTCATCTCAACAGTCTAGCCAAGGGGACCCCCCAGTGGCAGCTGTCCCTCTGTAGCACAAGGTAAATGCAGCACCGGCCTGCAGGTGGGTGTTAGTCTGCCTGTAAGGGGCGTGGTTAATAGGCGGCTATAAATTGTTAGTGATTTATCAAATCTCCAAAATGTGGACCATGACGCCAACATACATGGGCTACTCTTTCATAATTAACTTCTTTGCAAAATTTGGGTTTGACCTACCCACCAAAATTACCGTATTTTCGCACATATAACCCGCGGGGTATACCACTTTATACAAATAAAACAAGACCCTGCGGGGTATATGGAGGTGCGGGCTATCCCAAAAATATTTTACATGTGTGACATGTCATAACTCGTTAAATGTTTTCATGGTAGACTATCCACTATGCAACACTTACCTTTGACTAAAGCACTGCTGAATAAACCACTCACACTAATATTGCACATGTTATCACGTTTTAAATTATTCGAATTGTTTGTACAATAAGACGACAATGTTTGAAGTAGGCGCATTTTGTTTACTGGCAACGGGAGAGCTGGGGGGAGAGAGAGGTGGGGGAGTTGGGGGGTGGGGGCAGAGCAAGGTCTGTGGTAGTGACGGGAGAGCTGGGGAGAGGGAAAGGTGGGGGGGGGTTGGGGGCGAGGCAACGGCGTTACCGTAGTGCCGCTATTGTCTGCGCAGTGCGCAATCTACCAGTGCTAAAACTGTACTTATCTACCAGTTATGTGTTACTTATTTATTGGATATTTACTTTTGTTATTTATTTACTGTTTTAAGTTCACTCGTTTCCGGTTAGTTTGTTTTCTTTGTGCACGTTATGATTTTAATATTAACAATTGATAGTGGAATGTTTTACAAATGTAAACTTTGTATTAATATGTTGGAATTAAGCTGCGGTAACGACGTTAAAGATATGAATGCATGCGGGGTATATGGAGGTGCGGGCTATCTGAAATTTGTTTTACACAAAACGCAATTTTTGCGGGGTATATGCGTCTGCGAGTTATATGCGTATGCGGGCTATATGCGGGAAAATACGGTAACCCATGCTGCATCACTATGTGCAAATACACCCCCGCACCTACGATTTGCACGGTTGGCTACGTACGGTGCAAAAGAAGGGAAGTAATAAAATAATAAAAAAATCATTCAGACGCTATCTCCCCGACAGACCTGGTCTTCACCTGAGGACGGCTGCTTGCGTTGTGGCCGAATCGTCGTGAGAATTATTTTATTATGTTTTATTTTTATTATTTTATTACTTCCCTTCTACGTGACTTTACCAAAAGAACCAAGAAGGTGTAAAAGAAGTTCAACATACATACGTACATACAAAGGCACAGGCACGCAAACGCAACGCGTGGGTAGCCTGAGGCAACACGTGGGTAGCCTGAGACTCTGCGAAGGAAGTTAACTTGACGGCTGTAAGAGGCATCAGCGTGGTGATTGTTGTGCGGTGCACACTCACACGGAGAGGAGGCCCACTGGCCCCGACACGCACTCCCCGCCCAGGCGGAAGTAGTGGAAGCACGCCCGCCGCAGCTGTCTTAGCGATTCTGCACATGCACGCAAACAGCACCAAAGGGTCCACACAATGTTCCCTCGCAATGTGCACTGCTGAGACAAGTACTGTTAGAGAGCATCTATTAAGGAGACAATGGCAGATAAGGAGCCAGTGTTTCCAGCACCTAATATTCCCGGCTACCTCAACAGCACTGATAGTGACCACAACACACCAGCTTTCCCGTTTGGGCTGAGCCCACCTCGACAACAACCAGCAAGGTTCAGTTAAGCATAGGCAGAAACTCTCTTTCGCTTATGGCTGGACGAATATCAACTGATTAGTCTATTTCTGGTATGCGTCTTCATTTCAACATGGTTAATGGGTAGTGACGATGATGGCAGAGGAAGAAAATCATAAGGAGGATTTTACCGTCGGTGGCAGCGAATAGCTCGTACAGCGCCTGGGCCAGGACGTTCACCACGAACGAGTGGGTCTTCTTGCGGACCCAGTGGAACTCCTTCTTGGCCTGGGGACAGAGACGCCACCAATAACAAACATCACGCGGCGATACACGGAGAGTCCCCCGGTGGAACGCTGATAAATATAAAGAACACGCTCCTCCCCACCTTAACTCTCGTTTGTTACTTTGACATGTCCTTGCTCTCAAGTGTCAAATGAGCTGGCCAAATGGGGTTGCCAAGATTCGTGTGGCCACATTAGCTGCTATGATCCTGCCATGGTTTAATGGTGAGCACACTGGACCTACAATCCAGTGGTTAACGCTTATGATTTCATCTCGCAGTGCGGCATTTGAAACAATTAGACACGTTTCTAAAATCCCGCCTCTGTCGACCCTGCAGTATAACTGGGCACGTTGCAGTTGATCAATCAGCAGGTCATGTGTTGTGGTTTTAATATGCAGGAACTCCCACGACTTCCAAGATGTATACCCTGCATGGAATTAGAGATCAAATACCCTACAGAGGGGCTCTCTAAGAGATCTCTCTCTGGGGAGGCCCTTTCAGCAGCAGTGGCAGCATTAACCCCACTCACTCGCAGCATAGCGCCGTCGTCCCACAGGTCGGGGATTCCCCGCAGCAGCTCTCTCCAGATAAGTACGTCGTTGAGCACGACGCTCATGCCACCGCCCGTGAGTGGGTGCCGCATGTTGTATGCGTCGCCCAGCAACAGCACTCCTGGGGGCGGAGGAAAGAGGGGATGAGATGACGAGGTGGAGGAAGAGTCGACTTCTACGGTGTCCTCAAAAATAATGTCACTCCCAAGGTAACCAGTTACCCCAACATTTGCGGTGCAGCGTATTGCTCTATGCCATGATACACGTGGAGGTACCGAGAGGGTCCTTGCAACCAAGTGGGTGTATTTATACTATCTCGCTCTTAATAGGGTTGTTTGGGAGGACCCCTCAAAAAGGAAACTCAAATCTGGCCCTTTGGAAAGTTTAACAGCATGCAAATAAATTCCGACTTGTTGAAGCGTCACATGCCAGGCAGTCCCAGTTTAGCCCTGCACTGTGCAGTAACTGCTGCAGGTTTGAATTGTGTGTTCTTGAATTGGCTTGTGAATTTCAGTGGTGTTTTTGTTCATGCCTTTATTTTGTATTGCTTATAGTTTTATAAAACAAGAAACAATATAAACATTACAAGCCGTAATTAATTGGGCTGTGGTCTTCATGCAAATAACGCTATTTTCTTAATGGATATAACGGGGTGCACCCCAGTGCCGAGTTAGCCCAGTATTTTGAGGTCACAGTGCACGTAGCATCTGACAGCAGTGCGCGGGGTGGGTAGTGCAGGCATGTGTGCAGCGAGGCAGGAGTACGTAGCGATCATAGGCAGCACAGTTCCTAGCTGCTGCGTGTTGAGGAGCCAGTGTGAGAGCTGCTTTACCGGATTTGTGGACAGGAGAGGGTGGAAGGAAGCTAGCGGGCATGGTTCTCAAGCGGTCGTTCTGCAGAGCGTCCAGAAACGGTGCTTGAATGTGTTCTGTGAAACAAACGAGACAGAGCGGGCATCCCCGTGTTGAACGATACGATGGCACTCGCATCGCTACGGTAGCACTGCGTGATGGCTCGCACACGATTACGCCGCGTCACCCTCACAGTACGCTATGGTCTCTTGGAAACAGTTTGTTGCTCTCTGGAGTTATTCTTTTCTTGCATGCATTTTAAATCTCATCGCCAAATATATTACGATTTGTATCTGGAGACGTGCTATCAGATTATACAGAGCATAGCACCATGTCACATCAAGCGATTGCCTTTGGAAATGACATCGTGAAACTATCGGAGTCACTTCCATCATCACTTCTCTTTATTTCTCCATCTCAATCTAGACTGACCACTCACAGACGTCGCCCGCGGGCCACCAGTTAAAAATGCCTGGTATCTGTCAGCGTGTGCAGTGACGGGCGCTGCTGGCCCTCGTCCCCGTGCCCCACTGTTCCTCGGGGTCCTCACTGACCGGGTAGCTGCGGTGCGATGTGCTCCGCCATGTATTGGCGCATGTCCCGGGGGAGCTGCCCGCGGATGTCCACCAGCACACGCGTCTCCGTCGACGAGATCTGGTAAATGAGCACCGGGCTGGGCTCAGCCAGGACCAGCTCTGCGTGGTGAGCACGGAACTGCCGGCAGTCCTACGATCCGACAGAGATCGTGACAATGATACAAAAGTAAATAAAGCGTTAAAATAATTACACGTTGCCTACTTGAATAACTAGCTTCTTTTAAATGTTATGATCATATTTTCATTGTCATATTTCTTTGAGAATGTTTAGGCTGCCACAGATAACGGGTCGAACTATGGACGCCGAGCCTCAAATGGACGATTCATGGAGCGGAAGGGTGCCCCTGTGTTTCCGCATGTGTGAGGAATCCACACACGTGGGACGAACCCGCAGATTCTGCACAAAGACACAAATCCATACTTGCTGTACTGCTGCCTGTATACCCCTTAATTACCTTGCAGGTGTATATCACATACGTAGGCTGTACTACCAATGTGGGAAAGAAAGCATGATGGGAATCGGATCATGTGAAGGTGCTAGGCGAATTGTTACATCGCAGCAAAAAATGACAACGGCTTATATGTATGTTGAACTTCTTTCGCACCGTACGTAGCCAACCGTGCTAATCGGAGGTGTGGCTTGGTTAGGCCTTCATCCAGCAGTGGATTGATGATGGTGTGATCCAGAAACCTTCCCTCTTCAAGCCGCTCGGCTTCATTACATGGAGTTGCGCTCCCTTCCCTCTCTTGCACTCCCCTTGTGGATTGCTTCTCACCTTCATGATGCAGCCAACGAAGTGCGATGAGACGGAGGCCGAGGCCTTGATGAGATTTTTGCGGAACTTAGAGAAGCAGCCATCGGCCACCACCGTCAGTGGAGCGTACAATTCCTGGGGGTCACACACAGGCAATGCAGGTCACACACAGGCAGCGCACCAGAGGTCAAGCACGCAGAAGTCACACACACAAATGCATGCGAATCGCCCATTACAGGGGTTAAGGTATAACGGCATCGGAACTCACGGCTTCACCTCTGGCAGGGTCACACATGATGAGGGGTAACACAGCATTTATCCAATGCCAGTCGGCCCTTTTGTCAACCCCCTGCTGGATGAGAGCCTCTCAACTGCATGCGGGTCGTGAGGGATATTTTTACCAATATTCCACATGCTGGTCAGTGTGGGTTGATGGAGGTGGGAAGCATAGACATTGTAGCATACACCGCTGCACTGCGTTCTGCTGACCTATCCCTGCAGCAGCCTAAAAGCCTCAGCTGAGAATATGAATAAAAAAATATATAAAAAGATTGGGAAAGAAAAACAATAGATATTATAAACACAATAATACATCTCTAACAGCAACAGAAAACCCTGTATCTCAATCACATGGGATAATCAACGTTTTTGGGTTTAGATCGCGTTATTTATAAATGTGTCGTAACCCTCCACCACCCGACACGGCCAATCAGTAAAAAAGTGTCACGTTGACAAAAGACAAATTAGTTCACTGCTTTAGCCCACCGGAATGTTGAAGAGCGAAACCACAACATTTACAATTTGAGTACGACGTTTCGCTGGTAATTGCAACCAGCATCATCGGGCAATTTGCCAGAATGGTGAGGCTCTGCTGTGTCTCCCGTTATTATATAGAGCAGCAGCAGGGTGACGTCATCATTAACTCATTAACTCATCAGGTGCAAAAATTTGAGGGGGGAGTTATTGTAATTATATACTAGATTAGTAATCAGGCTATTGTTACGCTGCGAGTTGTAGATTAGTAATCATTTGGAATGTGTTTTATTGTGATTATGCTACATTAGTAATCAGTTAGTGTTTGTTTCCCTTATAAGGAATTGTATCTTATTTAATAATACGCTTCCAGGCCGCACTAAGCCTGTAGCTGTCTGAGCGATTAAAGTTATTTCTGTTTCTCTCAATTTCAATCGATTCTCTAATTAGTCTTTGCCGGTGGGCTAAAGCAGTGAACTAATTTGTCTTTTGTCAACGTGACACTTTTTTACTGATTGGCCGTGTCGGGTGGTGGAGGGTTACGACACATTTATAAATAACGCGATCTAAACCCAAAAACGTTGATTATGAATAATATTGGTCGCGAAAGCCTACGTGTTAAAATCACATGGGAATTAAAAACATGATATTACATAAAGCATGTTATTGGACTACATCTCAAGCTGCTGTATGGAAACAACGGGCAGAATTATTTTGAAAGAGGCATTCAGTAATAGGTACAGGAAGGTCTTGAACAGAATCAGGGAGTCGGCAGCACGGGTGGCTGGGGGAAGAAGAGATATCCAGACACGGTGGCCGGGGAGAAGTGTGTGGGAAGTATGGGGTTCTAAGTGGATCTCACCATCACTTGCTGGCTGTCCTTGGGGCGGTACTGCACGCCCACCACACGGTCGCCCTCCTCCAGCAGCTGCACCACAGTGCCCTCCACATAGCGCACACTGGGCACAAAGACCACGACTCACACCGCTGTTACTCACCCACCGCAAACCCTGCCCAGTTACGACGTGCTCTCATTGAAGTCGCTCAGCCTCTAACCTCTAATTGAACCCGATCTCTTTTGCGTATAGCTGGATGAATAGTAACCTATAAATCTATATCCAGGTGCATTTTTCGGCGAACGACATTTCAACTGGTCCTGGGTCCTTCCTTCACCAACTTGCACTGGCCAGCAAAGACGAGTACAGTCAAACGCCCTCCAAGATTGACAAAGTGTGGAGAGGGCTTCATCCAGCAGTGGCTTGACTCAAAGGATGTGAAGGTAGTGAACTGTGACTGGTGGGAGGTAACGGGTGTGGGTGGTTGCGTTCGCGCGGCTTTCCGCGTGCTCACTTGGGGTGCGCCATGGCGGCTCGGCGCAGGCCCATGATGAAGCGGCCGTGGTGGAAGGCCCGACCGCTCTGGATGCAGTTACCCTGCAGTGCTGGGTAGGGGATCTGCACCTCACAGCCGCTCTCGCGGTCGTGCACCACGTAGCCCTGCACCACGTGCGCATCCATCCCCTCCACCGAGTCTGCACCGCGCACACGCACACACAAAGATTCCCCATGTAACCTTTAATAAACTGTTGGGGCAATTGCTGTCCCCACTGCTGATGTTTACACATCAAACCAGTTACTCATTTGAGGCTGAGTCGACCAAGGGCAGGCCCAGGATTGGTTCAGATATTTGCCACTGGTGTTGGCCGTGAGTGGAATAGAACTTGGATCGCAGGGTTTGTAGCACAGCGCGCTTACCGCTACACTACCACTCCTGACACACGCACGTGGTAACGACACGCACATACAGCACATTCAAACACTAAGACAGATAAGGATGTGTGATTTACACACAAGAGTGTGGTGATGCAATCCGAAATTTAAGGCATTATGGGAGGACAGATATGACGGACACAATTGCAGATTTTCCTGTCTCGAAATTAAATAACCTGCAGCTGTTTTTGTTATTAACATTCTCTACTATGTCAATTATTGTTTTGTGTTACGTATCATAGAAATTATATCCAATTAGGATCCACATCTGGCAGTTCACCAGCATTGGTTTAAGTAAGCCTGGCTCTGCTGACGAGATCCTGAATATCAAAACCGGTCCAGTGTGCTTGTGTTGAACCAATGCTGCTGAAATTATACACTCTCAGGTGGTGTGGTTGTGTAAATACTTATTATTACTATTATTGTTTTTTATACTCGACACATGGGGCCAGCTCCCTGGGTCAGGTGTCCGGTAATTCCGTTTCACAATCCCCATCAAGACCAAATGTAAACAATTTTCAGCTTCTAAGGTTACTTACATTCCTTAATTTTATACATTTTATGCAGTCATTTTAAAAATGTATTTATACATACATGACAGCTTAAGGCGGACTGTTTCTTATCCACGTAAAAAATGAAATCAATCAATATTAAATATATATTTTATACGGAAAACAAAGTCTTCGGCCCACAATGTGTGCCACTTTATGTCTGCGACTGTATGGGAAGGCCTTTATCCAGCGGTATATTAATAACAGGGCTGTACTTACACGTCTCACTCACAGGTGGGACATAGACAATAGTGGCCTCAACTGTTTCGTCACCACCGCTCCCCATGGCCCCCGCTGGTAGCAGCACTGGCGTTATCTCTTATTCGCGTAAATGATTCATGAAGCATTCGGCAGCTTCAATAAACCCTATCTGTGCCTGCAGCTGATATTAAATTCTGAGGATAAGGAGACCCCTATCACTGATTATTAATCTCGCTGTGATCATATAGAAGTATGGCCCTTTTATTGATCCACCGCTGAATGAGGGCCTCCACACGGCCATGCATTTGGTGGGAGTTATTCTACCATACTTCCCGCTGCGCTGTGCGGTAACAGTGCCAGTGACCGTGACAGTAATATTGGCGGTGGTGATGGCGTGGGGCGGTGGTTGTGGTGGTGAGCTGGCTGACCCTGCAGGCCGAGGTCTCGTAGCACGCGGTAGCCCCCGGGCTGCAGCAGCTCCCCCACGATGCGGTCGGGCTCGCGCAAGTCACGCTCCAGCACCGTGACGCGACGGCCGTCACGAGCCAACACAGCGGCCAGCGCGGAGCCCAGCACGCCGGAGCCCACGATCAGCACCTCCTCCTCATCGCCTAGCTGCGCGTGGGGCCCACGCAGGCCCGCGCCGTTCACTGCCGGCTCCACGCCCTGATGGCCGCACTGCGGAGACGCACGGGCACGTGAGTGAGATTCGCACAAAGACTCGCAACGCCATCGGGAGGAAGCATTTTTCAGTCCAAGGTCATGTACATGTGTATAGGCCCTTTGTAAATCCACTTCTGGATGAGAGCCTCCTCTCTCGGGTTGCCACCTGTTCACGTTGAACCTGGACAGTTCGGATGGCAGGAATTGATTTGTGCTGAGAAAGTGGGAAGCATTGACGTTAGAGCTCAGTACATTACACAATGGATGCTGCTGAACTGGCCTCTGCTGACAATGTATCCCTGAAGCCCATAACACCTTTTTTATGGATGGCGGTCGCTCATCGAAACACTATACAGGCGAAAAACCCTGCTTAGCTTCTCAGATCTAAAGAGATCGGGTGCATGATGTGGTCACAATCATAGACTACTTTTAAAATAAACTCAAGTGTCTTTACTTTTCTTTAATGTTATCCTAACTGTGTTATCGTCGTCACCTCATGAAAATTAGAATACATTCGTATCTCTCACACAGCAGTGCAACCGTGTTTGAGAACGGCCCACGGAAGCAGATACAGGCAGACCTCGCTTAGAACTCAAGATGCGTTCCTGGAGAAGTGAGCGCTTATAGAATCTTTGATAAGTGATTGCTAATGAAGTGAGCGCTAAAGGGCCATTATACCATTATATATGGGGATGCATTCCCGAAAGCGTTATTTCTTACGTATGAGCAACATATGAGGACTTTATTGGGGTATCGGTAATAGCGCTAATACGGATGGTAAACGATTTCATGAAAAAAAGATGTATTATAACATCAGTATAACGTACTGTACTCAAAAGTGCATTCTACTGTACTCATGACAAGGCAGCGGTGGGAGACACGAGGTTGGGGCTACTGCGACTCCCAAACCGGGTCTTCGTGATGCCCCAAGTCAAAATTTCCGTTAAGTTTCTTTTAGGTGAAGCTCACCTGGCTAAATGCACTGTAATAACATTGGGGGAAGAAACAACTACAGTAATCTATTAACAATATATAATCGTGATAATCGCTCTCTCGCTGGCTGGGTGAACGATGGGGTCCGTTTCCTCGGGCAGCGCTGCGTGTTTCTCACTCTATACTGTACATGTTTAATGTAATGTTTTTTGGGGGGGGGGGGGGGGGGGAATGTCTCCAGCGCTAACAGGAATCAGCGTTTTACGGGGTTCGTGTTAGGCGAAGTCTGCCTCTGAAATCCATCGAAGAAGTGTGAAGTCACCCAGGCAGTAAGAGGCAGCGCCTCCTTCCCACATGCCCTGCCACAGACAGCCACATTTGTTGTATGACAGCGACGACAATATGATCTCTGCTTAACAAGCACATGAAGCGGCCTATGGCAAGTTTGACACCGACTCATGATAAAGAGTTGCTCAACAGGGAATGTTTCAGTGCTGCGTTTCATCTTGATGCTGACCAACCCACCGCTCGCGTTTCTCGCCCTCCTGTGTGAAGTGTTTGTCGTGTAGATGCCGTTAGAAAATTCAGGAAATTGACTGGCCTGTAAACAAACACGGCTCATATGATTAAAAACCTAAATAAATAACTCCCCCTTGCCATGTCTCGTCACGTAAATGTTTTTATATTTTGTACACATCCCCCATAAGCCACACTGCCCTCTGTGAGTGTGTAATTACAGCAGTTTTGTTCTACAACACAAGCAAACTGGCTCGGTTTCGACATTCAATGTCTCATCAGCAGTCAGCTTTGCTTGAACCAATGCTGGTGACCCGCCACATGCTCATAGGCAAAGACCCTCTCGGAAGGTAGTGGTGGCTGATGTGTAAAACACTTCATGTCTTATGTGGCAGTATGCGAAGGAGGCGTTGTGTCTGCCGAGTGGCGAGTGCTGAGTGAGTGCGTGGTGGGGGCACGAACCGCTGCTACCTCATCGTCTTTATCTTCCTCTCTTCCGGTTCGCGTCCTCTCGCGATGCGGCTGCTGCTGCGGCTGCTTCTGTCGGCGGAGTCCCGCGAGGAGGCGGCGGACCCCAGACGCAGGCAGCGCGGCCAGGAGGCCGTGGCGAGACCCGCGGCCCCAGCGCCGCGACCAAAGCATCAGGAGGATGAGCAGCGACAGTCCGGCGAGCCCCACGTAGCCGAGCCCCTGCAGCCCCTCGCCCTTCTTGTAGAAGTACGTGAAGGTGGCGAGTCCCAGGAAGGTCCACATGGCTCCGTGCTATAATACAGACGTGGGCAATGTCGTATTGCGATGGTAATATTCCGCAGAACATGCAGTATACTACTGGTTAGCACTGTACTGCTGCAGTATTGGGTGCTTGCGCTCGTGGCAATGAAATAACGGTGCTGGGGGTATTGCTGCTTCGGCTGTTTTACTAATGGCACAATAACACGAGTGCCGTCGTAGTAGCGCAGTGCGGGTGGTGCTCGTGCTGTGGCAGCAGCACTGGAGTGCCGGTGGTGCCGTGTAGTCGTGAGTCGGTGGGTCCAGGGCTGGCGGGTGTCGCGGGTGTCGTCTCTGTGCGTCGGCAACCGCCTCCGCTCGCGTGAGTGAGACGCGGTACGTGAGCGGCACCTCGCCATATTTCCCAGCTCGGATAAGGCCGGGGCAGGAGAGGCCTCGCCACGCGATTGGCCGACGAACGCGCACGCGAGTCGCGAGCGGCTCGCTCCGCCAATCGCGGAGACGGGGGAGGAGTCGTGAGTCGATACGATCTAGGAAATACAAATCCATTGCAAACTCTAACCCGCGCCCCCAGCCAATGACGGCCGAGCCGGCTCGCCCGTGCGAGTTGACGTCACCGGCTGAGGACCAATGGGCGCGGCAGGCGGAGAGAGCTCGCCATCGCATCGCGGCGCTCGCCGACCAACGGGGGCGCCGCGCGACTTGGCGCGGACCAATGGGAGCGCGAGGTGGGTGGAGGGGGGGCCACGAGAAACAGGCGCGCGCGCGCGAGGCCACCCGATGCGTCTTGAGGTTGCGCAACCGCTTTGAGAGCTCGCCCGTTTCCATAGCAACCAGCGGCCCACCCCAGCTCGTTTCCATAGCAACCAGCGCTCACCAAAGGCTGTTTCCACAGCAACCAGTGGCTCCCCCCAGCCCGTTTCCATAGCAACCAGTGGCTCACCCCAGCCCGTTTCCATAGCAACCAGTGGCTCACACCAGCCATGTTCGATTCACTGCTGGATGAAGGCCTCCCCAAGCCGCCGCCGCCGCTTCTAGCAGTCATGATTATTCGGAAGCCACTGGCGCTATGCACTTTTAAATCAAGATTGAAAACTAATTTATTTAAAACTTCTTGTGTGTTTAGTTTGTTCTTCCTCCGCACCTCCGATGATCACGGTTGGCTACGTGCGGTGCGAAATAAGTTAAACTAACATACACCTCCGAGATACAGCAGCCTGTCACTCAGCACCTGTGCACGAGATAGTTTCAGCTCAGCTTTAAATCGTACTCTTTGGTTCTTTCGTTAAAGTCACGTAGGTAGAAATAGAATAAAACAAATCACGACGTTTCGATCACAACACAAGCGAAGCCCACCTGATGAAGTTCGCTTGTGTTGCGATCGAAACGTCGTGATTTGTTTTATTTTATTTCTACCTCCGTGACTTTACCGAAAGAACCAGAGTATGGATTCCTGCAGTCACGAAAGCTTCAAATCCAGACAGAATTAAATCGCTTTGATGATGCTGCGTCGCCAGTCCGGGCACAATCAAATGACAATAAAAAAAACTCAACACATTTGTCAATAGCTGTGTGGCCTTAAGAGGAGGGAAATATAAAATGCACAAGTAAATCATTCAGATTTGGAGACTTTACACCATGGGGCCTGATGAAAGTAACATTTTAATGTTTTGTGATAACTACCGTAGTTTTTAAATATTGGCATGTAATACATTAGTTGCGAAACTGTAGCTATTACGTATCAGACAAACCCTTCAATAAGAAAAGTATTGCTACGATATACACTTGTAAAACATTTAACGTTGCTGGAACGTTCCATGGCACAAACCATCTCGCGATGTATTCCTGGGCCCAATCACCATCTCGATAAAATATATATTACCGCCCTCTATTCCTGAAGAGGAGAAATCTGCGAAATCAAATGTGGTACAAACTAAAAGGAAACTAAAAACGTTTCGGTCTTTTTTTCCTCGAGTACCTTATAATAAAGTTGTGCTTTAAGTAAAGGGAAGGCGTTCATCCAGTTCTGCCGTCTAACCGGTACTCAGACTAAATATGAAACGGTCTCCTGCCCCTTTGGTCTCATTCCCACCATAGATCACGACGAGGCCACGTGCCAAATGCGTTCCTGGGGCTGTTGTCCCCGCTATTGAAGTGGCGAGCCACCGGTGTTGACTGTGTCCACACGGCGAGCCGACAAGAGAATGTTTGGCAAATCTGTCACGGAGTCCGTCGACCAGTATCTCCAATATAGTGGGAGGCCACCGTGTATTACACACCGCGCAAATAGGTTCATATGAACCTAGTGTGTCACAAATTATATTCTGGGTGTTTTTTTACCCAGGTATTGGTGTGAAGATACACGTCGCATCGTCTCCAATTGCATGGCAAAAATGCTCGCTATGCTATTATTGCTGGAGTTTCGCATTGAGCACGTGTATTACTGTAATAAAAGACTCGGACGCTTCTCTCTGACTCCGTGTCCTTTATTTGGGTTCTTCGTAATTACCCTCACGGCACTCTCTTAGGGATACTCTGCTTGCAGCCCCCGGCTGCTATCACTATTATAGCCTCCTTCCTCTCCTTGCAGACTCGCTGCTACCCCGTGTGCAGACTCCCGCTGCTAACTCTATATTCAGACCCTCTTGGCCTTACTCCGTATGCAAACCCGCTTGCAACTCCATATGCAGACTCGCTGCTGACTCCGTATGCAGACCCGCTGCTGACTGCAGCCTCCTCGCTGCTTCGGGTCGGTCACCGCTGGCCGACGGTGCCGATCCTCGCTCCCCGTGTCCGTGGCGATCTCGCCACCCTCCGCTCTCGCCCTACGTGGCCTTACTCGTTCCTGGTCTCCCGTCACTCCTCTCCTCTTCCGGTTTCTCTCCCTATAGACCTGACCCCTCTCCCCCACGTGACCTAACTCCTCCCCTCATGACGTCACCTCCGGGAGGTCGTTCACGCCCGCATTACATCACCCTCCCCAGTAGAGAAAATCCAGCCGACCTCGGCTGAACAACAACCTAACAAGTAATGCGAGCGTAAAAGACCAATACACTAAAGGACACGAAGCATACAACAACAATATAACAAGAACACAACACAAGTTAACGAAATGTGAGGGATTTCGAGCGAGTACGGGTAGCCGGGCCGTCCCGGACGGTCGGCAGCCCACCCGCCGAGCGGGAACGTGGCAGGGTTTTAAGGGCGACAGGAGCAAGTTCGTCCGTCGCCATTGGAGGCCTGCCAACGTCCCGGTCGCGTTCAGAGACGTCCCGTAATCGCGTCCGCGGAGGGGTAGGAAGGGCTGCAGGTCCCGTAGTTTCCGCGGCCCCGGTCGGCATCCCACGAGCGGAACGTCCTCCCTCCTGCGGCGTCACGGCCGGCTTGTCTGTAAGGGGTACGACAGGCGCTCTTGCAAGGTCAGCAGGCACAGGCAAGGGCGAGTCGGCAGCAACAGACCCCGGCAAGGCAACCTCAGGAGATGACGCATCCGGTCGCGGGGCAACGTACGGCTTCAACCGGGATGTATGCACGAACCAGCGCCGCGAACCAACCTGAACACGTGCCGACTGTGGGTTGGGAACCTCAATGAGGCGGACCGGTCCTTGCCATGGTTTATGTAATTTAGGAGAGGTACCTGGCCGCACCTGTGGGCAATGAAGCCAGGCCAGGTCCCCCGTTTTCCAGGGGCACTCCCCCTTTGAACGTCGAGCACACCGCTCGTTCCGGGCCTGGGCTTTGGCCGTAGCCATGCGGGCTCTTTCTCTCGCCTCAGTGACACAGCGAACGTTGTCCTGAATATACTCAGGAAGAGGCTTAACAGGTCCCCTCGCTCCGGTTCCCAACTGCTCATTAATCGGCGGCACGTTTTCACGGCCGTACATAAGAAAGAACGGCGAGTATCCAGTAGCCGCCTGCGGCGTCATGCGATACGCCGAAAGCACCCCAGGGATATGCAAATCCCAATCAGATTGATTTTCACCGACTGTATGGCACAGCATGGCGGACAGGGTCCGATTTAACCGTTCCACCATACCATCCGTTTGTGGGTGGTAGGGGGATGTCCGTATCTTTTTAGTTCCAAGGGCCGCACACACCTCCCCCAACAATTTAGACGAAAAGTTACGGCCTTGGTCTGTAAGGAGCCTCTCCGGCGCCCCCTTGTCCATAACATACCCGAATAGAAAGGCGTCGGTGATAGACGCCGCCGACTGGTCAGGCAAAGGCCAGGCCATCGGCCAGCGGGAGAGGTATTCCACCCCCACCAGTAAATACTTATTTCCCCTAGCGGATGGCGGAAAGGGTCCCAAAATATCTAACGCCACCAGCTCATTAACTCGAGATACCTGAATAGATTTTATCGGCGGCACGTATGGATGTTTAGGCGGCTTACGGCGGGCACAATCGGGACACGCGCGAACGTGACCGACGACATCTGTCGTCATGCCGTGCCAATAGTAATCTCGCTGCAGCGTCAATAGGGTCTTCTGCACCCCCAGATGTAAAAGTGTGTCACAATGCAGAGACCTAATCAATTCGTACCGCAATGACGCCGGCACAACAAGACGCCAGCGGTCCTGTATCCTTTCCCTCCACATCAGCAACCCATCTCGGAGAGCAGTTTCCGGTACACCACCCGCACCGAGTCCCTTACTCGCCTTCTCCGGTTGCTTTCGTAACGTCACCAAGGAATCGTCCAACATTTGCTCCCGAATCCACACAGACCTCGGGAGACGCAAAATCCCATCAGCCGGTCCCCCATCAACCGGTCCCGGCGTAAGCGGAGTTTCAAGCACATCAACCGCCAGCGCGACAGGCCGAGGGGGGAGCTGAATCGGTCCACACCTATGCGTCCCCGACGCACACGCGCAAGGGGATTGTTGCGGCAACCTGGAAAGTGCGTCCGCATTAGCGTGACGCACACCCTTCCGATGGTGAATCTGGAAGGAAAATTCTTGCAGCGTGTCCAGCCACCTCGCCAATTGTCCGGATGGCTGGTCCATCTTGAGAGCATACTGCAAGGCCGCATGGTCCGTGCGGACAATAAACGACCGACCGTACAGATACCGTCGAAATTGGCGGAGAAAAAAAACAATGGCCAAAAGTTCCCTGCGAGTGACGCAGTAGCGGGTTTCCGCGGGAGACAAAACCCGACTACCATACGCCACCACGCGTTCAACTCCACCTTTTGACTGAGACAACACCGCCCTCTCCTTGCAGACTCGCTGCTACCCCGTGTGCAGACTCCCGCTGCTAACTCTATATTCAGACACTCTTGGCCTTACTCCGTATGCAGACCCGCTTGCAACTCCATATGCAGACTCGCTGCTGACTCCGTATGCAGACCCGCTGCTGACTGCAGCCTCCTCGCTGCTTCGGGTCGGTCACCGCTGGCCGACGGTGCCGATCCTCGCTCCCCGTGTCCGTGGCGATCTCGCCACCCTCCGCTCTCGCCCTACGTGGCCTTACTCATTCCTGGTCTCCCGTCACTCCCCTCCTCTTCCGGTTTCTCTCCCTATAGACCTGACCCCTCTCCCCCACGTGACCTAACTCCTCCCCTCATGACGTCACCTCCGGGAGGTCGTTCACGCCCGCATCACATTACCATGACCCTAAGGTTTGTTTCTGCAGAATGCACATCTAGGTGGTTCCTGAACAATGTTGGCAGTACTTGCGTAGTGACTGTGAATGTCACTGTGTGGTGCCGGGCTTACGAGCCACGGCAGATAATGTGTTGGCATTGTGTAGCCCGCTTACTGGGCGTAGTTCCAGCCCGAGCGGGGCTTGGGTGAGCGCTGCTCAGCGCGGAGACACCACGTACAGTGTGCGGTGCGGGCTCCCGGTGAGGTAGCGAGGGTCAGCCAGCCAGGGTTACGTTGGGGCATGATACACTGGTTGACCTGCCGACATGTGACCGGATGATATTGGAGGGGGGCCACCGGTGGACGGGGGCCGCTGGGTAGTCACGTGGTATAAAAGAGCTCGAGAGATCTAGAAGGTGGGTTGGGGCGAGGGGCGGAGCCAGCCCCAGCCCTAGCGGATATAGCGGGGGTCCCTTGAGGGGTTCGGGGTTGTTCAGGTTGCTGGTGAAGAAGATCCACGTCGGGTTCAAGAAGCCTCGAGCCACGCTGTCCGGGACCCAGCTGGTGGTCCGGGCCGGGATAGCGAACAGTGTCTAGTTCTGCCGTAGCGTGGCTAGATGGGCATTCAACACCCAAGTGTAGGTTGTGTTGTGAAATAGTGTTGCTCCCAAGACGTCTGCAACTCAGTTGGACTCATTACACTTGTGTTGCTCATTAAGATATGACAATTGTTAATTATGTTTTTGATAGCCAGGGGGCTCAGTATCTAAAACGTGTATAAAGTCCATCAGGCAATGATTGGCGTAGGCTTCAAAATTGTACGCCGCAAAGTATTTATTCATTTATTTTAAGTAGTTTACAAAATAAAAATATAAGCACCCGCGATTCTTATGCCGAGAGTGACAAACCAGTCTGAAAAAAACAAAAACTTTTTAAAACAAAACAAAAAAGCCTCGGCAAAGTGAATATTAGCAATGTTGGTGGAAATTTATTTTCTGAAAATCAAGTATTATAAATCACCACAGTTGTATACCAAAGAACGTCAAATTGTTACTTACAGCACTGAGCACAGATCACATCTGCCATGTTGCACGTGTTCAAAACTACAAACAGCGCATGTCAATATCCACGGCAAAGGAATAAGACAAAGTTCTGTACATACATGTGTAATGACATGGAATGGGTTACTATGGCACATAGCGCAGGTTGTTGGCAGAGAAGGGGATCTTCGCTTCTGGCAGCCCGGTGCCAGCAGGTCATATGATAAGTCAGAGAGAGTGATGTGGGGCAAAGGTGATAGAGGGGGCACGTGAGGTAAAGCCCGGGAACCTTCTAGTAGGTTCTACAAGGGGGGCGTGGCCGAAGGCGGAGCAAGGCCATGCTGGGTGGATAAAAGGGGACCCCGAGCGAAGGTTCGGGGCTGTTGTTGGAGTGGAACCCGTCGTGCTGCTGGAGTCTTCGTCACCGTCTTCACCTCCTCGGCGTTGTTAGTCAGGCAGCCTGTTAGCTGTCCTGACCATAGTGTAGTTACTCCTTGTACCTGTGAAAGCTATAATAAATATAGTGCCTCCGACTATTAGTGTATCCGAGTGACTCACTACACATGTAATAGAAGACATTATTCAGGACAATAATATTAGCTGAAAATGTAAAAAATTGTCACAACAGTTCACCAGAATAAATAACGACTCATGAACATATTCGAGTGGAATAGCAGTCAAGCACATAAGGCACTTTAGAGGATTGACAGAGAGGTGAAGTGATGCAGTCAGGGAACGTGGGAACGAGTATGCAGCTGCCCAAGACAGCGGGCGATCACAGAGGTCCTCATTCAACAGAAAACTGAACATCACTTATTTGTAATACAAGTCAAGGTTTGTCCAGGGGTTGTCGATGCCTTTTTGAGGTCTGGTTTATACTGGAAAGTTTGTGCCCGAAATACCACCTCCGATTAGGGCGGTTGGCTAGGTACGGTGCAAAATAAGTTCAACGTACATACATACCATGAGCAGATATACTGTGTCCTGCATATAAATTGGGTTTCTTGGGGACGCCAAATACGGAAAAATTGGAGTAAGAAATAAAACCGCACTTCCAAAAACTGAAGTGTGTAGAGCAATGCCGACTTGTTGCTAGCCGCGTCTACAGCGTGCGCAGAAACGTCACGCGTCAGGCAGTTCCAGTTTAGTCTTGCACTACAGCACTGCTCCACCATACACCCAGAATGCGTTCTTATATTTGCGTAAGACACATTACGTTATATTGCACAGAATGTGTTTTGATAAACAGCAATATGATCTGTGGAGCATTCAATAGTAACGTTACAGTAATTAATTCTGGTGTAGGCACCACTAAGGTGGTTGATGAATGATGCTGGCGTGGCTGGTGCTGTGGTTAACGGAGATGGAGTTGCCTGCTTCATTTGGGACTTTAGGGAGTGATTACAGATATAATTTCTGAGGCTGTATGTGCATAGGATTTCAGTTTATGTACACACATTAAAAAAGGCAGCAATGCTCTACAAAGATACTTGTAAAAAAATACACGACAAAAACGCTCATGTACGAGAAATGGCAACGAGCAAAAATATTCAATTTGTAACACTGGTGGTAAGCATGAATTCAAGGGACCAATATCACAATTAGCACTCGGCACTTCACTTTGCTCGTAGTTGACTAAACATCAGCGCAACATGTGAACCTTTGGAAAAATAGCATGTGTGCAGCACAGTATATTGCATGCCATTTGATGTCACTCGAGATGTGGATATGAGTAGACATGCAATCCTTGCTGTGCTCCTGCAAGAGATATGAAAACGCAACAACTGTGGCAGAAGCACGGTCGCTGTGATATTTTTCACGGGATGCTATCAAATTGCATGACATGACGCCAGAGGCGTAGCTAGGGGGGGGCAGGGGGGTACATATGTCCCCGGGCCAAGGTAAAGGGGTGCCAAAATGAGGCTTACAACGTTACATTATAACTTATTGTGGCGGGCGCAGCAGCCTGAAACTACTGCACAAATCTACAGCTCAAACTAAAAGTTTATATATCCCGCCACACACAGCCTACATGTCATGTAATTACATTTTGTATGTGATTAAACGGGGGGGGGGGGGGGGGGCGCCAATTTTATAGTTCGTCCCCGGGCGCAAAATATCCTAGCTACGCCACTGCATGACGCTCATCATTATAGCAGCTTCCCATAACTCTGCAATTGTTAGTATATATTGCTTTTGTGCTTTGCTGTACTTCCGGTATGGTTAAAGATTACTTAAAGAGTAATTAAACTACTAGGATTCAACTGGGGCACATAGTTCTACCTAATCTTTACGTCACAATCGACAATACTTATGATGCACACCATGTCAGTTACACATTAAATAATAAAGTAAAAAAAGCTGTCTCTGGTGTGGACCAATCAGTTTCAAAGACAATGCATATATTAGAGTGTTTTTGTTTGCATTTTGACCATAAGTATTGTGGTTAATGCAGACATGATTCCTTGTAAAAGGTTTCAGTTTGTTGTTTTAACAACTTAACACCTGTTTTGTTGCTGAATAAAAGGGGAAAAACTTATTCTCATATTTTGGTACTGGCAAAGGAGGTCCCATGAAGGAAATAAGATGTTTAACAAAAGTAAAAGGAGAAAAGATAATCACAATACAGTGGTCCCTCGGTTTACGTTTCCATCAGTGAACAATATTTCGATTAAGGATCCGCCTCCCATAGGGTCCCATTGTTTCTATTAACGATACATTTTCGATTAACGATATGTTTAGGCTATCACGCGGCCGCCAATTTCGGCAAATCGCAGTTCTCCTAAGAGAACTCAGCAGACCTCAGCCAATCAGCGATGCACTTTTATAAGCGTTTTGAGAGCAACTGCCTAGCTTTTTAATGTTTAATGTACGTTGCTTATGGAAACAGCTCTCTTGAATGCTGTGTTTTTTTACTTAAAAGTTAAGGAAGATAAATAACAATGGCCTCTAAAATAAATGTTAAGACAAGTGAGGAGAACAATTAGTCTGCAAATTAATCAGGAAATTACGGAAATATTTTGTATTTTATGCTCTATTTATGCAAATTTATATTTATTCATTATTTACTCATGTTTCTATTAATGCTTTAATATGTTCTTATAAAATGTATTCATTAAAATATCTTATTTAAATATATAAGCTAAGTTTTTAGGGTGAAAAACAAACTAAGCCTTTAAACATATATTTCCTTTATTCGACTAACAACAATTTCAATTAATGTTTTTTTGTGGAACCAATTAATATCGTTAACCGATAGACCACTGTATAGCAATATGGAAAAAAATGGACAATACGATTATTGGGCATCTTTTACTGTACGATACATCAGTGGAATTTTTTGCGATTAGCTTATAATTAGGGTCCACCCTGGGAGAGGTTCAGTATTCAACATTTAATTATTATGGTGGAAACATTCATTCACATTGCATTTAAAATTCTGTTATACTTTATGGATCATTTAAACATTCATTAAAAACTCACTTCCAATGCACTAACCTGAAATTAGGATTTTAGGTCCACAATAAGCCCAGAAGAGGGCACTAGAATGTGTCTGTGCAGTCAGCCTAATACCTCTTTTCCACTGGTATAACTGAGCTGCACTACGGATGTGTTAAGTCAGGCTGACACAGCCTAGGAGGTAGGCCAGATTGTTATCCTACTGTAGAAGCCAAGCCATGTCACCAACATCACACAAGTCGAGACGTGTTTTGATGACCTAGCGACGGTCAGTGCACCGAATGACATCACACCAAATGAATGCATGAATTAGCCCTGCTCCTGGTCCAACTTGGCCCAAGTTGGATTTTGATTGTCTTGCGAGCCTAGCATATCGTGGTTCGTTTCTGGTTCAGCACAGAAAAATAACCAGCTGGGACCCACCCATGCCATGAACACACCATGCTGGCTCGGCTCAGATGTGCCAGTGGAAAAGTGCCAACAAAGTCAAGTACATTCACAAACCTTACTCCTCACATCATCTACCCACCTCCAAACCCTCAAATCCTTGGCAAAATGATGTTCGAATTCACAGATAGGTGCTATTGGAGGTTGCTTCCTGTGGGGGTTTGGGGTTTTCCAGGTCTTGTTCTGCAAGGGGGACCATGGTCAAATCTGTCTGGTTTTCTGATGAATCTGCAGAAGGTTTTTGTTTGATCTAGGGTAGGTGGTAAACACACACAAACGTGCACAATATTTAATTACTCGCGCAAAATACCGGACATGCTCACGCACATTTATGCCTATGAATGCAGTATTCACACCCACATAACATGCATTCATGTATATGCACAGCCCTTTTGCTAGACGAGGGACTCCCCATGCTGTTGTGATTACGCTCGTTTACCCAGGAAAGCCTCACCGAGTCTTGTGACTCTTTATCAGAAGGATCCTGCTAAGCTTTTAAAGTAAGAGGCGATGATTGCTATGTGCATAGTTCCAATTGAGTATTTACGGTGTCATTTTCTAATTTGGGAAAATGTTCACCCTGATGCTGGCACGTAAAATGTCCACTACGAAGCAGATGGCACGTATGTATTCTTTTTCGATTTAAAGCTTTCGTGACTGCAGGGATTCATCTTCTTGGTTCTTTCGGTAAAGTCACGTAGAAGGGAAGTAATAAAATAATAAAAATAAAACATAATAAAATAATTCTCACGACGTTTCGGCCACAACGCAAGCAGCCGTCCTCAGGTGAAGAACATGTCTGTCGATAAGACAGAGTCTAAATGACACGTCTTAGGCTTGGAGTGTCTATTTAAGCTGTGAGGGAGGAAGAGAGCCTTGACAAATGAATTTGCATTTGAAGAGGAATTTAGCATATTTATGGGAAATGCAGGAATGCGAAGTGCTAATTGTGAAATGCGTGGGAGGTGGGTGGGGGGTTTTCAAAGTCATATTATGCCCATGCATTATGCAGGATTAGCAGCATCAAAGGGAGGGGGCAGGGGCAGCACCAACAAAGGGAAGGAATGTGAATAGTATGCAGCTGCAGCAACCAAACAACCACGTAAAAAACTAAAGTATAAACTTCATAGTATCATCAGTATACTAAATATACTCCCCAACAAGCTGAGCCACCAACAGCAAGCAACACATTACAACTTTATGTCGCAAAAAATATAATATGCTTCCAGCTAAACCCTTTTCCCCTACATCAAACAGGTCTAACCCCGTACCATATGCTGCCATAGACAAACCCAACACCAAACTATACACTGTATTACTATACACCACCCTATACCTTATACATTGTTATATTACACTATGTGTTATTCTACCCACCCTAATGTATATCACACTGCTATATATTCACTATACAATTACGATACTATATATTACTTTGTACATTGTATTAAGCATATAAATGTTATACTATTTGTTATTATACACTGTACCATTGACCGTCGTGTGAAAGATACTAAGAGGCAGCAACAAAATATGAGAATGGGAGAGTTGCAGAGCAAAGAATCCATTCCCTGCGGAGAATACAATGCCAGTGAGTGGAACGCGGTCTGAGAGTCACCGTAAACGTGAACACAATCAGTTAAGATCCGAAATGGTTTATTACGTCCTTCCAATGATTGCTAAGCCAGAATCCATCTTCTCGGTTGAAATTGTCTCTGTGTTTGTATATGTGGATTGCCTCATGAACGAATCTCTCATGATAGCCAGATGGCTATAGAGAACCTCTGTCTTGGAGAAGTCAATGTCATGTGAGCCCACTGAATTGTAACAGTGATCTGCCACGGCTGAGGTGTTTGTCCTACCGTGTTTCAGGTCTGCTTTATGTTCACGGATGCGGTCCGAGACATGTCGTTTGGTTTCTCCAATGTAACTGCTACCACAGAGGCAACTTAGTTTGTAGACGCCAGGGTATTGTATGTCTGGAACCACATCTTTTACAGACGGGACCAGATCACGGATTTTATGTACTGTGTTGAATCGGACCTGGATCTTGTGTTTAATCAAGATTTTGGAGATCTTTTTTGTGACCCCAGCAATGTAGGGTAAGGTGATGGTCTTGAAAGGCCCCTCAACAGGATCCTTCTTGATGGTTGGAGTGATGGCCTTGCGGATTGTGTAGTCGGAGTAACCATTAGCCTTAAGAGCTTGGCGTACGTGTTTTAGTTCACTGGCAATGTGTTCCTGGTCGGAAATGCATTGGGATCTATGGTATAGAGTCTTGATGAGGGAATTCTTCTGAGATGGATGGTGGTGGGAATCCGGTTTTAGGTAAGCATCCGTATGGGTGGCTTTCCTGTAGACAGAGTGGCTCATTGAACCATCTGGTCTCCTTTTAATTAGGACATCCAAAAAGGGTAGCTTGCCATCTTTTTCGACTTCCATGGTGAATCTGATGGCTGGGTGTATGGAATTGATGTGGACGAGAAATTGGTCTAGAGCAGGCCTGCCATGTGGCCAGATGACAAAGGTGTCGTCTACGTACCTCTTCCATAAGGTCGGGCGTAGAGTGGCAGTCTGGATGGCGTCAGTCTCAAATTTCTCCATGAAGATGTTGGCTACAACCGGAGATAGGGGGGAGCCCAGTTTGTTTGTAGAAAGTTCCATTCCAGGTGAAGTATGTATTGGTAAAGCAGTGTCTCACCAGGGGGGGGTACCCCAGCATTCAGTCCTTGATGAACCAAGTCTTCAATGATTGCGATGGTGTCAGGTACAGGAACTTTGGTGAATAAGGAAACCACATCAAAACTGACAAGCAGGTCGTCTGGGGACAGCGCAATCCCCTTGATTGTCGATACCAGGTCAGTAGAGTTTAGTACCGCAGAGGTGGTTTTTCCAGTGAAAGGCCGTAGGATTTCAGACAAAAAACGAGCCAATTTATAGGTGGGGGAGTTGATAGTAGAGACAATGGGACGAAGAGGTGTATCTTTTTTATGTATCTTTGGCAAGCCGTATAATCTTGGTGGCCTGGCTGCAGAAGGTTTCAACGAGAACTGTTTGGTCTGATCAATTAATGCGGTTGAATCAGAAATGATTTGCTTGGTTTTAGAGACGAGGCTGTTGGTGGGGTCTCTTTTTATTTTTGTATAGCTGCCATCGTTGAGTAGTTCTTGGATTTTGTTGTTGTATTCTGTTTTGTCCATGATGACAGTGGCATTGCCTTTGTCGGCTGAGAGAATGACAATATCATCCCTCTTTTTTAATTGAGCTAATTCAAAACGCTCATCTTTGCTGATGTTGCTAGCTGGCATCTTAGCGTTTTTGAGGGTTGCAGAGATTTCAGATCTTGCTACGTCTGCAGCGATGTGACTCAGGCCCTTGAGAGCTACATCTACTCTAGCAATTATATCATTAACTGGTATGTGTCTAGGTGTGACTGCAAAGTTTAGTCCTTTAGCTAAAACGGATTTCAGACCTTCAGAAATAGAACTGTTACTGCGATTAATTACGACAGCAACGAAATATGAGAATGGGAGAGTAGCAGAGCAAAGAATCAATTTCCTGTGGTCAATGGTACAGTATATAATAACAAATAGTATAACATTTATATGCTTAATACAATGTACAAAGTAATATATAGTATCGTAATTGTATAGTGAATATATAGCAGTGTGATATACATTAGGGTGGGTAGAATAACACAGTGTAATATAACAATGTATAAGGTGGTGTATAGTAATACAGTGTATAGTTTGGTGTTGGGTTTGTCTATGGCAGCATATGGTACGGGGTCAAACCTGTTTGCTGTAGCGGAAAAGGGTTTAGCTGGAAGCATATTATATTTTTTGCGACATAGAGTTGTAATGTGTTGCTTGCTGTTGGTGGCTCAGCTTGTTGGGGAGTATATTTAGTATACTGATGATACTATTGAGTTTATACTTTAGTTTTTTACGTGGTTGTTTGGTTGCTGCATACTATTCACATTCCTTCCCTTTGTTGGTGCTGCCCCTGCCCCTGCCCCCTCCCTTTGATGCTGCTAATCCTGCATAATGCATGGGCATTATATGACTTTGAAAACCCCCCGCCCACCTCCCACGCATTTCACAATTAGCACTATTCGCATTCCTGCATTTCCCATAAATATGCTAAATTCCTCTTCAAATGCAAATTCTTTTGTCAAGGCTCTCTTCCTCCTCCCTCACAGCTTAAATAGACACTCCAAGCCTAAGACATGTCATTTAGACTGTCTTATCGACAGACATGTTCTTCACCTGAGGACGGCTGCTTGCGTTGTGGCCGAAACGTCGTGAGAATTATTTTATTATGTTTTATTTTTATTATTTTATTACTTCCCTTCTACGTGACTTTACCGAAAGAACCAAGAAGTATGTATTCTTGTTAAATCAGGGTGGCCGCTGAATTGGAACTGCGCACCTCTGCAACAAGCGGCAAAATACGCAACCGCTGGGCCATGTCACTGATCCCATGTGGGTCCTAGGGGTTATTTCACCATACTTCACCACGCTGATCAATGTAGATTGTTGAAGGCAGAAGCATGGAAGCATGGTATAATAATATATTTTGGTGCAGATAAGGTAGCCCTGCAATGGCCTATGACACCTGTTTGGCACATAACGGTCACTCCTCTAAAAACTAGGAGTGAACGCTCCTTAGCTTCCCAGATATGATGAGATCAAATGCAGACTAGATGATTAGGTAGGTTATGGGTAACAGATCAAATTAGCAGAAGTTAAATGCCCTATTTTTATACCTGGTGGTTTTTATCCGAATCTGGAGGATGTACAAAAGCTGTAGAGAGGATAAGATGTAGAAGCTAAAAAGTATAAAATGGAAATGAAACGTATTAGTGTTCAACCCTGGCACTCACAGTCGTATTATACATATCACAACAAATCAGCAACAGACAGTTTATGATAAGGATGATTGCCACTAGCGTAGGACTGCTGTTGAGAGTTTGTGGAGCCAGCGGCCAATGCGAAGGAGCTGAACGGGAGAAGATAGAAAAGACGGGAAGAGTTAGTCTCTCTCCGAGTTTGGTGGGTCATGTTGGTAAATGAATAATAATAATTATATCTTGATTTGAAGCTTTCGTGACTGCAGGAATCCATACTCTTTGGTTCTTTCGGTAAAGTCACGTAGGTATAAAATAAAATAAATCATCACGTTTCGGACGCAACACAAGCGTCTGTCTGCTGCTGAGGCAGACTGTTTTAAAAGGTTTGAAATGGGTGTAGCCCAAGAGTCATAAAGAAGTGGGCGGGGCTAGTGATGTTAATGTTAGAAATTAGCATGTAACTGTAAGATAGGAGAGCGGCCTCCTCGACGAGGGCACAGAAGTGGCTATGTTAATGTGAGAAATTCGCATGATGTTAATGTAGAGGACTAGTTGCGGGCATGACGTCACGCTCGCCTCCAGGGGCAATGACGTCATGGGAGGTGGCGTCATGCACGCCTGTGAGCGGGATGATATCATGTCCCGCAAGGGTACTTAAACGGGAGGCCGTGACGTAAGCGGGGTCGTTGCGGAGAGCAGGGAACGAAGAGGGTGGGTGTTAGGACCAGGGGTGAGGAGAAGGGTCTGTAGAAGGGCCAGCGTAAGCGCTAGGAGTGACTGCACTCCTCGGCTGGCCGAAGTTCGATCAGCCCTCGGCCGGCATTGAGGAGGCAGCCCGGACAGCCAGCTGAGCCAAAGGACAGACCGTGGGGAAGGTCCGAGTAGTGGACCCAGCCTAGGACCCCTAACCCCTGGGAAAGTGTTGCACCCTTCGTGTTGATTGGCATAAGCCCTTAATAAACTACCGGTGCAAGCCCTTAAACTTCACCTCCGTCTCCGAGTCGTCCGTAACTCTTCTACATTAATGTGAGAAATTAGCATGTAACTGTAATATAGGAGAGCGGCCTCCTCGATGAGGGCACGGAAGTGGCTATGTTAATGAGAGAGATTAGCATGTTAATGTAAAATCGAAGAGTAGTGCAATCCAAAGGCATGAGTGCAACCCATCAGGTGCAATCCAAAGGGCATGCGAGTATGAGAGTGCAATGCAAAGGACATGTGAGCATGAGAGATCTAAGAGAGGCATAGAGAGAGAGACACAGAGAGTCGGAAATAACAGCTGACATAGGCAGGTAGGATGGAAACATCACAGTCAGTTAAGACTTTACCTGGTTAATAACGTCCTTCCAATGATTGCTCAGTTTGTACCCATCCTCTCGGTTGAAGTTGTGTCTGTGTTTATTTTTCTAGATGGCTTCATGAACAAATCTCTGAAGGTAGCCGGTAGGTTTGCAGAGTACCTCCATCATGGAAAAATGTATTTCGTGTGAGCCCACAGCAGTAAAACAATGATCGGCAGGATGGGTACAAACTGAGCAATCATTGGAAGGACGTTATAACCAGGTAAAGTCTTAACTGACTGTGATGTTTCCATCCTAGCTGCCTATGTCAGCTGCTATTTCTGACTCTGTGTCTCTCTGTCTATGCCTCTCTCTTAGATCTCTCATGCTCACATGTCCTTTGCATTGCACTCTCATGCCTTTGGATTGCACTCTCACACTCACATGCCCACATTAACATCATGCTAATTTCTTCAATTAACATCACTTGCCCCGGCCACTTTTTTATGACCCTTGCGCTACACCAATTTCAAACCTTTTCAAACAGTCTGCCTCAGCAGCAGACCATGCTTTCCCACCTGATGACGGACGCTTGTGTTGCGCCCGAAACATCGTAATTTATTTTATTTTATACCTACGTGACTTTACTGAAAGACCTAAAGAGTAATAATAATTCTGATTTGTAGCATCTGAAGAATTTGTGCAGCGAGTTGCCAATGCGAGTCAGAGGCACGGAAAAGTCTCTGCGATGAGGCCATAGGAATGCGCTCACCTCATGATCACTGGACGTGGTGCAGCAGAGCCACGCGCGGGCGCTAGCAGGAAGGCAGCGGCACAGAGTGTAAGCCACTGGCACCAGAGTGCGCGGGTCAATGCTCTCCATGGGGGCTGCACACAAACGTAAGCAGACAGCAACACCTCTGTTCCTCCTCCTTTACACGTCTGTCCCTCGATATAAAAAATAAACGTTTTTTTACTTACACATCCTATCAGTCCCAAAGCCTTCTGGAAATGTGGAATATCACCAGCATTGGTTCAACAAAATCAACCTTTGGATCGGTTTCAACATTCAGTGTCTCATCAGCAGAGTCAGGCTTGCTTGAACCAAAGCTGCTTTAACCAACTCCCTTATGAGCCTGTGCTAGTTTGCTTACACTTCCCAAATGGAACAGCATTGTTACTAGTCAATAGGGATTAAAGTCTCACAGGCACTGGTGAAATCGGTATTTTGTATGGATATGAAGCAAGGACTGTGTCAAACTGACTAGGCTCAGGCCTCCTGCACCACAAACCTTCAATAAAATTGCTTGTCTGACACCAATAATGCCTCAGGAATTATCCTTTCTTCGTGTATGTGACATCAGGCTTTGTAGAGTCACACTAGAGCCATAGATAACATTCCCCAACTTCCATTAATCTTGGCTGATTGTCATAAATGTTTACACCACAGCCATGTGGCCAGTTGCATACAATTCCTCAGGCAAAGCCTTTCCTTCACACTGAATTACCACAAATGGCAACATAAGGACACACAATTTGCTCAGGTGATTGTATGCATTGGTCACACGTCCAGGTCTGTGTCGCACATTGAAATGTGGAATTTCAAGATCTTTTGGGCATTTTATTTTGCCTTTACGTGAATTAATTCACTTGTAACTTGGCACTGGGCTTGTTGCCAAACCTATTTATTAGTTAACAAAAAGTCCTACTCGTTATTCTCGTTGATAGGCTAGTTGAAGCTCTTGGGGGAAAAAAAGATAAATGGTGTGATTTAATTTCGGAAAAATCTAGAAACAAAAAATATCGCATGTCATGGAACCTCTCAGGTTGGTGTCATTTTATCGCAATATCATGGGATCTTTGCATAATTTCCTATCAAAATATATAAAAAAAATTCCTGACACTAATATATCAACTATTTTCTGTGTTTGAAATGACCAAACTTTACTCTTTATGGGCAATAGTCCTCAACATTGCGCAGCCGGGGGCCTTTGGACGTGCAGTGCAAGACTGTATTGTGCTGCACTGTCCTCTACTTATGTAGTGACATAGAACGGTCACTACTGTGTCGGCCCGTACGAGGGCTGGGGGCCCCATAGGGGTGCCTGGGGGGTCACGTGCTGGAGGGATCCGGACCTTCCCAGAGGTGGGGGAAGTGAGGCATGTCCTGGGAAGTGAGGCATGTCCTGGGAAGGGAGGCATGGCCTGGAGAGAGCCAGCCACGCCTGGGTGGAGCCGGCCACGCCAAAGCAGATATAAGCGTGGTGTGAACGCAGAGCAAGGCTGTTGTACTGTACTCCGAAGTGAAGACATCATCGGTCGTCAAGTCCCGAGTCGTCGTCCTGGGCCAGGCAGGCTACTGCCTGCCTGGTCCAGTCTGTGTCGCGTTCCAGAGTGTTAGTGAGTTGAGGAAGGTGGTCACCACCTCATGTACAGTGTTATATTATTTACCGTTTAATAAATAGTGTTGCCTCCAAGCTGTGTGTGTGTGCACCTAATTCGAACCCACTACATTTGGCGTCAGAAGTTGTGGAAAAATAAATATTGCTAGGTGTTATCCTAGGGAAGTAAAATGGGCACACGAAAAACAAATATAAAACTCATCTGGAAGCCTTCGTACAACGGGGACGGTGTGACGACCGTCCTTCGGACAGCCATTGGGGATGGCAGCCCCGGTGACAGAGAGAGAGAGAGATGGCGCTGCACGCGGAGCGGCGGGACTGGCATCGCACTGCTGCTTCGCCGCCATCGGGAACGGAGCGACGGAGCCGCGGGGAGAGGACACCATCGTCGCTGCGGGGGCTGGCGGAGGAGGCCCGGGCATGCAGGCCACACGGTGGGCCCGCCATTTCGGCGGCTGGTCGGGGCGCGGTTCCCGCCAAAATGCCGCTCCCGCCAACTCGAGGGCTGGTCGGGGCGCGGTTCCCGCCAAAAACACCGCTCCCGCCAACGAGGGCTGGTCGGGGCGCGGTTCCCGCCAAAACGCCGCTCCCGCCAACTCGAGGGCTGGTCGGGGCGCGGTTCCCGCCAAAAACACCGCTCCCGCCAACTCGAGGGCTGGTCGGGGCGCGGTTCCCGCCAAAACGCCGCTCCTGCTGCCGAAACGCCTGCGGAGGGGGAGTTCCAGTCTTCTGCTCGAGCGCGAGAGGTGGATGGGTTCGCAAGAGCAGGCCGTGTTCACCATGAAAGATTCTTCGGGCCGTCCCAGTGCTCCACCTTGCCGCCCTCCGCTATTCACAGTTTGCCAGGCGAGTCGTGACATGACAAGCACCCGACCTCAAGAAAAATAATAATATCTTCACCCATCTTACGTGCGCCGGGTTGCGATCGCGTGTTTTTTTTTAACTCGCTGGGTTGCGGAGTGTGTTCGTCCGGTTGTGTGCGTGATAAATTGACGCGGCGTCCGTGCGGGTGTCTGCTTGTAACAATGGTTGTTGTTAATTACGGCGTCGAGATCGTTATCTTCAGGGTGTAGTTAATGATTAATTCGTTGTTGGGTGTCCCGAGCTCCTTTGATATCCTGTAGGTTGCCGTGTTAATGACTCGTGTTGTTACATCGTTGTGTTGCGAAATCGCCATTGTTATTGTGTATACTGTATGGAGTTTCGCTCGTGATTGTCACGTGTAACTGTAAGAAACTTTGATCGTCATTGTTGCCAAGGTACAGACCGTATGGAGCTTTGCTTGGAATTGTTAACAGTGTATGGAATGTTGGGTACTTGCTTGTGATTATTTACTCTGTACGGATTGTCTGGAGCATTGATTGTGTGTGTTGCCATGTGGGGACTGGATGGAACATTGTGCCAATTGATTGACTGTACGAACTTCGTATACTGCATATACTGTATTAATCAATTTGGCGATTCTTGGGGTTTGTGTATAGTTTTTTTGCTCTCAAAATTCGAATGCCCTGAGTCCCATGGTTAATGTTGAAGGGGATTTTGAAATGACAGGTTCGGTTTGTTTCAAACTCACTGGTTGGTTCCTGTCCGTTGTTGCACAGATGATGTCTTTTGTGCGGGAATGCTCCTTGTGTTCTACATGGATCGGGAGTGCGTTTCCGTTAATTGCCGTCAAATTGCGTTGCTCTCTCCACTCGGTTGGTACAGCTGCATGCTGCAATGCGAGTCTCGGAGATGATGTGTACGGATACGGGATGTGAGGTGTATTGTTGTGACCATTGAATATTCGGGATCGTCACAAATTGTGCGTACCTGTTCGGCATTGGATCAGTTCTGTGGGGGATCATAATTCAAATTGTATGTGTTGTGATGGTGTTAAATTGCGATGGTGACATGCTGCCAGGGATTTGGAATTGTGGTGCTGGCTGTCACTTATCTTGGGGCGCAGATCCTGACCAGGATGGCCCAGTGAGTGTTGCGTGTCTAACATGAACGTTGTGGTCCCATCATGCTATGGCTGACGGCTTGACCTGACAGCCCGGAGATTGAAACACTCCGTGGTATGTCTAGCCTAGTGGGCTGTGCGCTCACAGGGCTCGGAGAGTGTGGTCCCGTCATGCAATGGCTGACGGCTTGACCTGACAGCCCGGAGATTGAAACACTCCGTGGCATGTCTAGCCTAGTGGGCTGTGTGCTCACATGGCTCGGAGAGTGTGTTCCCGTCATGCAATGGCTGACGGCTTGACCTGACAGCCCGGAGATCGAGACACTCCGTGGCTTGTCTAGCCTAGTGGGCTGTGCGCTCACATGGCTCGGAGAGTGTGGTCCCGTCATGCAATGGCTGACGACTTGACCTGACAGCCCGGCGATTGAAACACTCCGTGGCATGTCTAGCCTAGTGGGCTGTGTGCTCACATGGCTCGGAGAGTGTGGTCCCGTCATGCAATGGCTGACGGCTTGACCTGACAGCCCGGAGATCGAGACACTCCGTGGCTTGTCTAGCCTAGTGGGCTGTGCGCTCACATGGCTCGGAGAGTGTGGTCCTGTCATGCTGTGTCTGACGGCTTGACCTGACAGCCCGGAGATCGAGACACTCCGTGGCTTGTCTAGCCTAGTGGGCTGTGTGCTCACATGGCTCGGAGAGTGTGGTCCCGTCATGCAATGGCTGACGGCTTGACCTGACAGCCCGGAGATCGAGACACTCTGTGGCTTGTCTAGCCTTGTGGCCTGTGCGCTCACATGGCTCGGGGAGTGTGGTCCCGTCATGCTATGGCTGGCAGCTTGACCTGACGGCTCGGAGGTTGAGACCCTCCGAGGCGCGTTGAAACAGTGGGCTGGAGATTCGTAAGGTTCAGGTGGAGTTGTCCTGTTACGTTGAGACTGTATCCCTCAGTTGTTAGGGTGCATGTTGTGCAGCGAGTGAACGATGGGTCGTCTCAGCTCGGTCGGTACAGCTATATGCTGCGATGCGAGTCTTGGAGAGAGACTGGGTTAAAATCCCACCGATATGGCCGACGCGTGCTGCTGGTTGTGACGCCGCGTCGGAAAGGCGGTGGGGTGGTAACATGGAAATTCCCCCCCCGATATGGCCGACGTGTGCTACTGGTTGTGACGCCGCGTCGGAAAGGCGGTGGGGTGGTAACATGGAAATTCCCCCCCCCCGATATGGCCGACGCGTGCTACTGGTTGTGACGCCACGTCGGAAAGGCGGGGGGGTGCTAACGGGTGACTGTCATTGCATGCGTGATTCTAACGGGGGGGGGGGGGGGGGGGCTGTGCTGGAGCGTAAGTGGGTTAGCCAGTTTTCATGTATATTTGTTGTTAATTCCCCGTTTTCTATGCGGTTCCCTTTTACCCTCGTCGATTCTGTATATATTACGTGATTGTATTTCTTATCGGTCGCCGGTCATTTATTGATGTTGCTGGTTCGGAGGCACACCTTTTCGATGTTTCACAGTTGTGTTACAGCCGGGGACGGCTGTGTGTTTATACAGGGGGGGGGGGGTGATGTAGTGACATAGAACGGTCACTACTGTGTCGGCCCGTACGAGGGCTGGGGGCCCCAAGGGGGTGCCTGGGGGGTCACGTGCTGGAGGGATCCGGACCTTCCCAGAGGTGGGGGAAGTGAGGTGTGTCCTGGGAAGGGAGGCGTGGCCTGGAGAGAGCCAGCCACGCCTGGGCGGAGCCGGCCACGCCAAAGCAGATATAAGCGTGGTGTGAACGCAGAGCAAGGCTGTTGTACTGTACTCCGAAGTGAAGACATGATCGGTCGTCAAGTCCCGAGTCGTCGTCCTGGGCCAGGCAGGCTGTTGCCTGCCTGGTCCAGTCTGTGTCGCGTTCCAGAGTGTTAGTGAGTTGAGGAAGGTGGTCACCACCTCATGTACAGTGTTATATTATTTACCGTTTAATAAATAGTGTTGCCTCCAAGCTGCGTGTGTGTGCACCTAATTCGAACCCACTACACTTACATAGCTCCACAGCCTCTACAACAACCTGTTGTGCACGTTAATTACCCATCCAAGCACTCCCCAGGCTCAACACTGCTTAGCTTCTGCAATCTGGCAAGATGTGGTGCATTTTGTCAATGGCTCTCTGAGTAATGTCTTTCATTATTAAGCATACCGTGCTTGCGTGCGTGCGTTCGTGAGTATGCACGCGTTTGCCTGCACGTATACCTGTTAGCAGGCTGACGAGCATTCCGACCAGCACCACCGTGGCAGCGTTGTGCGCCGTGTACCACATGTAGGACAGCGAGTAGAACGAGTCCAATCCGGACAGCCTACACACACGCACGACAAAGATCCCCTGTGTGGCCTACACATGCTGTTGGGGCAAGTGCTATAAGCGAGCACCTAATGACGGCCAGCACAGCGCAAGGAGGCGGTGGTGTGGCCACTCCCACGCCTGGCTGCATTAGTCTGCCCAGTGATGATACCACTCCATGTACTTATTTAAGGCTGGGTAGACCTAGGGGGAGGGAAAGGACTAGATCATATTATATCGCCACTAGTATTGGCCATGGCAGGTGTTCTCATCAGCAACTGTGTGATTCACTAAGCATGCAGGGAACCAGGACTGTGAGCTTAAGTGAGGTCTATGACCCTCACAATAACGGGATTGTCAACAAAACACCGCAATTACTGCACTCGCATAAAGCCATTGACCACATCAGGATTTGTCCGATCACATCAACTCTCAAAAGCCGAGCAGGTTAATGCATGGAGAGTGCTGGGATGGATGACCGCCATGCACGCTCGGGTGACACAGGTTGCCATGGGATGTACTAAGTTGTGGACAGCAGGGGGCAGTGCAGAAATAGCCATTGCTGAATGGTACTTCTATTCTCCCACCTAAAATCACAATTCAATTCTGGAACTCACAATCCAGTGCTGCAGCAGCTACTGCAAACAGTACGGTCATAAACTGGGATATCCTGGCATTGCTTTCACGTTGAGATTACGGAGCGTTCCAGTTGGGCAATTTTCCCTTAAACATTTGAACCGCAACAGCCGTAACATTTGCACCAAACTCGATAAGTTGGTACAGCCCTCCCTTCACGGAGCACAAACCCTGTTTGCTGGCCGCTAGTGACGGTGGAGGGAAGGGTGGCCACGGTGGAGGGGATGGGCAGCAGGGTACTCATCGTGCTGGCTAGGGAAAGAGTGGCATTCAAACAGCCCACGGCGGCCTCAACGGAGCGGCCTGCCAGCCGGGCACGAGATAGAAAGCTGCCGATGAATATCCACAGGGCCATGCAGAGCCCACACGCCAGCCCCACAATCGCTCCCTAGAAAGGGGGATAGAAAACGGCGGAGGAGGAGTGGAGGCGAGGGGCGGAGAGTTAATACTGGATTTCTGTCATCTGTTGTTTACAGCCATGAGCCGGTGGTGGAATGTCCCATTTCCTATGGCAGGGGCTGAGTCTATATCCATAGGGCAACCAATGTTGACTTCCCCACACAATGGTGCCCGTTTCGGAGTAACAATACACACATATAATGATCTTTAGACACCAGATTATTTGGTGATTCTGCATTGGCAGTGGTACATAACCACAATTAACAAAAACCACACTGCCTTTAAAGAAAACTATAGATTAAATTGATGAGCATGTTTAGTTTTTGAGACAGCAGATGTCTGACGAGTTTGTTAGGATTTATAGACAGTGATAGAATTAGTTTACTCACAGTAGAGTTGGCACGAGGGAAAAACAGGCCGAGGGAAAACACTCCCAGAAGAGGGCCTCCCAGCATCCCAAAAATACTGATGGCCGCCTGCACACCCACGCACAGGTGTGAGCATTAGCGGCCTGTGTTGCGGCATCACACACAGACACACACAGTTCCAGTCCAAAGGGGGATGTGAGACGGCACTAAGCTGGTGCCCTGGAGATGGATGTTCATCGGGCGCCTTGGACGGGACGGGCAAAGTTCATGACATCAGTGCCCTGGCGACACGTTTCCATGAGGGGGGGGGGCGGTGGAGAGCAGGTCGCCGTGTACTTAGCCTCAGAATCGCTTTTTCACACTTTCAGCCATGCCTGATGTGAGGTTCGTACGCTGGTCGGGCAGGGATGGACAGGAGTTAATATACCGCCCGAAGGGACTACGACAGGTTGGTAAATTCACCAAGCGCGTGTAAGTTATTCCTTCCCAAGTGCTCCCCCCTTTCCTTTTTCTATTTCCCCCCTCCCAATTTCCCCTCTCCCCCCTCCCCTACTCTATCTACTCCCTTAAGTTATTTTCCTTCACTTTTCCCTTCCCAAATAAAAGTACATATACCCTGTTTGTGGTCCCCACTCGATGGGGCAGTGAGCCCAATCTCCCCCCTCTTCTAAACTCAGGAGCACAGCGTTCGGGATTTATATCCACGGAGTTTTTGTACATTGCAGTTTGTGCTCTGCACTGGGCTCCTACTGAAATATAATAAAAACATAAAACAAAAAATGTGTGTATCATTGGTATACCAAAGCTTGAGATAACTTTGCCAAAAGAAAGACTATTTATGGTGAATATAAGAGGACCCAGAATAGACCCTTGAGGAACACCACAAAGCAGTGGCTTGTGAGAGGATGTGATACCATTTAGAGAAATGGAATACAACCAATCAGAGATAAGAAGAGAACCAAATTAGAAAGGCATCATAGCATCCAACGTGGGTGTGAAGGCGCTCGAGGAGAATGTAATGATCAGTTGTGTCAAATACAGATGATAAATACAGAACCAAGTAAGAAAAAGACACAGTCAGTAGATAAGCGAAGATCATTTTAGATGAGAATTAAAGCAGTTTCAGTTGAGTGATTTTTCCGAAAACCAGATTGAACTTGGTCATATGGTTAATTAAATTATTGTATAAGACACGTTTAATGACCTTCAATAACAATGAAAGATTTGAAATAGGGTGGTAGTTTGCAGACTTATCAGGATTCAGTGATGGAATTTTGAGAACCGAGGTGATAGCAGCTACCTTAAGTGCAGATGGAAATACCAGGGGGCAGAGACATTAATTAATGTTTTTATAATAATTGGAATTAAAACAGCTGAACATGGAACAATTCAAGGAGAAGGCAACGGATCAAGACTAACGGTGTTATCTTTTTATTTATAATAATGTTCGTGATGTCATTTTTGTAAAATAACAGGGATAGATCCAAGCAGGGAGGGCTAGATCACGGTCGGAATGAATACGATGATCTAACGTTTAGCACTTTGAGGATTTTTTTTTCACATTGATCCACAGATGGAGTTAGAACGAATATTTTTTTCCCCCCACGATGGAAAAGTGAATAAGTCAGTTTTAGCTTTGATAAGCAATTTCTGGTATGATTTAAGGTTCCAAATCTGCAACTTAACTTCAAGGCCCCATTTTCTCCATTTACTCTCTAAGCAACGTCCAGCTTTTTTATTCACCCAAGTGAGTGATTTGTGTACCACGGAGCTGAAGATCGAGCTGAAGAGATCGTTTTTATAGGCGAAAGTTTGTTAACCACCTCTGAAATTATTTATGATAATGATCAACGGATGGTCCATCAGGAATAAGAAAACAAGGATCTTTAGCCAGATTGTGAAGAGAGTAGAGAAGGGTAGATTATTTTGATATCGATAAGAAAAGGTGGTGAGATTAGGAGAAATACTTGTGTAGTGACATAAATGGAGTGACTATGGCGTTTAGCGCCAGCTACTGTCACAAGAGTGGAACTGTGCGTCTTGAGCTTCTGTCTGGCACCAGAGTCGGCATGGCATGGAAGTGGGCCTTAGGGGGCATGGTTCTGATGACGGTCAGAGAGAGGTCAAATAAGGACGTGACAGTTTGGGTGAACCCGAGAGGGCACGTGACCAGGACAGGGTAGCGAGGGGGCCCAAAGGGTGACTTGAGGGACACGTGATGCTCGGTCGAAAACCTTCTGGTAAGATCCAGAAGGGGGCATGGCCGAAGGCGGAGCGCGGCCACGCTCGGGAGGATAAAAGGGAAGTCCCGAGAGTAATCGCGGCTGTCTGCTGGAATGGAACCCGTCGGTGCTACGTCTCTTCGATCCTCAATCGTCACATTCGGCATCGTGGGTCAGGCAGTGCGTTGGCTGGCTGACCCAGTTATGTAGTCACCCCATCGTGGTCTAGTTAACCGTTGTTACGTTACGTAGTTACCCTGTTGGGGTTGTGTAATAAACGTGTTGCCTCCAAGTTCAAGTGTGTGCCTCCGTAGAACCCACTACACTTGGAACAAAGGGTGCAATCAAAACAGTAGTGGTCACTGTAAATAACAGGGGGATTGAGGAAATTGTAATTTCAACGTTTTTATATAACCAGATCTAAGATGTTTCCTTTAATGTGTAGGAGATGTAATAGATTGAGTCAGGCCAAGAATATCCAGAACAGACAGAAATGTGGATACATTAAGATCTAGAGGGTTGTCAACATGGAAATTGAATACAACCAGCAATTACTACTGGAGAGGAAGACATGCTGAGCCCTTGAAGTGTAGACATGATTAAAAGGACAGGATTAAAAGGAAATTTTGTGGAGGAAACCTTTGCTTCCTGCGGTGTGGCAGATGAGGGTGTCTATTTAAAATGTAGGCTTTTGCGACCAATATTATCCAAAACAAAGGTTTTTCGGGTTAGGTTGTAAATGTTGCAGGTTTACTCTCCAACACACCGGTGTGCTGAAGTAGTAACTAATTGGCACGTTTTGTTTACGTGACAAACCTTACTAATTGGCTGTGTCGGGTGGTGGCGGGTTTAATAACACATCTATATTTACACGATCTAACCCAAAAAAAACTGCATTATAGAGGGTGTCTATGTGATATGATGGGTATATCAGAGTTGAAGCCTAGACAGCAACCAGAATTAATGATGGGTTGTTGGCATAATTAGTCAGGTCAATTTGATGAATGCATTCTCCGACTGCGACCTGACCCACGATGTACCTAAGGCCGTCGTTGTAATATTACCAGCAGTTGACAAGCCGAGTGGGCGCTTGGGTGAGGATGACGTGGAGTGTATTTCAGGCCCAGCAGAAAATCTCGCAATTAACTCGATGCCATATTTCAGAAGTAGGCGACGAGTTTAGTGACAGAAGCAACTCCGGACCAGCTCGCCAAAGGTTGACTGGCTAAGTTGGCTTAGCCAGCCGGTGACGCCGCTGGTAAGACCGCACTGGTGTACGCAGGAAACTTTGCTTTGTTTGCTTGTGCCTCGTGCTTGTTACCTGCAGCACGGAGCCCATGAGAGACGCAATGTAGGCCAAGCCCAGACAGAGAATCCCGTAGGCCACGGCTACACACACAGACACACACACACCCCTCACAGCTACTCTCGAAGACAAAGATCTCCCGTGTAGCCATCAACAAGTGCTTTGAGTAGCACCTCTGAAGGCCGGCATGACACATGAGGGGTGAGTGCCCAGCACCATGCTTGGCCACCTTTGTCTTCTCAGTGGCAATCTTTACACATCGCACTAGGTACCAATTTGAGGGAAGGCCCAGGGATCGGTTCAGATATTTGCCACTGTTATTGGTTGTGAGAGGGAATAAAACTCGGGTCGCCAAGTTTATAGTGCATTGTGCTAACCACTACTCCAACGCTCCTAACACAAAAAACAAAGACACTCATACACATGGAGACACAAAATGAAAATATACTTACATAAAATCTGACCCATAATGCTCCACAGCAATACATGGAAAGCAAATAGGCTGATGGACTTAACAAATTTTGTTTATATATGCTTAGAACTACACGGAGAGACAGGAAGAGGAACACGTCGAGGAGAGAACACGCCCAAGTTATGGACATAGTATTGAGTGTTAAGAAACATCAGGGGGGTTTTGTCACGATGCGTCATCATGAGTAGGGACGATGGGCGGTGGTTGAGACGGAGGATGAAGCGGCAGCATAAGGTAGCAACCCGCTCGAAAGGGCGTCCACTCCAAAGATGAAGCAATGACATTAATCTGTGTGCAAGGTGCTTGATGGATTGTGGCATAGCAGGACCGTGAGGAATGGCGACAGTTTGAGGAGGGCCTTCATCCAGCAGTGGATCGATCATGGCTGACGAGGAAGATGATGAGGGGACCAAGTCTCACCGAGTGCCTTGGAAGTCCGCATGGCGTTCTGCTCGGACAGCCCGGGCACACACGGCCGGACCAGGTCCTCCAAGGTCACCGTGGCCAGAGAGTTGAAGGCTGACGAGATGGTGCTGCACACATAGAAGAAAAATCCCAGTCGAGGTGAAGATGCGACAATCCTGGCTCAATGCCGCGGAAGCCACAACTCGACAGGGAGAGGTGAAACAGCCAACTCTCCATTCGCGGGGGTAATGTGGGGAAGCGTGGCCCAGACAAAGCACAAACATGGACATTGCAAAGTGCATGTACATTTCAACCCTCCCCCCACTCCCCCACCACAGAAATGTGGAATCTCCACCACTGTCACAAGGCTTAAAAGTGGGAGATTAACACCACCTAAATGCTCAGTTCTAATATGTAATGCAACATCGGTGACGTTTGGGCAATGGCCCTTCTTCATTGCAGAAGAGTGATTGACTGAAGCAAGTAAATTCATAAAAGCGCAACTGTTATAACCTAGATTATAACGAGTGCAGGAAATCACTTTGACTCGACTATATGTGTAATGTGAGGATATATCCGGGTTGCTGATGGATCACACCTCGTTACGATGATTGGCTCTACCGGTCCTGGCCCATAGCCAATGGGGGGAATTATAGGGGCGTGGCCCTGACGTAATGGGAAGGGGACATCTGTAAGTAGAGGATTGGATCTGCTGGCTTTAGCCACAGCCAATGGGGGGATGAGTCAGGGGCGCGGGTCCTGGGAGCGTACGATGGAGTCTAGAAGATTCCATAGAGGTTAACCAGGATTGGTGGAAAGGTACCACGTGACCCAGGTATTAAAAGAGGTGGAGATGGACAACACGTGGTCAGATCTGGAACGAACGGAGGGTGAGGCCACGCTGGAGCGGGGTCCAGGCTGCCACGTGGCCGCGCGTGTCTATCTCTCTCTCTCCCTCTCACGCTGTCTGTCAGCAGCGTGAAGGAATAAGATAGGAGTGTTGTGAACGAACGACAAATAAAGACCGGATTCCAGAAGTCGCTTCCAAGACCTTTATTATATATGTACATTAGGCTGAAACACTTTCATTATTGTTACCTACAAAAAATCGGAGTGAAGACACAGAATGTGTTGTATGCATTGATTCTCGAAGGAATAGGTTGCTTGTTGCCCATGCAATTGCATTCACGTGGCCAATGAGTGACTGAAATGCGACGAGTGAGGAGCGGCTAACTGGTGAATCCAGCGAGTACATCATCACTTCTCCTCCCCCCCACCCCCGCCTCGCCGTGCAGGGCGACCATGGCTCCCGTGGCCTCTATCCACACCTGAGTGAAGCGCTGAAAAGGCAGGCAACAAACAGGCCTGGCAGGCCTGGCAGGTCACGAAGAACGTCCATCACGAAATACAGCACCAGCTTGCACGCATACAGAAAAATACAGTCGGTAGATACTTCGGTTAACTCTTCATTATCTGTGATGAGGGGATGGGGGAGGACTGGCCAGGTACAACAGACACGGATCATGCCAATCACAGGTAAATTTCGGCGAAGCAGGCATTTATTGTTCACCTGCGTACAGTGGAGGGTAGATGGTCTCAAGTGTGTTCATTGTTTCCTGCAGTAATCGATTACCTGCCAATCCGATTGTGGTCACCATCGAGGAGCAGCTGATGACAAAATCATCCGGTGTGCGCCTCATCTCGACAGATCTCGCAAGCTATGCAGGTTTGAGCCTGGGTAGCACTCGAACGGGCGACTATCATGCGTAACGGGTGTCACAGGCTACGGCGGAGCCGTTTTACGGGCTGCGGACGGATATGCAGCAAAACCTTTTGGTGTAATGTACTCCAGTGCTCAAACATCTTTGCTCCCACCTTCGCCAACCTGTTCTGAAGGATGGAAGAATAATTCCCTAGACCCGCATGGCGTGGGGAGGCCCTCATCCAGTAGTGGATTGACAAAGGGCTATACGTGTATATACTGCTTTGCAAGCAAATTGCGCACACGTACATATTTTAATATTCCGCTAACACTACGAGCACGTGTGTAAATATTACAGGCTTGCATAAGCCAGCTCACACTGTGAATAAACATGCAGTAACTGACATGCCAGTGGTATTGCGCATAACCTATGCATGGTCTCTCAACAGTGGACGTTCAAATTTCGCACAGCCGTGAGAACTGTCATATTGGTGCAGCAGCAGAGTGTTGACACTCGCACCTCACAGCGAGAAGGACGCAGGTTTCATTCCCGACTCGGGTGCCTTGATGTGCAGAGTGTGTACATTATATCCCTCCTGTTGTGCACGGGTTTCCTACAGGCTCTCTGGTTTCTTCCCACAGCGAAAAAAACCTCCATACAATGCGACTGCTATCGGCCAAGGAGAGTTGGCTGTTTTTGGATTGAAAATCTTATAAAAAAACATCACGCTTCTGTGGATGCTGGCATTTTCCCATGCATGTCGCTGTGCATACGTGTACACGTTTAACGGTGCGTTCACGCCGATATAGGGGAGAGTGTAAAAAGCAAGGCTGCCACCAGTCCGGGAATTGACGTCTGTGTTGCGGTGGCAGCATATCCCAGTCAGAGGTCACGTACACATCTACATGTATATATCCCCTTTGTCAATCCACTGCTGGATGGCTACTTCGTCACTCGGGTTGTCACCCGTCCTCAAATACAGTCTGTGTTCGGGTGGAAGGAATCGATTCGTACCGGTATTGAGTTATGACAGTAGAATGCACAGTTTTGATCGATGCTCCCGGAGAAGTGTCTGGGTTTGGCCTACAGGGGGAAAGGTGGCAGCCCCAACACCGACGCATACAGAACACACAAAAAGCGGTGTGCGTGGTGGCGTCACCTGGTCTGGGCTCTTGAGAAGGCCCGTGTTGAGAGGGCTGCACTCCTGATAGCGCGCGTACATCACCAGGCCCATCACGCAGCTGATCGCGAGGACGATCTGCTGCCACGGAAACACCACGTAGCACGACCTGTGAGCACACGCAGATTCCCTCGCTCAGCCTCGCCCAGCCTCGCCACGCCGCTTGGACAACAAAAAACTAAACCATCTGAGCAATGGAAGCGCTCTAGATTTGGTAGTTCAGGAGAATACAGAGAATCGGATAAACAAGAAAATGGTTAAAAAAAAATACTAAAAATAATGGGACAAGGCCAAAGAACGATGCTGGACGGAGTAACAGGGAAATGACATGCGCTGCGTTATGCGAGGCCAGCAGGGGCTTCACCGCTGTGCCTCTCCCTTAATATCATCACACATGGTGGTGAGATGACACTAGGAAGGACCCAGCTAAGCACGGACAACTTCATGAGTGCTGTTGGACATTGACTTCTCCACTGCCCACACGTGTGTGTCTGCATGTGTCTGTATGTGTGCCTGTGTGATTGTGTGCCTGCATGTCTGCACGCGCGTCTGCGTGCATGTTCGCGTGTCAGCGTGTATGCACAGCACGAGAATGCGCGCTTACAGAATCGCCTGGCGCTCGGAGCGCGCACACAGGTAGCGCTGCACCTGCGCCTGGTTGACGCCGTACAGCGCTAGCATCATGAACATGCCACCGATGGACAGACTCCAGAACGAGTGCCGCTCCGTGGGGTCAGGGTTCCAGCTGCTCACAGGACACGCGAGCAGAGCAGCCTCATCGCACCGACGCGCCATCCTCACCGTCATCGAGCGAATGTGTTGTATGTTTTTTTAAATGTGTAGTGACATAAGAAGGGAGGGGCTGCTGGGGGCTCTGGGATCCCAGGCGAGTCCAGACGCTTAAACCTCTGGGCGCCAGGCGCTGGGTTCCCAGGGGGTCCAGACGCTTAAGCCTCTGGGCGCCAGGCGTTGAGTTCCCAGGCGCTTAATCCCTTGGGCGCCGCCAACGGGGGGGGGGGGGGGGGGGGGGGGCTGTGTGTGCTCTGTGGGATGTCTGGTGGCGCACACGGCCCCACCCCTCGTTGAATCAGGCATAAAAGGAGAGCTTCCTGGACGATCGGGGCCCAGTTGTAACTCAAGACCCAAGATCCACGACCAGCCATCTGAAGACCCTGGGATGCTGTGAGAGCCAGTGGTGGGACTCTGGAACTCCCGACTCTACGACCTTGTGAGGGCGAGCGTAGCCAGAGTAGAGTATCTAGAGTATCTAGGCTGTGTAGCTAGGCTGTGTACCTAGGCTGTAACAGAGTATCAGGACTGTTGGAGTGTTGTATGTAATAAAGAAGTTACATCTACAAGTGTCTCCGGAACCCGTTACAAATGTATTAGTTGGACTACTTTCAGACAAGTTCTTGGTCATTCAAGCAGAGGCACTGACCCTTGGCGAGCGAGGAGCAACTAATAATCAAGTTAAGAGTACACAAAAATAAAATTGCATAGGTAATCTGCCCCTGGGTAATAGAGAGTTACCTGTATGCACATCTCATGTGCTGAGGCCTGAGCTAATCCACTGGGGATCCTTATACGTGTTTTTGATTCATCCAGGTGACCCCTCCCCCACTACCCCAGAGTTTAACTCTGGATGGCAGAGAAGTGTACACGTTAATCCACTGCTGGATGAATGTCTCCACACACCGTGTATGTGGTGGGGTTATATTTGACGTGGTGTGCGGTTCGCGGTGCGATGCGAGATGGTTGTGCTGCGCTTCGCGTCTATTACTTGATCGCTGAGATCCGTCCCCCCTGGCTGGCGATGTCCCACACGCGGCCTATGCCGCCGGCCTGCCAGCACCCCACGCCGATCACGGCGAGCTGCCCCGCCACCATCACGACCGTCTGGAACGCGTCTGCCCAGATCACGGCCTTCAGGCCACCCTGTGATGATGCACACAACAAACACAGGAGACCTGTATGGAGACATTCACATGCCGGAACGTTCCAGACGGCATTGTAAACTCAAGATGGCTATACATTGCCGGTGGCTTCCACTGTTGTGAGAGGTCATAAAATGACCAGTCTTACAAGCATTTACGGGAGCAGGTCATTGCAAATCCACATTGTTGCCCAATTAATTTTTTTAAATATGTAGCTTATACAGCCTGCCCGCCTTTGTCTTCCCAGCGCTGATGTTTAAACAGCTTGTGGTACTAGAACAATGGGGTATTTGAGACAATCGCTCAGTAAGGAAGTGATCGCAGACCAAACACAAAAACCATGCAGAATAGACAACACACACAATGAGTACGAACAAATTGAAAACTGCACCCCGAGGTCAGGCTCTCGTTTATCAACCGAGTTGGCAGGAAAACAACTTGTTGAACTACAAGGTACTAACGCATTCATTAAGGTGCAATACACTCGCGCTGCGCCGTTACAACTGCAAAACAAACAAAATTGCGCGTGGAGTTGGGCGCTGTGGTGGCAAAGAGTCGTTCGCCGGATATATTCAGAAGGCCGTGGGTTCGATCCTGACCCTGATACCTGTATATTTGGAGTTCGTGTGTTTTCTCTCAACGAGGATTTTTCTCCGAGTTCCTCTGGTTTTGCCCTCCACATTCACAGACATGCGTTTAGATGATTTGGCTGCTACCATAACTTCCCACATGTGATGATATAATCCACTTTGATGAGCTGTCATGTGTGGCCAGGTCATCTGCAAAAAGTAGCTCAGAGCTCAGTGGGCTTTACCTCATAAACAACATAGTTTATAGTTTTGACTTAAAACTTTCATGACTGCAGGAATTCATATTTTATGGTTCTTTCGTCACATAGATAGAAAAAATAACAATAAAATAATAAAAATAAAGTGAATAGAAATATAAACTTTGCAAAAAACTTTGCAGTCACCCCCAAACACATTCCAGTGGATGACATCATTCCCAGGTCGATGTAGCTCTTAAGGGTTTGGGACACATCTCTGCAGACGTGACTAGAACTGAAATCACTGCAATCCTCAAAAGTGCTAAGATACCAGTCAGCAACATCAGTAAGGATGAGCGTTTTGAGTTGTCTCAATTGAAAAAGAGGGATGATATCGTCATCCTCTCAGCCGACAAGGGCAATGCCAGTGTCATCATGGATAAAACCGTGTCCAATAACAAAATTCAGGACCTACTTAATGATGGTAGCTACACAAAAATTAAAAGAGATCCCACCAAGAACCTTGTTACAAAAACGAGCAATATCATCACTGATTCAGCTTCCTTAATTGAACAGACCAAACGGTTTTCCTTAAAACCCTCTGCTACTAGACAACCCAGATTATATGGCTCACCAAAAATCCATAAAGGTACACCGCTTCGTCCAATTGTCTCCACAATTGGCTCACCGACCTACAAACTGACTCGATATCTGTCTGAGACCTTACAGCCCTTCACTGGTAAGACCACCTCTTCTGTACTTAACTCAGCTCACCTGGTATCGTCAATTAAAGACATTACTGTCCCCAGATGATTTACTCATTAGGTTCGATGTAGTTTCTTTGTTCAAAGTACTTGTGCCCAATACCATTGCAATTATTGAAGACCTGGTCCAACAAGGATTGAATGCTGATGCACTGGCCCTGGTGAGACACTGCCTCACCAACACATACTTCACCTGGAATGGAACATTCTACAAAGGCACCCCATTGGAAATATTTGAGACGGACGCCATCCAGGCTTCCACTCTACGCCCGTCCTTGTGGAAGAGGTACATAGATGACACGTTTGTCATCTGGCCACATGGCTGACCGGCTCTAAACCAATTCCGCAACCACATCAATTCCATACACCCAGCCATCAAATTCAGCATGGAGGTAGAAAAGGATGGCATGCTACCTTTTTTGGATGTCCTAATAAAAAAGAGACGAGATGGCTTAATGAGCCATTCTGTCTACAGGAAAGTAACCCATACTGACGCCTACATAAAACCTGATTCCCACCACCATCCATCCCTGAAGAATTCCCTCATCAAAACGCTACACCATAGAGCTCAATGTATCTCCCACCATGAACACCTAACCAGTGAACTCAAACACGTACACCAAGCTCTCAAGGCGAATGGATATTCTGACTACACAATCCGCAAAGCCATCACCCCAACCGTGAGGAAGGAGCCATCTGAGGATCCAATCAAAACCATCACCCTGCCATACATAGCAGGGGTAACCAAAAATATTTCCAAAATCATGAACAAACACAAGATCCAGGTCCAATTTAACACAGTACATAAAATTCGTGATCTGATCCCATCTGTGAAAGACAAGATTCCTGAAATGCAATATCCCGGGTTCTACAAACCAAGCTTTATCTGCGGCAGCAGTTAGATTGGGGAAACTAAGCGACATGTCTCTGACCGTGTCCGTGAACATAAGGCAGATTTGAAACATCGTAGGATCAATACTTCTGCCGTGTTTGATAATTATTTTAATGCGGCTGGCTCACACGAAATTGATTTCTCTAAGACAATGGTACTTTGCAAGCCTACTGGCTATGCAACAAAGATTCGTTCATGAAGCCATCCATATATACAGACACAGAGACAATTTCAACCGAGAGGAAGGTTATAGACCGAGCAATCATTGGAAAGATGTCATCAACCACTTTGGGTCATCATTTGATTTGTGTTTTCTTGTCCACCTCCACCGTCAGCAGTGTGGGTGTGTGGAGCGAGGTGCAATGCTTTTACTGGTAGGAACGAAGTGAACCAGCCTACAATAGATTATATCGTCCGTCCGTTCGTCCGTCCGTCCATGTAGCAACATCGCCCCCTACTGCAAACACTTGGCATGACCCTACAAAAACCTTTAGACTCAGTGACGCTTTCCTGGCTAAACAAGTGTAACATTCCCTTATAATTCCCTCAGATAACTTTTAATTAAAACATTTAAATTAATGAGGCTTTCCTGGCTAAACAAGTGTAGCATTCCCTTATAATTCCCTGAGATAGCTTTTAATTAAAACATTTAAATTAAAATTTAACTCACAGTGCCCTAAAGCCTACAGCTAGGCCTAAAGCCTCGAACTAGGCCTCAAACTCTCCCTTCGTATCGTACCCCCGCGTGTGTGAAAGGGAGTTAATGTTTAACAATGTTACATTCCCTGATGTTTTTAAATAGAAACATTTACATTTAAAGCTTTTACGTAAATAATTAAAACATTTAAATTAAAAATTAACTCATGGCAGCCTGAAGCCTACAGCTAGGCCTAAAGCCTCGAACTAGGCCTCAAACTCTCCCTTCGTATCGTACCCCCGCGTGTGTGAAAGGGAGTTAATGTTTAACAATGTTACATTCCCTGATGCTTTTAAATAGAAACATTTAAACTTAAAGCTTTTACATAAATAATAAAAACATTTAAATAAAAAATTAACTCACGGCGGCCTGAAGCCTACAGCTAGGCCTAAAGCCTAGAACTAGGCCTCAAACTCTCCCTTCGTATCGTACCCCCGCGTGTGTGAAAGGGAGTTAATGTTTAACAATGTTACATTCCTTGATGTTTTTAAATAGAAACATTTACATTTAAAGCTTTTACATAAATAATTAAAACATTTAAATTAAAAATTAACTCACAGCGGCCTAAAGCCTACAGCTAGGCCTAAAGCCTAGAACCAGGCCTCAAACTCTCCCTTCGTATCGTCCGATTAGGTGTAGCAACATCACCCCCTACTGCAAACACTTGGCAGGACCCTAGAAAAACCTTTAGACTCAGTGGGGCTTTCCTGGCTAAACAAGTGTAATAATACATTATGTTAATATTCTTTGGTTACTCGTTCCTACCAGCCCACCCCGCAGGGTCCTGTTATTGGTGTAGACCTACTGCCGGTGTCGGAGCCCTCTCTTACATTAACATTAGCTGCCCCGCCTATCTCTAAACCTTTATAAACAGCTCTTTTATTGGTGTAGACCTACTGCCGGTGTCGGAGCCCTCTCTTACATTAACCTTAGCTGCCCCGCCAATCTCTAAACCTTTATAAACAGCTTGCCCACAGGCTAACCTCCCTGTTCCTAATGACCTCTTGTGTTGCAATCAAAACATCGTGATATTTTTATTCACTTTATTTTTATAATTTTATTGTTATTTTTTCTATCTACGTGACTTTATACCAAAAAAACCATAGAATATAGTTTATAGTTTTTCATATAAAACATGTGTTATTCATACACCACGGTCTTTAAAACGTGACATGAATTAGACTTACGATGGCCGTGTAGAGTGTGCACACCAAGCCCAGACCAGTCACAGAGGCCCACAGGCTGATTCCCGTCACTACGCAAAGCAACAACGCAACCATAAACCTCCAGCAGTTCACCCGACATGCAACGGAACGTGGGACAGCTTGGAAATTTGAATCACACGGTAATAAATGTGGGCTTGGGCAGGACACGGTGTTCGAGATGATGATGGTCAGGGGTCGAGAATAAAAAGTGGCAGCCTAGAAAGGCAGTACTCCCGAAAGGCAACCACCGCGGAGATGGAGCACTCGAATCAGCTATTGTGCATGAAGATGCTAGTGTATTGCATAGGTGAAGAGAGTGAATTATTGAAGGTTGACTGGGCCCATCATCCGACTGGAGTTGATCAAATGTGCACTACTTTGTTGGGAAGTCACCAGTGGTTTGTCCTCTGGATATACCTGCCCCCGCTATAGAAATGTGAAATATCCACAAAGGGCTTAGGACTGTGAAGAGATGACCATGACCTCTTATGCTCATTTGAGCAGTAAATTACTTGGCTAGACTATCGTATTCAACACGAGGGGTCAGGGAGACGCACGCACCTGTATTGAGTATCAGCGCTGGGGCATAGAGCCCCACTCCCATGTACACGACCTACAAAACACCAACAACAGCCGATGTGACAACCACGCATTAGTTTAAATGATAATTTACTTATTTATCCCAGAGCCATACTTTTGAGGAAGATTATTTTGAAATATTTTCAGCCAATTATACAAGTGGGAAGAAAGTGGAGCACCCGGAGAAAACCCACGCGCGCGAGGGGAAACACCTTTCCTGTACAGATGGAAACAGATGGCGATTAGTCCACTTTCTGTACTGCCTTCTCCTGGCGAGCCAGGGTATGACACCGCAACACCCACGGAAAAGGAGTTTCACAAGATTTGTGTGGTGATTCACCAAGCCTCACCTCCAATGTTGGATTACATGTGCATTGACACCACCCCCACCAGTAAACATCTGATAAACGTGGAAGAGTAGGCCAAATATACCCTGTTGAGCTCCCTCTAATAGAGGCCCTTCTGCCTGCAGTGACGTGAGCAAGCCCTTGCAGGGCTACACATTTCCTTTTGTTTCACATGAACACACGGGGATGGAATACCCACCATCTGGAAAATGAAAGTAGCTGTTCCACATATCCGGACCGTTTTATTGAAGCGCAACTCCAGGTACTGCAGGGCAACAAGCACGCACGGACACGCACAACAATCCACAAGCAGACACGTGACACGAACATCATTTTTCTTAGGTTTTTTCGGTAAAATCACGTAGGTAAAACATCAAAATTAATAAAAATAAATAAATAAAAACAAAAATCACGACGTTTCGGAGGCAACACAAGTCTCCGTCATCAGGTGGGACAGTCACAGCCGGATTAGCTGCATCAAGTGAGGCAATGATTCAAGATGTAAACCTTTGATGGTAGCCGGGAGGTTTATACACGAAGCCATACAAATATACAAACACAGACATAATTTCAACCGTGATGATGGGTACAAACTTAGTAATCATTGGAAAGATGTTATCAACCACGCAAAAAAGACTTAATTACACTTTTTTGGATCATCTTATCTGATAGGCACTATCTTACTTTACTTTACCGAGTGTTAACATCCCCAGTGTTTAACAGTACTCTCTTCATTGTTTATCCAGCATTGGTATAAACATGGGCATTTTCGTTCTTTTCTATCATGTGTATCAGGCCTCCCCTCCCCCTCTCTGTCCAATGCGTTGGCGTTGTGCAACAGCAACAGCGCCCACGCCGTCGTCCATTCTTTTGGCCCCGCCCCCCCCCTCCCCCTCCCGATGCGTTGTACGTTGGCACTCCGTGCCGTCTTTGAGCCCCGCCCCCCCTCCCTCCCGATACGTTCCATTCATTGGCTACCACATTCTGATTAGCTCCCCCCCTCCTCCCCCTCAACTTGCTTTTTAAGGGATTACATCTTGAATCATTGCCTCACTTGATGCAGCTAATCCGGCTGTGACGGTCCCACCTGATGACGGAGACTTGTGTTGCCTCCGAAACGTCGTGATTTTCGTTTTATTTTATTTATTTTTATTAATTTTGATGTTTTACCTACGTGACTTTACCGAAAAAACCTAAGAATATGAATCCTTGCAGTCACGAAAGCTTCAAATCTAGAACGAACTTCATTTTAGGCTTTCACACGGCAGAAGAATCGGTTATTATTTTCAAGAGATACAGTGACTCATCTTGCCTACACTCATCTCCTTCCACCCTAGCGCTTTTCCCTGCTCAAAAATCTACACTCACCGCCTGCACCAACCAGCGCTCGCCATCACAGTGATTCATGCTTAAACAACCCCCCTACGGCCCGGCCCGCACGGTGCAGGGAAGCCGTCACATCCAGCAGTGGATTGACTAAGGGACTGTGTGTGGTGTAAAACCCAAGTGTGCCGGTCGTGAGCAAGGGGTGAGAGAGAGGGGGTGATGGGGTGTGGATGTGAGGGGTGAACCTGGGGCAACGTAAATTGCAAGCACTGTATACACCATTAATTTAAAGCAGTGTCATTGCAACTGTCATCGGGGCTAACAAGAACACTGTATTTGCGATTATAATCTATCCCAGATCTGGTGAGGGCAGCCTGCACCGTAACCTCGTTTAAAGCGATTCACACAGCAGCAGCAGCAGTTGCAGCATGAGTAGCGATACGACTCAGGTCTGTTCATTAGGCATTCTATTCCAGCTCTCGTCCCCGCTCAGCAATGAAAGGTAGCGACACCTGTGGCTTCATTGCACTCGAACAGGGGTCAGCAACCTGCGGCTCTGAAAGAACTGCTTCGTAACGTTATTCATTAAGGACCACCGTCTCGTATTCACATGAATTACGAAAAAAATGGCTTTTCTTGTTATTTTGGTTGGCGACCCCTGTACTATAATAATTCAAATGGGGGAGCGGGGGGGGGCAACTTAGCCCCAAGAGGCTCCCGAATGGCCCCCACCGACACTATAAGGCTTGGGGGGAGGGGGAGTTATGAGTCACAACCTCAAAAGCTACGCGGTTGTTTTTGCTCCGATTTGTATTCGCTTCATTGCTGTACTTGTTTTTACATTATCGCTTTTGTCATTTTGGTAACGCAGGTCAGTCACTCCTGCAAATGACGCTATCCTACTCTCTTGGGGAGTTCTCGCCTGGTTCTACAAACGACCCTCGAACCGCGGCCTGCTGCGGTGGCGGTGTGGGACGCCGCACCTCGTATGTACTCGTGAGCTTCAGCCGGTAGAAGACGGGAATGAAAACGTGCGCAGGGATCAGCAGGCCCAGGAAGTAGGAGAGGCCGAGGAGCCAGTACTCGGTGCCGAAGCGGTACACCTCGGCCGGGGTGCCGAGGATGCCGACGGACGACTGGAACGTGGCAAGCAGCGACAGAGACACGGGCCCACAGCTCATGCTGCGGTCGGCCATGAGGAATGAGCGCGTGGTCTTCTGTCCTCCCCCAACGCAGCCATGGTAGAGGCCGATGCCGCACGAGACGAGCAGCAGCACGGCACAGATTGTGTAGTCCACCGCGCTGAAGCTCATGGTCAACGGCTGAGCGGCCATGACGGGATGGTCGCGAGACGCGTGCCGGTTCGCGGCCTGCACCACGAGGATGGCGCAGTCTGCTCGCCCCTGCGGAGAGAACGCACACAACGAGCGACGCAAAAACAAACACTTTTCCGTAAGGAAAATTGCATCTGCTCCCTTTGCTGCCACTCCGTCATTTGTCTCGACCATCGGCCATCACCCCTTGGAGCAATGGGTCCTGGCGAAGCCAACTTGCGCTCTTATCGGACATTGTAATGTCACCGATTTGCATTTACCAACAGATGCGTTCGTCTTTTTGTCTACGCGCAATCCCAAGCAATCATCTCGCTATTTTTCTTTCTTCCACTTTCTTTTTAGCTGTCCACATCTCTGATACAAATGTCTCAGTGGGTAGCATGCACAGATTGAAAACTCTTTGTCCTCAGAGATGTTGCTGTCTTGCTTTCATAATAATTAATCCTAGGTTTCATAATAAAATCCATGCTGCTATTATTCCAGTCTCGATTTTCATTCCAAACCATTTTCTATTCATGGTGTTGAGTTTTCCAGCCACATTACTGCCTCGATGATTTATTATCTTTTGAGAACTCGTAGTGAATGACCTTTATTTCGCTCATGTTTATCTTGAGCCAAACTTTGCAGCACACTACAAGTATCTTTATCATTCCTCGTGTTTTTCTATTGCTGATAAACATTGAATGACTACAATGTTTTGTTTTAATAATCGCACCTTTTATACTCGCATTGACAACCTTAACATAACGCTACATGCATGGCTACGGCGTACTTGGGGGCTGATAAAAACTTATCAGTGCAAAAGCCCACGTGCAGTGAGAAGCAACACGCATGGAATTTTCAATCCCAGGCCTGGGACCTTCCCTTACTAAAGGCCCAACAGAACTTTTGAATACAGGAAAGCCTCTTTTATGCACGACCCTATTACCCGTAACTCCTATTATCCGTGGGAGCTGTAGGATACGTAAAAACTCCAATTTCCCATGGCCCTAATTTTCCAATTATCCGCCACCATCCGTGACTTTACCAGAGTTAACCTGCGGATTACTGACATAAATTCGTGGATAATAGGATCTGAGATATTGGTCCTCCACATCACGACAAATGAGTTATTATCTACCTTGCCAAGCAGCCACACATTAGCACACCCAGACACTTCTGTCCTTGCGGTGAGAGAAGAGACCAGCGAACTAGATTTACAAATACAGTGTTGTTGCCTGGTCAAAAAATATTGCCTTCTAGTACCCGATTAGTACGACCAAATTGCATACAGTGACGGACAGATGACGTCTATGGGCAGTGGTAGGCCTCATGGGGTGTCAGGCCATGTGAAATGAAGTTACGGGCTGTGTTGGGCCCACGGGCCGCAGGGTGCCCTCCATGCGGTACGCTGTCATAATGGAGTCATTTTAACATAGTAGTGCAAACACAGCGGGGAACACCTCTCAGAGCGACATCGAGTTTGACTGATCTTGATTAACGTGCAGCACGTGGGCAATCAACTCCCAATTACCCGGGGTAATGGTGGGAGGGGTGGCCCAAAGAAACAAACACACATAATAATGCAAAACAGATAATAACACAGATAATGCAACACTTATGTGCGATCGCTCGCTCTCGTCGCTGCTGGAGTAAGGCTGTCTACAAGAGGGAGCTCTAGAGAACCCCTTGAGAGTGTTTGGCCTACTCTTCCACGCTGGTTCGTACATCTTTGAACAGCTGGGAGCACCCACACTTTACCCCACCACACACGACTGTTGTGAACCTATTTCTACAATTGGGCTGATGGAGGCAGTGGGGGGATTAAAAAACACTTGCTGGATTGTTGCAACTGTTATGCCAGGTGATCGAATTTATCCGGTGACCTCTGAAGTCCAGAGTGCTAACCATGGCAGCATCTACCAAACATTAGAAACACATGTAAATTCGGCTATAATATGTATGAATCGCCCATGTAGAATGGGGGGGGGGGGGTGTAGCTGTAGAACGTACAGTCCAAATCTCCTGCTTGTTTTGCAGGTTTACTTGGTGACGTGCCAGCTCTCACGTGGGCTCAGAGCTGGGAGTGTGGGGCAGCTGATCATTAAAGCAGCGATATTTTATATTTTAACTACTTAAAAAAAATGTTGCCCGCACAGTTAATTTGCAGTCCTGATCATCTATCCGCAGTGAATCTGGAGTTAACGCGACCGTATTATCTTTCTATGCAAATGTACGAGTGTGTTGCAGTGGCAGAGCCAGACAATTGGGATGCACCACAATAATCAAGTGTGGAACGAGCAAGGCTACGATTTTGTCACTATAATTTTTTGTGAAATTAGCGGCCGAGGTGCGTGGATGGTGCCCCTACAATCTGGCAAGATTCAGCACATTCCACGGGATGTGCTGGTATGCTCCTCCACTTTGTCCGTTGCATTCTAAGAATGGCCAAGTGTCTGTTTGTCTGTAGAATTATAGCCTTATTCGTGTTCGTGTAATGAGGAATGGGAGACGGTAACGTGGTTAACTCCATGGGCGATTGTCTATGTCACTGACTAATCGTGCTCATGCACACCTAAAATGTATGCCCTGGTTTAATGTGGAGCTGCACCTCTATGGTGAAGGGTCACCAAGTCATTGTCCACATTACCACTTGCACAAAAACATTTAACGTCATTGTGCATCTTACAGAGAGGGTCTTTGCCTATAAATATCTGTCAGTTCACTAGCATCGGTTCAAACAAGCCTAGCTCTGCCGATGAGACAATGAATGTCGAATCCAGTGCAGAGTTTGTCTTGTGTTGAAGCAATGCTGCTGAACTTATTGACTCACAGAAGGCCATGTGGCTGATGGCATGTGTAAAAACAATGTATTACATTTTTACGTGGAAGAACAAATATGGGAATGAGGCGTATCATCAGCTCAGTTATGTTTCCATAAACGTCGGCACATAACCAATAACAGGCAGTAAAAACAGGAATTCTAAGTCTTCACCCCCATTCAACATAGGTAACCAGTAAATATGTTTTGGAGACCAACATATTTAATATCTATACAACCACGCAAGATCAACGCCTATCAGCTACTTTTCACCCATCGCAAGGAGGCACTCACTCTTTGCTCTGCACATCTCTCAGCCTATGGAGACTTGTGTGACCCATCTGTTAACATATGAATGGAATATTAATCTTGCATTCCTTCAGCTGTGCGAGTCATATTGGGTACACACTCAGCAACACTCACTACAATACAAAATCAGAAGAATGCAAATCTCGTCTATACGTGCAAACCGCTATGATTATTATGGGTTAAACATGCCGAATGTGCAGACTTCAAACCGCAAATGCCTCACACACCACGAGCAGAGCAACAATGAGGAATTTTAATGTAAGGGCGAATTCTTCATATCCGTCGTGAGATGCGGGTATCCACAAGTTTGCTTTGATAATTATCCACAAGAAGCTGCTCTGCAATCATGTTGTTTTCAGAGACCTAACGGCTCCCGTGGATAATGGGAGTCATGTGTAATAGGGTCACAAATAAGAAGAGTTCTCCTGTATTTTTACTGATACTCTTCAATCACACTCTCGCTATGCAACAAAGCGTAAATCACTGCATATGCAGGCAAACGTGCCACCCCACAATCATTGTATCCCTTGCCTGCCACTCCGTTACTATTCTTCACCGCCGGCCATCATTCCTTCCCGTGAAGTATCCTGTCCAAGCCCAATCGCTTACTTTTCCTTCTACAGTATTTGCAGTGTCATTCGTTTTGACCCACCCTACTGGACATTTGTGAAAAAATTTTCTCCAGCATAAGTAATCTGAATCTGATCCTTCATATGCTCTCTGATGCATGTGTTCCTCTTTCTTTCCGTCTCTCAGTGCAATGCCCTGCAGGCATGCATCTCTCCAAACTTCTGTGCACTTTCCAGGTTTGATCTTTCTAGTTTGTTTGTCAATGTGTTTCTGATCCATGTCACAACAGAGAGACGTGTTGGACAGTTCTTGCCCTGAGGAGTTCTATCGCTGTAAGTAAATGCATCAAAGTTTCTGAGTTTCTGATATTCGGTCCGAGTTTTAGAATATATTACGATATCATGCAGGTAAAAACACTTTATAATTCCCTACCCCTCTACAGCAGAGAGGATCAAGATGTCATAGTGAAAGTAAAAAACATAATAATTTGGCAGCGAGATCATCAACATTAAAACCAGGGCAGAATGTGTGCATACCCGATGTATGAGGATGAAGCTGTGGGCGCAGTGGTTAGCGCACTGCGCAATGAACCCAGTGAACAGAGTTCAATTCTCGGCCACGGTAGCAGTGACGAGCGATATCCAAACCGATTCTGGGCCCTCCCCTCCCTGTCACTGACCAGCATGAAGTATGGCCGACACGGTGTGGTGAGGCCTTCATCTATGAGCGAATTGACCAAGGGCCATCAATTATTGTCATGATTATTTTACACAACTTTGAGGCACCGTGACAATACAAGAAGTGTCACCGTGACAGTATAGTACTGTACTGGCAACTATCAACTCCACGAGGGGGATCCTGCTTTACTCAGCGAAACAAAGAGCGTGTTATGTGGAAATAGTTAACGCGATTATCCCACAGGGGACGGATTAGCAAGAGTCAGCATGCATACGCCCGCACACATGCAAAATTGGCACAAAGACAAAGTTACCCGTATAGCATTAACATACTATCGGGGCAAGTGCTGTTGGCGAGTAGCATCTATGAAAGGCCGGCACAGCCCTCGAACAGATGGGTGGCCAGCACTACTCACAGACACCGTGACACTCACATCCACTCACATGGGCTGCAAACACAAGTGACGCACACGCACAGCCATTTCGTGCATCCACTGCTGGATGCAAATACTTATACTGGTAGGAACGAAGTGAACCAGCCTACAATAGATTATACTGGTAGGAACGAAGTGAACCAGCCTACAATAGATTATATCGTCCGTCCGTCCGTGTAGCAACATCGCCCCCTACTGCAAACACTTGGCAGGACCCTACAAAAACCTTTAGACTCAGTGACGCTTTCCTGTAAAACAAGCCTCACCCAAGGACGCTAC